GCCTCTTTTCTCCCTCGTATTTCTGATTTTCGTATCCCATGCAGGCGTTCCTTGGCCTTCCCTTGGGGTTCAACACCACGGGATCTTGTATGGCACCAGAATTGGCCGCATCCAACCGTGCATGTCTGAAATTCGGTGAGTCAAAATGTCTCAATCACGGCCATGCACACCACTTACTTAAGTGCACGTAGATCTTCCACAACATCATCAAGCTCCTCTTGTGTTCGAACACCCGCAAGCATTGGTCGGAGGATTGTGTTTGCCTTGTGATTGACCTCACAAGCACCTACAGTCCGAGTAGGTGGTGGTGGTGTCTGCGTGGGTTGTGCGAGTGGATCGATGGGATTGGACACAAGTCGGAGAGGGAGACTGCTTGTAACGGGGATAGCAGTGGTGTCGATGCGAGTACATGTGTGGTCGAATACAGATGTTGGGAGACGGAGGTCCGCATAGGCGAGAACACAAGCAAGGTCGAAGCCTAGTAATCCGGGGCTTGGCTCCGGAGTTATTAGCAAAACGAAGTAAAACATAAATATCTCGGTAACCAGTGGACGGATTACCGTCCCCCGGGTACCGTTAGAAAGAGCGTAAAAGGTCGGTTCGAATGATACTAAACATGAAGGGAATCGACCAAGGGAAAGTGCCAAAGTCACAAATTCTAACAGCTTCAACTCTCTTCCACAATGATTCCACTGGCACCCGGATGGGGGGTGGACTGGGGCTAGTACATCGCCTGTTGTAAGATGGGTCGTATCCAGGACCAATTAACTCTGATGGTGGGGGCAAGGCAATGTTGAGAGAGCCCAAATGAGATAAGGAGACGTGGGGAGGAGGAGTGTGCGGAATGCTTGGGGTTCCGCAGAGGGCACTTCTGGAAGAGCATTGGGAGCTTCACGAAGGTAGGGAACCACAGGCTCGTTCCAATTGCCGTTCTCGTCTTCGCCTTCATCGTCTTCGGCGTCGATGGTGATGATGTCGAGTAGATTATTCCGGGGTGCTGTTGTTCCATGCTGCCTTTGTTGGTCCCCCATGGTGCGCTCCAGCCTTTGCTGCGGATTTCTCATGCAAAACCTGCGCATCTAAGGCTCCGCTCCTCCCTAGCCTCTCCAGAAAGTCCCTCACCCAGATCACACCGATCCCCCTCTTCTGCCAAATGCATAAGCTGTCTCTGCCGCCATGTCAGGGTGCTAGGACGCCTGCTGTTGTTGGAATGCATCTTTTGAGTTAAGTTCGACGCTTGGGCGCAGGGAGGGGGAGTAAGAATGAATAGCCTTTTTTCGTCTCGTCCTGCGCAAATTTTTATACTTTCGGTAACATCTCTGAAAAGGAATGTGTGGAAACAGAAGTTTAATTAAGTGGCACTTCTATTACGCGTGCAGCCTTGTTGTTACTTGATCAGAATTCCACTTTATAGGTGCCCTCAACATCGACAAATGGCTCTTGCCGATGTGTGCGCCCAGTGTTATGAAGACATTGTGTTAGGGTCTCGAACATCCACCCACATCCACCCACAACCCACCAGCCTTGACCCACACTCCCCGCACAGTCTCACATGATCCCGCATGACCCCGCACATCCCCGCACTCGCCATCACCTTCTCCGCATCCCACATCCCCATATCTCCGCGACCCTTCCCTCCGCACTCCCGCATGCTCCGCAGTCGATCCACATGCGGAGTTTACGGGCACTGGACACTCCGCTCCGCATTTATGCGGAGCGCCGCCGGTACGACACGGCCCGCAACTGAGGGCCGGTGCGGACCGTGCGGAGAAACCTCGTAACCGCCCTCTAGGCGCCCAGATTCTGCATGTGACCCTCTGTGGTTCTCTATGACTTCATCCTTTGCTTTTCTATTGTTCTTTGGAATTGTCTTACTCATCCCTTTCGCATTCCGCAGTATTCCGCATTTCTTATGACTCAGTTTCTTCTCTTGTCCCAGACTTATCCCAGAGTATATCCAGAGTATCTACAGATATATAAGCTAGCTAGATTTCTGTAGTAGATACTCATCCGGAATCTCGAATCAGACTTATACAGAACTTCCCCTCTGTCCAGTCTTGAGCCTTTCGGCTTGCTAGAGCTTTCCGCATACTCCGCACCTCCGCACAGTGTTCCTGATTCCGCTCCGCAAGGCTCTCTCCTCTCTCTCCTCGTCTTCCGCCGTAAGGCGCGTCTCTCCCTCTCCTCCCCTCTCCTTTCGGGTTGGACCATATACCACCAGCGTGGGCACAACGCAATACGTTGAGGCCAAGGTCCCTTCGACTCCGCAGACTCCGCAGTTCCGTAGAGTCTAACACATTGTTTGACATTCTAAGAGGTATTGAATGTGTGCCACTTGTACCCCAGCAATAGCATAAGCATACTAAGATGCGCTTCAACCTTATCAGACATAGCGCCTGGGCTTTTGTGTGTCCAATAAGCTTTTCCTGTGAGATATCGGCTACACGTTGCAAGAACTATGTCCGCCGTCCAATTTGAGTGTATATATCTCCCGCCTCTCAAGTTAACCAGTGCAAGACTTACTACCTCTCCATGGAGGACAACACAATATCAGGGAGAGGCTGTATGTACGGAGCCATATAATTGACTAACCTTTTAAATAAAATGTGTCCTGGTGCAGTTGGTAAATTGTGTGGGCCGTAACCGAGAGGTCACTCGTTTGATCCCTGCCGACGCGAAGTTTTTGTCTGCAATGGCTTTGATCAACATGCACAGCCACAAGAGCAATCTCATCTGGAATTCGATGGTATCGCCAAGCATGAGCAGCATAGCCACAGGATTGATATCACCCAAAACTGAGTGAGATCTCAAGTTACGTAGCCTTTATATTAGATATAGCTAAAGTCAAATAAAACATTTCATCGAACATAACAACTGTGTGATGGGTGAAGCGTGAGCAATACCAGCCAGAACAGGGTGAGATCAGCCATAACACACATATGTCCCCTAAATATCTATCGTTCGGAACACTGGTTTGAGGAAGGGTGAGGCATGGCAATTTATTATAATTTACATAAAATATCTTATATATAACACATATATGTCCCCTAAATATCTACCCATTTGGAACACTGGGCAGGCCTCATCCTCTGGTTAAAAACCCTGCGCTCTCACCCAGAACAGGGTGAGATTGACTCAACAGACGCTGAGTGATACCACAGGGACCGTGATGAGATCAAACAAAAGACCCCACATCCTGGACCTGGCGGAAATGGTCATTTCTGACATGGACCCCACATTCTACAGGCAGACAGTTATGTCCTTAATCTCGGTAACGAGGTCCTCTGCAGCCTGGTTCCATATTGTGCCTCTTGGTTTGCCTCCCTTGTAAGGATGTTGACCGTAATTCAGGTAGAACGGACTGTACCTGGTTGACTGGTGGATCTTGTTGTTGTAGGAGAATTGGGCCAGAGGGAGCCAATCAGCCCAGTCGTCTTGTCTTTGGTTGATGAAGACCCGTAGATACTGTTCTATCTCCCTGGTTGATCTGTTCTGTCTGACCATCGGTCTGGGGGTGAAACACCGTGGAGGGGTTTCCTGTCAATGCCAAGGAGTTTCATCAGATCCTTCATGAAGTTTGAGACAAACTGTGGGCCTCGATCACTGATTACTTTTCAGGGGAGTCCGTGGTGCTTGAACACAGTCCTGGAAGTGTTTTGCTGCACATTGGTGGGAATTGCCTCTATCTTCTTTGAGAATCTGTCGACTACTACCATAATGGCATCAAATCCTTTTGACTCTGGAAGGAGCCCAATTAGATCTACCGACACTATCTCCCACGGGAGAGAGGGAACCTCGTTTGGCTGTAGTGGCACAGCCGGGGCAGTTCGACAGGATTTAGTCCGTGACACGTGTCGCATCCATTAATGTAGGTCCGGATGTCTGCTTGGATTCAGGGCCACCAGTAGTTCCAAGTGATCGGTTCCTGGGTGTGATATCAACGAGGGTGTCCCGATACTGGGGAGTTGTGATGGAATCTAATGATGTCTTCTCGGAGTCTGTCAGGGTTGGATACAGAGAGAGAGAATAGAGGACATAGCACCTCAGTCACTCAGGTTGAACAGTCTCTTACATCAGGAAAAGACAATCGCCGTGGCGGGTGTGGGGGCCGTGCGCCCTGTGGCTGATCAGCCTCCACATCAGTCCACACCCTCCACACCCCTTCACACCATACACAATCCACATCCTGCCACAACGTACTATTTTTGTTTAGAGCTGTAACATGCATATTTGACGAAATAGTACCCCAGAAGCTTGAGAATGAAACACTTGGAATACAGGACCTCTTAGAGGGATAGACCACTGCGATGCTCGCGACTTAGTAGATTCCACGCGCGGATCTCAATTTGCGGATGTTTGACGCGGTCACATGACTAAGTTGATTCCTCGTATTTGAAATTTGTCGACCGTGACGTTCCTTCAACTTGACCACCACCACCACCACCACCACCACCCATCCTTTATCCTATTCGATTCTCTATGTACGTGTGCTTGCGCTTCTAAGCCACGTCTTAGCACAGCGTCTCTGGAGTATGCGACAGGAGTACATGTGGTAAGTCATTGTCTTCATTTGGTGCCCAAAAAATGATCGACTTACCGTCATATCTACAGATAGCAGCCTGAAGCTCCGGTAAATCAAAGATTCAGCGAAAGGTGCGTGTTCCGCTGCTCCCTATTGATACTGATATCCTGATCCTTGCGTAGAGGCTCATCTCCTGATTTCCCCGGTGTGTATGTTCTTTGGAGGTCGTAGCACAGGGTACGTCCCTAAACACTTTTTTCTATTCCAAACGGTTCTGAGATGTCACCAAGTTCCTTCCAGGAACCGTCGAACCTGCGGAGGGCTGGATTGACTGCCGATTTGTAGAACCTGTCTTCCAGGTAAGTTTTCTGGCCCCCGATTTATTATTCCAGCCCGTAGTAGCGTGTTTGCATAGACTCTCATGTATCATACACTGAATATTGAATATATTTGCTTGTTTCCCTACAACTGCGGATGTCTACCATGAAATGAAGATTGTGGGCCGTCGTTGAAAGGTGTTGTCTGCTGTGGATGGCCATGGATTATGGCCGCACAACGTTGTTGTGTCGCCACAATCGAGATGTGGGGTTTCGTACCCCCGTATAGTCCCACACCATGGTGTGAGGGTGTGGAGGGGTGTGGGGGGTGTGGGGCCACGGCTGCCACGGCGATTGTCTTTTCCTGATGTAGATGGGTGTCCGTGCCATTTCCAAAGGTCTTTGAGATAGGGCCGTCCCTGGTCATTTCCCACCAATTTCCTGCCTGTTGGGCGCTCTAGCTTCCAGCTGTCCGACCACGTCCTCTGGTCATTTCCTAGGGTCATTTCCCTGCCCCTGGTGATGACCTGCCCAGGGGTGTCTGGGGTCCTGATGGTCATATTCTCGGCACTGAAATACAATTGAATTTATTGTTATTTGGCATAAGCAGCAACATAATACAGTTGTAAGTTGCTTGTCGTATGGATTTAGAATCTAAAATGGCAGTAGACCATGTTAAAATGATTGAACACCAAAGTAATTACTCAGTTATAGGGAAACTAAATTTGCACTATAGGTGAACTGTGATATCTACGTGTACACAATATAATCTAGATATGGGACTAGTAATATAGTGGAAGCTTATCAACTCTGTGCAGTTTTGTTAGGGTCTCGAACATCCACCCACATCTACCCACAACCCACCAGCCTTGACCCACACTCCCCGCACAGTCTCACATGATCTCCCGCATGATCCCGCACATCCCCACACTCGCCATCACCTCTCCGCATCCCACATCCCCATATCTCCGTGACCCTTCCCTCCGCACTCCCGCATGCTCCGCAGTCGATCTGCATGCGGAGTCTACGGGCGCTAGACACTCCGCTCCGCATTTATGCGGAGCGCCGCCGGTACGACACGGCCCGCAACTGAGGGCCGGTGCGGACCGCGCGGAGAAACCTCGTAACCGCCCTCTAGGCGCCCAGACTCTGCATGTGACCTCTTATACTTCTTTATGACTTCATCCTTTGCCTTTCTATTGTTCTTTGGAATCGTCTTACTCATCCTCTTCGTATTCTGCAGTATTCCGCATTTTCCTATGACTCAGTTTCTCTTCTTGTCCCAGACTTATCCCAGAGTATATCCAGAGTATCTACAGATATACAAGCTAGCTAGATTTCTGTAGTAGATACTCATCCGGAATCTCGATTCAGACTTATACAGAACTTTCCCTCTGTCCAGTCTTGAGCCTTTCGGCTTGCTAGAGCTTTCCGCATACTCCGCATATCCGCACAGTGCTCCTGATTCCGCTCCGCAAGGCTCTCTTCTCTCTCTCCTCGTTTTCCGCCGCAAGGCGCGTCTCTCTCTCCCTCTCCTCCCCCCTCCTTTCGGGTTGGACCATATACCACCAGCGTGGGCACAACGCAATACGTTGAGGCCAAGGTCCCTTCGACTCCGCAGACTCCGCAGTTCCGTAGAGTCTAACAAGTTTTTCTAGAAGAAATGCTAGAACAGCAACCAGAGAAATTTCCCACTGTGACTGTGGTCATTGGAAATGGTCAAGACCAAATGCGGTCAAGACCTTGGGAAATTTCCCCATGATCAGGGAAATATTTCCGTGACCTGGTCATGACCATGCTGATCTGGTTTGTGTCATGTTCCTGACCCTGATCTGCATGATGTCATGACCTTGTACCTAATCTGCATGGCATCACCCTGACCCTGATCTTCATGACATCATGTGGCTGTTCCTGTCAATCATTGATATCACTGATTGACTTCCATCATCAAAAGTCTATCTTATCTAAATTAGTATGATGTCATCCACCTTCTTCCACTTTATTTCCTTCATATCTCCCTCATTTCTTCACCTATATGGGTAAATCTTTTTGCGTAAAGTGCACATTTTAGCTACTTACTGATCCCCACTAAATATACAAATCTTTAAGCATGGATCACCCTTATAACACCTTGACCTTTATGCCAATTTTCGTAAAATTGGTACTTTTTTGCCCAAAAAGATAGTTATGCCTCTGCCATTTTGCTTTTTTAAATCTGTACATTACTACCAGAGCAATTATAGTACATATATAATTTAATTTCAAGACATATTTCTATTGATTATTGGTATTTATATTATGGAAAGTATCAAAAACTTGCAAAAAAGCGGAATAAGAGGATGAAACAGAATAAACACTATTACTTAATAATATCTTCCACACAAGCTATATAAGTAGCATGGTATAGCCCATTAAAATGATTTACTAGAGCTGAAATGAGAGTACACCCCACCTAATCACTACTAGCATGATAGAGATTAAACATGAAAAATTTGATGTTTTTTTTTTGCATTTTTGCATATCTCAACCTGACATATTTTTTATATAAATTATACCATTAAAGAGCGGATAATTCTATTTAGAAACCCCCTCTGCGGCAAACAACCTGGGTCTATTTAGGAACCCTACCTACGAATGAAAAACGGGGTATAGGCTTCTTCGGGGACACATAAATGTACGGCCAGCATGCCTCCGGACGTGTAGTCGGTCATGTTGGAACAATAAGCACTCAGATAGTCGTGTCCACATGTCTCGCGCCCAAGTGATGTTGAAGGCCTATGGACACTGGATGGTGATGCTTGAAAGAATGTAAAATATTGATTGAGCGGAATCCATACCTATGCCTCTCACCTCTACAATGGTGAGAGATTCCTAGAGAGTCGGGAGCTGAGATCTGCAAACCTGCACAGGTATTAAAGAGTATTGAGGCCTCAGGAGTCAGGACACCCCATTCGCAACCTCTGGTTCACTTATCTACCTGTCAACTGCCCACGTTCGAACTCTCTAGACTCTACACCATGAAACCAACTGATATCTATTCCCGGCCTCCACCAAATCTTATTTATTCGAACAAGTACTTCACTCGTCTCACATTTTCTGACGTTGCAACCATACATTATCCCACCATTGCTCCTCCTGGGTCCTTCGCCTCCTGGACTGTCGATGCATCAGAACCAACTGATCCACACACAATCTCTATCGAAGATGACGAGGTCATCCCTTCCGTTGAAGATTTGCAGGCCATTTTAACTCAATTAAGTGCCGCATATGATCAAGGTTCCTGATCAGTTTGTGGGCGCCTAGCCTATGGGAAAACTTCAGTGAACGTTCAGTACCATTTTGTCAAGGTTAGTCCCTTGTTTCAAATTGGTTGTGCTCAGGTTGCTGACTTGTAGTTTTATGTGCAGATCCGTTTGTGTGTTCTTGTGAACAACAACGCCCCTGCAGTTGCGTCTGCACATGCAGTTTACGAGCGACTGTCAGGCCTCCTAGCCCCTCGTCATGCTATCAAGCTTGGTGAATGTCCTATTCGCTCTCCTTTCCAAGGTCTCACCATCACAGAGTTCCCACTGTTCAAACTGGGCTGTCTGGTTGGGGAGGAATGGCTTGAGGAGGACATCGTGAACGCTTTGTGCGAGTTCTCGTACTTCAAAAGCCACCCTTTCATAACCAATTCTTCTTGTCCACCCCACATAATCCTTCCCACTCTCTTTGCTAATGAGGCTGCGACATTGTTTAGCTCAACGGTCTCGACCTTCAACAAGGATTCACTTCCCTTTAAGTCAACCATGATTGGTCTTCAACGGCGCTTGAAGGCCTATCCCTTTTCTAATATCCACTTAATTACATGCGATAACAAGCATTATTCTGTCCAAACATACTGTCCAGCAACCGGTATCTTACAGCATTGCGATTCCCTTGGTCGTTCCCCACCTCCATTTGCACTCCCAATGTTCCGAGCACTGCTTTCCGGCAATCCTGATGTTCCACTTCCAGAACACATTGCCCAAGTACCTGTCCCCATGCAATCTCGCGCCTCTGGAAGCTGTGGCATTGCTGCGTTTAATTTCCTTCAGGCTCAGCTGGCCCCTGATACCTTGCCTTGGACTGATTCGAGCTCAGAGCACCACCGAATGGTAGCACTCCGTGACCTTGCATTGTTCCATCTTGTTTCCCTTTGTCGCGTGAGTTGACCTTTTGTCTATTCTCAAGTTACTGTGTGCTGAGCCTGATTTCACTGTTCAGGATATTATGGGCCCTGAAACGTTGCCAATCTGTGCCGTTGCAGATGATGAGATTGACCCGACATTGCCGGTGGGCTACAATGACTTTAATCTCACACATCCTACAGTACGTTCCAATCTAATCCTAACCTTTGCATCTGAGGTATCTAATCATCTATCTGTTTTGATTTAGACTCATCATAGCATCCATTACTTTCTAGAAGAGCTCAAAATGGAGCCCTTCCAAGAGGTGGTAAGTGGATGGTATTTATTTTCCATTTACACGTGACTCATCATGATGATCGCAATAGACACTCTACGATAAAGACTACAACCGCGAGGACTCACCTTTGACACCGCTGTCTGCAAGCCCTGAGCCTCCTATGGTGCAAGAGGTGCTGGGACTCACTTCTGTCGTGATTAGACCACACTAACCACTGCACCAAAATGGCGCCCATGTCCAGCTTAGGTGGACAGGCAGACCGTGGTATATAAGCACCATTCTATGTCATGATTTTGCCTGTTCATGACAACTTCAACACCCATCAAGTCCGACGGCTCCATACAAAATGATGATCCCAATAAATCCTCTTACCTCTCTCAACCTTCGAGTCCAAGCAATCCAGACACTTCGAGTTCCTTCATTGACTTGACACTTTTCCCGCAATTCATCGAAGCACAACTCCAAAACATTATTCCTTCCGCCAATCATCATTCAGCTTCAGCTCCAATTCATGTGAAGAAGGAATTTGACCCTGTGCTAGACCCTTTGCCTCAGGCTCCTATCAAGCAGGAGGAAATATACCTCCCTTCTCGTCATGTCGTGGACTTAATTACCCCCTCCCCGCCGTCATCACCGCTAGTTGTCCATCCCAAACGCAAACACTTGCCTTCTGTTATAGTGATCTCCAATTCCGATTCCAGGTCCGACTCCAACTCCAACCTATCCCCGTCACTTACCGAAGCAATACCTGCAACAATCCAGGTGGGCATGGTCTTCCGCTCAGAAGAGGATGCTAGTGGGACTGGGCACTGTCACCAAATTCTGCGGGCCTTACAAATCAGCACTGCCACCAATTTTGGCCTGGGTGTCAGTCCGGTACACTTTTTGTCTCGCTCATGCCAATTGATACGACATGGATGGTTCTGAATGAAGTATTGAAGTAGAATAATTGTTTTGTTCGAGACAAATTTTCAAAAGTTTGTTTGAGTGCCAAGAACTCCTCCAGTTCACCCCCATGAGCGCAGAAAACCAAAATCGGCCTCGAGCATTTTAGACAACCGGCCGGCCAGTTTCCAAATCTGTAAGAATTTTGGTGATTAACGTCCTCCAGCGTCCAAAAATGGTACCGCAAGCAAAGAGCCCCAGACGCGCCAATTAAGATTACCTAATACACACCAGACGCATCGAAAATCTCTTCCACTGATAACCATTCCCCTCAAAACTCGAGCAGACCATGGTTACCAGCACAATAAAACAGCTTGAACTTATCGGACATTGTGTGTGTATTATTATGAGCAAGAATAAAAATTTAATCTAACTTATTGGTCCCAGAAAGCGCCGGAAACCATCAACTAGCATGCCTAGGCCTAAGAAAGTTTGGCCAAGGGCGCAGCAAGAAGCAAGTTGAAACCTACACGAAGAACTTCAGCAAAAAGGGTGCAAAGGGTCTTGAAGATACCATCTCAGCACCCTCTAGTGCGACCTGTCCAGCCCAGCCCAAGACCCAAAGTCAACTTTCCACCCCACATCCGGAAGTGGAATTCTGGAAACATCGGTACCAGAATGCGCGCAGGAGCTTCAAACGGAAGTCTTCCGAGTACGACAAGCTCAGAAAACGACTCAGGGAGATGGAGAATGCCAACCAATGCGTTAAAAATGCTGAAGTCCGGTCAAAAACAGTCATGGAGGCGAAGGTATTGACCCTGGAAGCTAAGGTTAATGGACTAGAGCGAGAGCTGGAGGCTGCTTTCGCTGACAAGGGACACTACCAGACGAAGATCTCGGTTTTGAAGAAACACATCGCGCAATTTGGGGCCTGTGTGCAACGCCAGGTCAAAAAAGCGAAGCAGAAGATTCACTGTGTCCGGGCCCAAATGAAGAGCTGTGGGGTGTATAATGCACTCACCCGGTGATGCGCGGTCAGGGGTGGGAGGCGCTAAAACCACACACACACCAACCGAACCGGCAGGTGAAGGTAAAGAAATAAAAGAAATGAAAAGGCTGATCCTCTACACCCAACCAAAGACTACGTCTAAGGTCAAATGAAGCTAGACTTCACCCGAAAGGTACGACAGTATGTAAGAAAGGCACTAGAACCAAACAAAACCCTTGACAATGCAACAGTTCGAAGGGGGGTGCACGACGTAAAACAAGAGCTGGTAGGCTCAAGGCGCGAAGTGATAAGTCGTGCAAAGGCAGACCACTAGCAAGTCTAGGGTACCACCACCTTCTTGCTACTGAGTAGTCGAGAAAATACACAAAAGAAAACCAAGGAGACACACGCCGGTCACCTGTGCTCACAGAAAACCAAAGTTGAACACGCCGGGACGACTGTTACCAAATCGAATACACCCAAGACGAAATGGCCAAAGAAACCCAATAGTCGATCTACGCCAAGTCGACGAACCTTTAACGTGCTGAGTCGTGCCAGACTTCACGGAGTCTTACCCTGGAGAAAAGCTGCCAGCGATAATCTGTAGAATTCGAGCGAGAACTAGCTAGCTTTTATACATGAGGAGAGTGTTTGGCATGCTAAGGCTGTAGACAAACAGAGACAGAAAAACTAGGAAGACTTTGTAAGACAGGTAGACGACTAAGAGAGAGAGAAATAGAACAGAGGAAACACAGCTTCCGATAGATAGGATAGAAATAGAACGGTTCGAGTATTAGGCGCTCGTAGACGCGCGGTTACTTTTGCTTAGGCTTGCCTTATTGGGCCGCCAGAGGACGGCTTGTTGGCTGGGCGCCTTGCCGTGATTGACACAGCTGCGACCCAGTCCCGGTCCCATAAGGGGGAACTCCACTTTGCCATTTGGTAGGTCAGGCTTTGATCGACGTTGCTCCATCGGAGCTTGGTTATGACTCCTACAAGGGTGAGCCGTCTGAGTCTAGACAGTCCCGAGGTCCGTTATCGACCGGACAGGGTCTCAATGTAGACGCAGTGCGCTCCACCTTAGACTTGGCTTTCTCTCTTGGTTGTCCCGCTCCAACGCTGTGTGCAGGCATCGGGGGCCTTCCCAGTTGGTCCATCAACTCCAATGACATTTGCTTCTGCTAGGTTGTCCGAATCGGAGGGACCAATTAGACTTTTAGACTTGGCTGCCTGTTAGACTTGGGTGCCTTGACTAAGTCCGTCGAGTCGTCATGTCTTAGGGTTATAGTTGGTTAGGCTTTCGCCCTATGAGCTCTGCCAGTACAGGCTAAGTCCTCATATTCAGGTCACAGGTTGGTAAGGTTTGCCGGCCCGTTTGGTGACTTACCTCAGCCTCACTATTATTGACCCGACGCAAATATGTCTTGTACTCGTCGCCCCGAGGGAAGTAGGCACGTCCGTTGAAGAGGGAGCGGCTGAGAGGGTCTGTGCTCTTCAAGTACCAATTGGCGTGGTGGTTTCCGTCAGCAGTAAGCTGTAACTGGTGGAGATGCCTGTCACAAACAATGAGTGAGGGTTAAACATTGTGATAAATACTACAAAAGACATGCCTCAATGCGTGAGGAGTGTTGCTCCCATTGCCGTCTGTCAACACTGGGCAGACTGGGCAATGAACAATGAGATTCCCGGGTTGGCGATTGTGGAGAATTTTGTTGATTCCATGAGCCTGTCCGGAGTCTTGGATAGCCATCAGGACCCGCCAGATCTGCATGACAACGACGAACTGGGGGTAGATGTCCTGTGCACGTTCCGTCAGTCGATGTACCACATTACAGGGGGGAAAACCTACAGGGATGCGCTTGGTGAATGCAAAATCCGACAGGCGACGTAGAGCTGTGCAGAAGTCGTATGCGGAGGCCTTGGCCTCTAGCTGAAGGAGTTGAAAATGGCGGAGGACAGCAAAAGTAAATGCAGTTCGCGGGAGGGAGAGCGTTGCTGGGAAGAAACCCGACTTCATCAGTTGGGTAACACGATCGTGAACCCCTTGACAGTCGCAGAACGAGACGCGAGTTGTATGGACACCGTTGACATCAACAAGAGTCATCGTGACCTTGCCAGATTGAGCCGCACATGGGTTGTTGTCGCGGTTATGGCCGATTGTGAATGGTGATGTAGGGTGAATCTCGGAGAGGTCCTTGCGTTCAAAATATTGATGTGTGTTGTTCCAGACATGGGCCCAGTGGAGGGGTTGAAGTCGATGTGCAGATGCGAAGCATTCAATGGAGTCCCCATGTGTGACAGTGGAAAGATTCTGACTCCCTTCAGGATTCCGCCTCACGCATCGCGGATCCCATGACGAATATGACGATGTCGAGGGCGAGTTCGAGTTCGACAGTGACACCAGCCTTTCCTCACACATGGACACTTCCGAGAGCGAGTTTGAGGAGGCACCAGGGAGGGCTGTGAGCAAGAGCCCAGTCAAAGGTACAATCACATCCATTTCACTACACTGATAGCGGGGTAAATTTGACAAATGTACCAGGTACCATGGACAAGGAGACGCTGAGACAGCTGCTTCTTCCAGACGAAACAGTGTCTCAGAACTTGGCAGCATTTGGCAAGAGGATGCTGTCTCTGCAATTCGACATCGCAACAAGAACATATGCGTATAATGGTTCTCTTTGCCGCCATGGTGGGGAGAAGGATTCCAGATGCTCAGTCTTGGAAGCTGCCCTTCTTTCTTGGTCCCCTGAGCTCAGTTGCTTCATTGACTCAGCCACTCGACATGCAGAATGGCGTTGCAATGCGTCCATTTCAACTGGCAGCATTGAAGTTTTCTGTCAAAGGGAATCTACCTCGGAACATCTATATTGATGGAGTCCAGTGCTATATCGGCAAGCCTGAGTCCAAGCAGCACTTCAGACAAGCAAGACACTACGACGCCTACTGGTTGCTCGAGGATCGAGTTGGCCTTGCCTTGGTTCTATACCTTGGCATCTTCCGCCCGCTCGAGTTCTCCCAAGCGACTGGAAGCACAGGCTCTAGCATTCTTGACACCCTCGCCGTTTCCCCCCACGAGCTCTATCCCTACTTCTTCCTTAGGATCATTCCCAGCGAAGGGATGAAGCAACCAAGATCGCACTCGAAAACCCATTTGACGATAACATTCACATTGACAGCCCGAAGAATGCCGAGTGCAGGAGACGAAGACAACTGGCGCTGAGTGCAGCCTTGCATGAGCTACTAGGGCTTCGGCAATCGACTGCGAATGCTCAAGGCCCAGAGCTATACAAGGATAGCGCGCTTCACCATGCACGGCACCTCATTCTTGATCGATATGTGCTTTATGGCAGCAGCCCCACCGCGATTAAATCCAGTGTCGCTTCACTCATGAATACGAAGCCTTTCTTAACCGGGGGACAAGGTCAACAACACAGCAGCCTTGGCGATGACGTCCTGGTCGAAACCGCAGCGACCATTATCTATGGTCCTAACCGCCCTTTGGCAATGCAGCCCATGCCCTTGGGTGGGTATGCTGTGGAGGCTATTGCCATGGCATTATCTGTTGTAAGTAGCTTTTATTTTCCAGGAGAAATATGTGGCTGACCGGCACAAATTAGATATGGTACGCTATCAACGAATGGCGCACTGGAACTCTAGATTTGAAGGAGCCCACAAGGAAATCACTCTTTCCCGTATCTTCCGCCTTCCAGCATGATTGGCCTTTGCAACAGGGTACATATGTATGCCAGCGCCGGGCAGCCCTTTGTCGAGGGACCGCCTGAGCCGCGTCTTGTGCCTTCCTCCAAATTTTCTCCATATAACGAAGACGTTGAGAAAACAACCTTTGCAAAATTACCCCGCCTCATTTGATAGTGCACAGGAAAGCTCTTTTGCCACTTGATATCCACCCAATGCAGATGTGATTTTTTATGCGACGCAAATGACTTTCCCCTCCATTTAGCAAGCCCAGACCAGTCCGCCTTCAAAGTCATTTCCGGCGAGCAGTACGATAACCTGGGTGAAGACGACCGGGCCGACCTGTATGCAGAGGGCCGCACCATCGTGATTTTGCATAGCAAACCCAAAGCTCCGCTCTGGAATCTGTCTGATGCGAGGCAGATGGCGGCCGTCATAAACCCCAGCGAAGAGGTGACGATGCAAGGTGAGTATCATTCGAATTCTTACTGGGATCCTCTGACCTCTGGAGGGCTATTCATTGCCAATTTACCCGCATGGTCACAGCCCCAGTGCGGCGTATCATCGATGAAGCCAAAAAGCCTCTGGACCAGAGACGCATTCTTAACGCATTGTCCTTGTCTGGAAACGCTGTTCCCCATGCCGCTGACCATAGCTCGGATACGGTTTCATGGGTCGCCACCAAAGCTTCTAAAGGCGCCCTAAATTCATCGAAGTTCCCCGTAGAGGCCATGAATTGGTCTATCGCAGCAACAGCGGGCGCCAGCCACGCGGTGCATATGGATGCTGACGGAGCGAGCACCAGAGTGATATGTCGCAGCGGAGCCAAATTATGGATCAATTTCACGCCTTGCAAAGAGGGAACAGCAGTGCCGGCTGCAGAACTATCTTGACCTTGATGTGTTCAACACCGTCGATGACTCGGTATGCGACGGCCAGCATTTCTTCAATGTCCGGACGCTTGTCGAGACGTTCTTGTCCATGGTCTTGTGTCTGTGCTCCGGCGAATACATCACGAACGCGAGTCACTCAGAGTTCCTCATGGTGTTACATCGGATGCTCCTTTTCCAGTACGGCTATCACGTCGAAAAGGTTACTGTTCCAGGTGACGTATATTCAATCCTCAACCTGCGTTTGCTTTGCTAAAATTTGTCCCCTATAGAATATCAGGAGCATGTGCTCAGCCCTTCACGCAAGACTGATATTGAAAATCCCATCGCTCTGCTTGTCATTGGAATGACCACCGAGGTTTTCCACCACAGAAGAGGGCATGACCGTTCAGGATCTCTTGTACACTTCTACAATACGTGGCGCCGCTTGGAAGCTGGTTCAAGTCCTCAACGATAGCTATCAATTCTCCTGGAGGTTGGGTTCCGCGGAGATGGTCACCATGACCCCTTTCAAGGATGTCTTCCGTCGCCTTCTTGGCGTCCAGTTGGGCATTATACGTGACGTGTGGCATAACTTTTCGGAAAGGGAAGATTCACCGGATGAAGATCACAGGGGTGAAGATAACAGCCCACTTTTCGTGGTGCTGGAACAAGTGGCGGACATGCATGAGGCAATCAGGGACGCGTACGACGACGATTACAACATCGGCGAGATCTGGTCCATGCGGAACCTTGGTTACAAAGTTATTGACGCTGTCCCTGTAGCGCCGAAGCACCCTGTTGGTAAGTAGTTAGTTAACCTTAGAGCCGTTAACCTTCTGACGCGCAGGGCAGAACCGCTGGCTCATTGGCAACTCATGAGAAAGGGATCCACTCCTGCCATCACGCGTTTAGTGGAGGCCATGCGGGACCAATGCTAAAACCCTGGCTCGACTTGTATTCACTCAACATGTTCCTCGCATTTCTTTTCCGTGGTATCCTCTGCCTTCTTTATCAACGCTTTATCACCACTCTTTTATGTATTTTTGTACTTCGCACTTGGTTGTACATTTTTCATTTTCTAATCGTATGTTTCCATGCACAAGTACGTAAGGAAGGACGGCACGCATGGACAGGAAGGACAAGGCACGTATCAAGTAGAGAGGGATCATACATGGCTTGGCGATCCCTCCAGCGCACCTGTTCCCCGCGTGTTCCACGATGGGTAACCGCATGGCAATGGGAGGCGATTGGATGCGTAAGGGGTTTATGTTACGGTCAAGTTGGATGAAGGCTGACGCAGAGCGACAGATCCCAGCACAGCGCGATCCAAGTACAACTGGTGCAACTTCATCGAGAGCTTAGTGCTGTGGTGCTTGGTGGTGATGTGGAAAGAAGACGAACAATTAAGGTGTGCAGCGTCTACGGAGTGGCCGGTCGGGGCGGTATTTGTAAAGGGCTGGTTTGAGAAAGCCGGTGAAGCGCTTGAAGGGACTCCATGGTGGCATGGAGTCTTCAAGTCTCTGACACGGGCGCGCTTTTTCTTTCAGGTCCTGATGTCCTTCACCACGCTAAGAGGCCTAAGGTGACATCTGTTTTTTCTTATTTATTCACCATGGATCTTGGATCGATTATATATTTCAATGCCTGGCTTTGCGGGTGGTGCTAATATTTGTTCTTTTTGATCAGCGTCTGGAACAGGTGCTACAAGTTAACGCAAGTTAACGGCCAAGTTAACTTACAAGTTAACTTGGACTAACTTGTAAGCTAACTTGAAGCTCACACCCTTTACTTGTACTTCAGCGGGACTCGGGTATGTATACTAACCATGCAAGCTTCTCGATAAATGTATGTCAACATATTAAGAACAACTAGCGCTTACTCAAACGACTACTACGGCGAGGAGGAATATTGGATCAACAAATTTCTAAACCGTTACATATACCCGCACGCGCGAGTCAGCAACTCCTGGTACGTGCACCCACTCCTTTACGTACTTCGCCATGAGCCCTCAAGTCAATACTCTCACTTTCCCCTTTCACTTCCAAGTAACCCAAGTTACCCGCCACTTTGTGCAGGGTGTGCAAGTTAACTTTCCAGGACGTTACTTGTATGGGCACAAGTTAACTTGTCAAGTTAGACAAGTAACTTTGTTAACCACCCTCGAAAAAGAGGAAAACATCTAGGGTTTTGGAATTAGTTGTATAATGTGCGGCGATTACGAACGTTGAGTACAACTGCCGGGCCATGGCAATCGACCAAGAGCCAGCTGAGAATTGAGTGAGATACTAACCCTAAGTTCCTCTCCCCCTCGGTGATGAGGAACTGGGGGAGTGTGACGTCCCACCAGTGGCCCCTGCTGTCCCTGCGCCTGCGCCTGCACCTGTGCCTGCTTCTCCTGAACCGGAGACCCCTCCTCAAACGCCGCCTCCTCCACCTCAGGCGCCACTCCCTGAACCAACTCCGCCGCCTCCTACGCCTCCCCTCGCTCAGCGTCGTGCACCACGCATCCGACGTCCCCCAGGCGAGTGGTGGAAGGTCAGTGCTAGCCAACGGCACTTGGACTACAACGGATTTGCCTCCAGGAGTCAAGGCCTTGCCCTGTGGATGGGTATTCAAGATCATAGTTCAACCCCGATGGCACCATTGAGCGCTACAAGGCTCGTCTCGTCGCCAAAGGCTACTCCCAGCGTCCCGGCATCGACTTCACCCGAGGTATTCGCCCCCACTTACCGTCCTGCCGCCCTGCGACTCGTTCTTGCTCTTGCTGCAGCTGAGGACATGCATCTGCGCTCTGTGGACATCTCCTCTGCGTTCACCTACGGCGATCTGGATGAGGACATCTACATGGCTCAGCCAGAGGGCTTCAACTTTGGTGCCGGAAAGGTTCTCAAGCTCAACAGACTTAGTCGCTCTATGGCCTCAAGCAAGCTGCGAGGCAATGGAACAAGAAGCTCCACACCGAAAGGGCTCCATGGGCTTCAAGCGCCTCGAATCCGACCGCTCCCTCTACCTCTACGCCCAAGACGACATCAAGATCATGGTGCCAGTGTACATCGACGTCACCTTTGCCTCCAAGTAGACTGCATCCTGACAAGGTCGTTGCAGAGGTCAGCAAGCACTTCAAGCTGCGAGATCTTGGTGAGACTCGCTTCCTGCTTGGTATTGAGATCTCCAGGGACCGCGCCACTCGCTCGATTAGCCTCTCCCAGCGCCAGTACATCGTCGACATGCTCAAGCGCTTCAATATGGACGCCTGCAACAAGGTGGACACTCCTCTGCCCGTTGGACAGCCTCTGACGAAGGCCATGGGGCCCCAGACCCCTGCTGAAGTCGAAGAGATGCGCAATGTTCCCTACCTCGCTGCCGTCGGTTCCCTGCAGTACCTCGCCACCATGACTCCGGACATCGCCCACGCCGTCAGCTACCTTGCCCGCTTCAACTTGAACCCAGGCCTCAAGCATTGGGCTGGTGTGAAGCACCTGTTCCGCTTCCTTCAGGGCACCAAGGACTACAAGCTGTGCTACTCCGGTCCTCTGCTCCCTGGCATCTTCACGGCCTACTCCGACGCATCTCATGGGGCTGCGGACATCGTGACCAAAGCCCTGCCTGTGCCCAAGGTCAAGGCACTGCTGTGCTCTCCTGGGTCTAGTGGATGTCTGAACTGCCTCAGTCATGGGGGAGTGTTAGAAGTTACGACTTTGGCACTTTCCCTTGGTCGATTCCCTTCATGTTTAGTATCATTCGAACCGCCCTCTCACGCTCTTTCTAACGGTACCCGGGGGACGGAAATCCGTCCAGCGGTTACTGAGATATTTACGTTTTGATTTTATTTCGCTAATAACTCCGAAGTTAGTGCTTTCCTCTCACTGCTGGACTCCAGTTCGCTGTCTTAACATGAACAGCCGGGAGGCCAGGCTAGTCATGGTTTTCATGAGGATGTCCCTGACCACACCTGACCCCATAGAGTCTGCATGGCTGTCCACAGATCTAAAAGGCTATATACAGTGCTTCCACACAACTCACAATTCACTTACGTGTCCATCGATAAGTGTTCGAATGACAGAAGATCACGGGTCTTTAAACCTCCCTCCCTCTCGGCCCAGCTACACACCAACTGAGCCGAGTGATCCTGCTTCGCCCCAACAAGAACCGTCATGATCTTGTCCACCAAAGTCTGGACACTGCTACCCTTCAGTTCTAGAGCGAGACTATTGGCTTGTGTCATGTTTCGTATGATAGCCCGACTGAAAGGTGCTGTTTCCACTGCCGTCGCTGTCGTCGCTGTCGTCCGAGTCGTCATCATCAACTAGAGGGCCCGTTTGTCGTCGAAGCTGCATGGAATGCTGAACGGGGGATGAAGGCCCGGGAGATGGAGAACCGGGAGATGGCATCCGGAAGGCGTCCTCCAATTCCCATTGTTCACGTTGGGACTGGCGATTCGGAGAGGTGAAAGGTGTAACCCCAGAGCGGCTTTGAAGATAGTACCCCTCCATCTCTTCCTTCTTCCCAACACAAGGTGACCAACATTGTTCAGCCTCTTTCCACTGTCGCTTGAGTTCATCGATGGAGACGGTGTTCTTGAGGAGTTCCGACTGCAATTGCACAAATTGTCGTGTTCGGTCTTTGTAACAAGCATGGAGGCCGGTCGAACTCTTGTCGAATGTTACTGGAAACCTGCTATCCCGAAACTGACTTTCATGCAGAATCGCGGAAATCCGCCCTTTAGCTTTTGGTACTGGGGAACCTCTTTAGCCATAACATGTACCTCGTAAAAAATAGAAACACACCAATCCACAGAACAGGATCCACAGAGGGCAAATGACCAACGCTAAATGCTTATCGATCGCGAATGTGTGGTGGTTGACCTTTGCACTTCCTGGAAGTATGATCCCCCGGGTAGCTCTTTGATGGGCTTCTCTTCGTCGTCTGAAGTGTCACTGGCCTTTGGGCGAAGCTACCCAACTGTTAACCTTCATCCTCGCAGAAAAATAAAAGTCATATCACTTACTGGCAAAGCAGAGATAGCCATGATGCATTCCCTTTTCGTAATTCATAAGCATTTCTTCACCTCATTTGAGCTGCCGGTCAATTTCCGTTTCTTCGAACCTTTCAGTTTGCTCTGGGTGTCCGAATAGAAGCTACTTGGACCGTCCGGCACGTCAGAAGTAGCTATCAAGGCGGGTTGCTGCATTCCGCCAAAAGCAGATCCAGGATAATGAGGTATGCTGTTGAGTATTTGTTGGGCTTGCATCCCCAGAGAGGGCTGTGAGTTTGGGGGCGGAGGCGTTTGCATCCCAAATGAGGGCTGTGAGCTTGGGAGAGGCTGTAGCGTCGATGTCCATGTCGCAAATGTGAAACTAGGCTGATTTGTGGGAGTTGCTGATGACTGAGATGCGTTGTTGCGTACACATGACAAGGAAAGATAAGCCGCGGAAAGGTAAAAGATAATAAGATTTCTAGATTAAGAAATAAAGGAAATGACGTGGAGGGGACCGCCATCGGACAAGAACACAAAAGAAAAGGCTGAATCAAGACGTACTTCTAATCGACAATGCAGAATCAACGACTTCGAAAATACCAAGTGCGTGCCTAAAGTCCATAGGAGTTCCCGGTGAATCCAAAATCACGGAGTTGTGGCCAAGTCGCACATCTCATGTCACTTTCCTAATCTGACGGTGCCAGATCATCAGGCGGCAGGCACGTCTGGCGGAAAGGGAAACCGGCGGCGGTGGGAATGTGAAGTTGGGAGTTCAAATATGGCTGGAGTCGAAAGTCGAACCGGCAGATAATGGTGTCAAGTCGGGGAAGGTGTGAGTGAAGGTATTAGTACCCGGCGGAAGTGCGCAAGCCCTGACAATGGGTGCCTGTACTGGGTATTTGCCTGTGGGTCGCCAAAAATCTGTTTGAGACAGTGACAGTCCGCAGGTATGGGTACAGACAGATTTCCTATGGATGTACTTGCTGGTATACCCATCTGTACCCAGCCTTGTGTTATGGTTTATTTGAAGCTAATTACTGGTATTATAAGACACCCAATAATGATTTATAATTTCACTTATCACTTCGCGCCTTGAGCCTACAAGCTCTTGTTTTACCTTACCTTACCTTCTTATTTACTGTCCGCCCACTCCTGTGCATTCATCAATGACTACTCATGTTATAAATGAGTGTACCTCTTGAAGAGCAAAGACGAAGCCTTTGAGAAGTTCAAGATATTTGTGGCCGAAGTTGAGAGGAAACACGGACGAAAGGTCACAGAACTCCGACACGACAAAGGGGATGAATACATTGGAAAGGAATTCAATGTGTGGTGCGAAAAACTTGGAACCACTCGCCAACACACTGTAAAGAGCACACCACAACAGAACAGTGTCAGTGAACGATTCAACCGAGCTGAAGGAGTGGTAGCCATGCTTTGCCAGGCAAATCTCCCATCATCATTCTGGTCACTCGGCCTTCTCTACTACGTCGACATCCTCAACATGACTCCATCGGCATCGGTCTCCAACACAACTTCCTGCGAAGTATGGGAAGGTCGGAAACTGGACTTGTCTATGATCAGAACCTTCGGATGTAGAGCATATGTCAACATCCAGCAAAAGGATAGACGGAACCTTGATTCCCATACGACCCATTGCATTTTTGTTGGTTTTGAACCAGGATACAAAGGATGGAAATGCTTTGACCCACAATCAAAGAAATTCATCATCTGTCGAGATATTGTCTTCGATGAGACCCTTTTTCCTGGCCTATCCACAAAGTCAACCACGGTTACAGTCAAACCAGTTGGCATCCGAGACATATGGCCATATGATGATGACGACGAATGGGATACAGCACCACATGGTCTGGGAGCACCACCTGATCCGCCAGTGTTATAGACTATACGTGATACAAGCACATGTCGTCCAGTACTCAGCGACTTTGTGGTCAATGAATCAACTTGTGACTACATCAAGGGTTCCTCGCCTGTAGCTTTGTGAACCTCGGGCTAGACTTTGAGTGATAATTAAAGATGTTTGTATTTGCACTGAGCCTTGTAATAGATTTGTAGAACAATTAAGAATGAAGTGAGGAAACTACAGTAGCGTGCAAAAATATTGCACGTGACTAATCTCGCGCGCCTGAACACGCTCGATTGTTGAGCGTCTACTTGAGTACTTCATTCTCGAGACCCACTTCGAGCGATAACCGTAAAAATTAAGTGAGATAATGACAGTACGTATGGCTGTTATCTGGCCAAATTTGGTGCCAATTGAAGAGTGTGTCATTGCTCTACAAGGTGATGAAATTATGCGCGTGAGAACTTAAGAGGTGGTGGTTCATCTCCGGCGTGTATCGTCATTGAAATTGCTCTCATTTCTCAGCAACTTCACCTGCTGCCCTCAAACTCTGCATACAGCCTTTTTTACCTCTTATACACGTCCTGACGCGATGGCTCTCTGCACCCCTACCAAGAAAGCTCAGATATGGCACCTCCAAACATCTGAGAGGAGGACCTTCGGAGAGATCGCCAAATCACTTAATTTGGACGAGTCGACAGTATCCAGAAACTACCGGAAGCTGGAAAGGCAAGGCAGCAACCCCGACTTCTACTCACGACCCAAAGTTCCCGGTCGCCCACGTGTCATCACACCTCGCGCAGAAAGAAGAGCTTGTCGTGCCATAGCAACCCAGGAGTGCGGTAACGCAACAGAAGTCCAGCGACGCCTTTTTCCTCAGCACAACCCTTCAACTCTTCGTCGTATGTTTATACGCAAAGGGCTGAATGGCCGAGTGTGCCGAAAGAAGCCCTGGCTATCTGCCCGGCATATTTCCGGACACTTTTCCTGGGCTCAGACTTACCAGAAACAGCGTGAATATTTTTGGCGCCGAGTCTGGTTTAGTGACGAGTCCAAATTCAATCTTTTTGGGTCAGATGGGAAGAGCTACTGTAGGAGAAGGGTTGGCGAGGAATTTCTGGACAGGAACGTTCAGAAGACTGTCAAACATGGGGGTGGGAGCATAATGGTATGGGGGTGTCTATCATATCACGGCCCTGGACGTCTCCATCGCGTCAATGGTCGCATGAATGCAGCTCAATATGTGTCTATATTATCCGAATCCTTTCTAGGCTCACTCCGGGACCGAAACAGAACCACCCGAAACATCATTTTCCAACAAGATAACGATCCCAAGCATACATCAAAGCTCGCCGACAAATGGTTCCGTGAAAACAACATCAAAGTCCTCCCTTGGCCGCCATCATCTCCAGACCAAAACATCATTGAGCATGCGTGGGAAGAGTTAGATCAAAGAATACGGCAGAGGGAGGTCCAACCGCGGAATATTGATGAGCTGTGGGAGGCCTTACAGGAGGAATGGGCCAATTTGGATGTTTCTTATATCCGCAATCTTTATGATTCAATTCCGCGTCGCATCAATGCCCTTGTGGCTGCACAAGGAAGATATACGAAGTACTAATACTCTGTAAGTGATCTGTCCGTTTACGTTTTTCCTTTCTAACAATATCGCAGTCAACATCCATCCCCTTTCTCCAGATTTTGAGCCTGGAGTCTCCACAGCCATTTCCCTACCTTATCCTTTTTGGTTTTACGTGAAATCTCGCAATGTACTAGTTTGTACTATAGTCTTGCAGAATCCCCACTTTATCTGGTCAAAAATCGCCTGGTTACCCCGGTACGAGAAAGCTGAATGAACAAGCGCCTATCAATTTCTCACGTGCAGTATTTTTGCACGCCACTGTAACTAAGAGAACTAGAGAGTCTATATACCAGGAGACGTGTGGTAACCATGAGGCGTAGTCCTCATGGTTAACATCCGTATTCCGCGGAATGTATGTAGGTTTCATTGTGTTTTTAATAAGTATCAGTCAGCCATCAGCAATGCGCAGTAAATATGAGTAAGACGATGAGTTGAGAATGAAAAACATAAGGTAAGAGTGAGGCAAGTATAGTAATATGGTATAGTAAGCATATATGTTTATAACAGCCAGCTCCCCAGCAGGCTTTAGGAGTATGGGGGACGCTCCGAGTAGGGATGGTCAAGGGGTTTTAAAACCCCTAGGGTAGAGGCCAGGGGTAGAGCGGGGGTAGGGGTAAGGGTAGGTCTCCGGCTACCCTTGGCCAAACCCCCACCCCTGGTCGGGGGTAAGGGTTTTGATAAAAACCAAACAAAACCTATTTATTTCAACATCTATGCATTGTATCTACTAAATAACTGCTGTATGTGCGATATAGCACATAAAAATATCCATATAGACTACTATAACTAAAGGTTAGTGCCAAAATACTTAAAACCCTTGGTCAAAACCCTCAGGGTTGGGGGGTAAGGGTACTACCCCTACCCCTCAGTCAGGGGTAGGGGGGGTTGGGGGTAAGGGTAGGTGTCCAGCTACCCGGGGGTTACCCCTGTCCTTCCCTAGCTCCGAGCACAACCATGCACGAGTCAGACTCTGATTTGGATGACAACGGCACTCCTCCATACACGCTGAAACCTTGGGTCAAGAAAGAACACTCTGGAACAGACACTCCACAAGTGAAAGAGGAATTAGTAACCCCTTCTACCCCAACGGCAAACCCTCCAGTTGCATGCCACCCACCTTATCATCGAGAAGAGGAAGCCTCTCCCACACCACAAGGCCGATCGCAACCACCTGTCCCACCATTGTCACCAGAACCACTAGTAGAGAATCCCGCTCCACCCCCTGCACCAAACTTCGGGCAGGGAAGAGCAACCAAGCCAAAACCACCTCCACAGCCATCCTGAAACCCTCATCCGATACGTTCCATGGCAAGAGTCACGGATTACTACACCTTAGCTGGACACTCACACAGGGGCACTGCACAGTCTGCACCTGTCCCAAGACGAACCGTGGAGGAAGATGGTCATTGGTCATCCACCGAACCAGGACCAAGGGGGTGATCAGGTAGTAGATCAAGGGGGTGCAACAGAGGATAATCTACCACCCATCACAGCCGACAACATCGATGAGGAGGACGAACCTGACTTCCACTCAGCTTTCAAAGCAACACCAGTCCTCGACTCCATCCTGCGCATCTACAGGATGAGTGGAGAGTACCTCACGATGGCTGAAGCATGTGAAATGGCACTCGAAATGGTTCTCGACAAGGTGAAGGAAAAAGTACTTGGAGCTGCCACACGACCAGAGGACTCGCCACGCAACTGGAAGGAAGCAATGGCCCGACCAGACAGAGACAAGTGGATCAGTGCTGCTCGAGCAGAAATTGATGCCCTCATTGCCAACGGCACCTGGGAACTTGTCCAACTCCTACAAGGACGCAAAGCAATTGGATCACGCTGGGTCTTCCTGATCAAGTGAAAGTCTGATGGCACTATTGACCGGCGGAACATGTGGGATTGCGGAGGGAAGGGTTGCGGATATATGGGAATGTGGGATGCAAAGAGGTGATGGCGAGTGTGGGGATTTGCGGGATCATGCGGGAGATCATGTGAGACTGTGCGGGGAGTGTGGGTCAAGGCTGGTGAGTTGTGGGTAAATGTGGATGGATTTTCGAGACCCTAACAGCGCTTGGGAATGTCCCGCACTCATCAAATTCTATTTTACGGGAAGTGGGGGTTCTCTCTATGGTATCTATCCTTTTCAGGTAAAATAAAAACTACGGCTGAGCGTGTGATGGCGCGCCCCCCCCCCCCCCTTTCAAACCCTGCCAGACCGGTCGCTCTATTGAGCTTTTTCGCTCATAGAGCGAACGGTCATCGGTCTATTGCAGTGGTACATCGTCTTACATGTTTAATAGGCAAGGTTATGGGATTGATGTGCAGGTTCCAAATACTGCAGGGCATGGCATGATCCAAATTCATCAGCCCTCCGACATACCGCCTACATCTCAAAGGCTCTTACCTTCCACAAATTTCCTAATCCCATAATGTGAAGACCAAAGGTTGTGAGGAGAATTGAGATGCTGCAATAAAGGCTGTTGTGAAGAGCAGGTAGCAGTGTTCAGTGTTAGCTAGTGTTCACCAAGGGTTAACCCCAGGTTTTGGAAGGGCGGCCCTGACCCGACCCGCTGGTTAACCCGACCCAAAAACCCGCGGGTTTTTGCTACGGGCTGAGCTTTCTTTCATCCAAAACGGATGAGAAATGACTGAGATACGCTTGAAACAATGTTTAGTGCCTATCTCCTTCAATTCTCATCCAATTTGGATGATCTGAGGCTCGTTTTGAACAGTGCGGGTCTGGGAATGGCAACCCGTACCCGACCCGCGACAGGGTTGACCCTAAAACCCGCAGGGGCTGGTTATCACTAGATTCTAGTGTTGGCCACTGGACTGTCAGAGGCAACCTCACAGCCCAAACTGAAATTCAATGACATACATGAGATGACAAAATACTTAGATCGCAATCAATGCAGGGCTGTGATAGGGGCTGGTGCACTAGAAACAACCCCTTACCGTTATTATCTTTGTCCAGTTGGCTTTGACCTGGGTCGCTTTAAGCAAATTATCTGAAATATCCACTTATTTCTCCTCGATTTATGGTGATTCCTGTAAATCCATCAGTGAGACCTCAGGGAATTTGACCACCCTCCAGACTGTGCTAGTCAAGTTGGGCTCTTGTTTGTGCACAACTAGTTTAATTACCCTTGTCGCTGGATTCAATAATATGCAGACCAATAACCAATGTTCAGCTACCGGACATCCAGGTATCCAAATTCAAATATTGGCACTTGCAGCCTTTTCACATTCTTTGCAAGAACTAAGCTGTTATTGCCTTAGCAGACCCAGCAGAAGTGCTTGAAGGATCTTGGTTCACGGAGCCACCAGGCACCTGTCACCTGCTGAGGGATCTCACCAGACTCACCAGAGTCACGAGTGTCGAGGTTATTCCCATGTACGCTGTGTAGACAATTTGTACATCTCTATCATGGATGGCGGCTCTTCATTGTGCACTCACATTCACAGATAATGTTTTCAATGTTGGCAGTTGTCAATACTACCTCATTTCTGGGACCAGCGTAAGGCTGTCCACGAGTCGACTCAGACCTGCCATGCAAGTACTCACAGTACCAAAAGCCAAACTCGGACTCTCATGAGTTTCTTGGCATGAGTGACTCGGATCCACGAGTCAAATACTCACAAGGGTTTCTATGCCTTTAATGTAAGGAAGACGTCCCTCGAGGTCGTAGATTAGATTACTTTGTTTGGTTGTGTTAGAAACGGACACGCTCGCCGGTACTTCGCCAGTGCTCGCGCGTCTCCACCTTAGCCTCATTACCCCTCACCGTTCATCTGCGTAGATACTTAGTGCTTCCAATAAACCTTGGTCATGTGTATTCTGCGCAGTGTGAACCGAGGGCAAGGCTATATCACCACCACCACCTTACATTTAATGTGTGATATATCTATCAATATACCTTTGTTTAGTGTTCCTTTCATGGATAGACCCTACTTACAGCAGATATACAGCACTAGGGTGCTGTAAAGCCTTGTTTAAGGCCTTTTTGCAAGTACTCATAGGCCAAAATCCCAAACTCGGACTCGCATGAGTACCTTGGCACGGGTGACTCGGATCTGTGAGTCAGGATACTCACAAGTATTCCCATGGGTCTACTTGCAAGTACTTGTGAGTAGGGCTGACTTGTGGACAGCCTTAGACCAGCGGAAAATCTCAGCAGACATAACAGCCACCACTGTTTCGTTTCCTCTGTAAATCCTACCGTCAAACGAGCAAATTATGACTACATGGATTCATCCTCTGTCCACCAAAACATCGACTTTTGTTCCAGAAATTGGTGTATACATCCAAATGATCCCTCTCTATTCAGTGGTAAAATTTGTTTTATAAAAAAGGTCAGAGTAGACCCTAGAAATCAACCAATACCGAGCCTCCTTGTTACCTTGCAAAGCAAGGTTTTCTCCCAACCAGTATTAGATAAACCCCCTGTCCCAATTGACAAAGCAATACAAACAGTCGATGTGAAACTAAGTACATAGGAGCGAATTTCCAAATCAAGTCTCTACCTAGTACCCTCGGCAAAATATCCCTCGTCTCTTCGTCTAATCGTTCGAAACATGGTCACCGGTACAGAAATATACTCCACCTCAAACAGCCTGAACTGCTGAATCCTGCCCCAAATAACTGAATCAACCTGCTGACCTTTGGTCTGCGGGATTGGTGGCTTGCGAATGTATACAGTGGTGTGACAGGGTATTTTTACATGGGACGTACTCCTCCGTGTTTGCGTTCTGTTCTCTTGAAGCGTCGACCAAAGTTCCCAATGGTCTGCCAGTGGGAGCCGTAGATTCTTCTGCACTTGGATCTTTGGTCACAGTTTCATAGTTAAACATACCCTTGGTGTCGAATCATTGCGTGTTCTGATGTCGTTGCGAATAATCGCCAACATCAAATTGGGACCTGGGTTCAGCGGGAGCTCGTGTGTCTGTCCTGTGACCGCCGAGTCCCGACGGATGGCGCAACGACAATGCCTGAAAACTGTGCTCTTTGCTTCGCAAGGTATAAGCATCGGTGCCCAGCCGGCCTTTCAGATCATACCTCCCCTTTCGGAACCCGAAACTCCCACCCAAATAATGCCAAACACTTTGATTTACCCTGTAGTAGTAAATCAAGCGAAATGACGTTATCTACAAGCTCTGTATTAGCTGTATTAAGCCTTCTTGGCTCAGTTGGCTAGAGCGCAGGTCTCATATTTCGGTATGAGTGAGCATTGGCTCATAAAATCCTGAGGTCGCAAGTTCGAGCCTTGCAGGGGGCATTTTTTTTTGTGTATACATACGTCTTTATCCCCACTTACAATTGAGTCGAACGAATGAGTGCCGTTTCATAACACATACCATGTACACATTACTAGTCCAATTGCATCTACAACTACATTATATGTACTACTTCGAATCCGACTGAGAAATCTTCTTCATCTCAACAGGCGTCGAATGTTGATGCCCATTCATAACTGCTCGCATCCCACAATCCCTCGGGGCCAGATCACCGCACTTGACGTGGGTCCTACGCGCAACACAATCAATACCGAGATGACCAGACAAGAGAAAAAACACACACCTCAACCCACAATCATCGCACTCCAAAAACGGCTTCCACCCAATCCTCTTCGCACAAAGGTCACATTTCGAAATCAATAACCCGCTCGAGAAGAATATCTCCAGCGGGTTCCAGACCGAGGTTTCGACAGAACTCTGGGTGACCACCCCAGCAGTACCTCCCGCCCCTCCTATACCTCCCGGTCCTCCACCCAACGACACCTTCTTCGGCTTTGTACCGGGCTTCAACAATGTGAAGCGATGTACAGTCGGAAGGACTGCATGTCCAGGAGCATGCAGCGATCGAATGGTGGAGCCACCCTCAGTTGCATACGTGCTTGAAATGACGCTTTCACCTGTGTTGGCTGTGCGATACGAGTCGAGGGTTGCGATGGACACGATCGAAGGTGATTCCAGAGGGTCCACACTCGCAGTAGATGCGTGAGATATGTCGGACGTTGTCGCCGGGAGGACGTGTTCAGGGACACGATTAGGATCGGGTGAAGGTCTGATAGTCAGGATTGAGGATAGAGCGGGTGCGGAGGGCGTATTAGAATGTGCAGCTTGACGGATAACGGAGGTGCTATAGGTTGATCCATTAGGCGTATGTTGATTGTCGAGTAGAGGTTGTACACCTGTACGACTAGTCAACAGACGAATAAGCAGGGGATGGAATCCTACTCACTAGATGAAGTACTCCAGGCCGACCTTTCCTCCAATCCGGCCTTGGTAATCGTTAACCTCGAAACCGCCTCCATCAGCTCCTCGTCACTCTCATCGGAGCTGGCGCTACTGGCACTGCTCATACCACTGCCACCTCTGATATCCTTCCCAACTCCCATACCAAAGCTCGGAATCCTAGGTGCGGCCCCGGGCCTGCGGGCGCCCGAAATAAACCTAACGCTCCCCACATTGACATCACCATCCTCGGCAGGCCTCGCAAGTACCTCCGCTTCGATTAACCTCAACCTGTCCAATATTTCCCTCGTCCCAGGCCTCCTCGCTGGCTCGGTATTCAAGCAATCCAAACATAGCTTCAAAAAGTCCTCCGGACAGCCAGGGGTAGCAAGCTTTCTCACCTCCTCGGGGTCAATTCCAAACGTCGGTGGGTGACGCTTGAAATGCCTATCGTCCGCCAACCTTCTCGCCGCAATCTCGCAAAAGATGATCCCAAGGGAGAAGACATCGGTAGGGAGATCAAACTCGTCGCCAAGGAGGATTTCAGGGGACATGTAGGAATCGGTGCCACAAAAGGTGAGACGTCTCAGCTCCTCCTCGTTCCTAGCTGCAATCCTGGCGAAACCAAAGTCGGTGACCTTGATGCGACCATTGGAAGTGACAAGGAGATTCTCTCCCTTGAGATCGCGGTGGATACACTTGCGGGCATGGAGGTAAGCGAGTGCGCGTGCGACGTCTGTTGCAAAGGACATTCTGAGGCGCCAGGGGAAGGGTTTGTTCTTGTCGTGGATATAGAGGCGGACATTTCCTCCTTCGATGAACTCTGAGACGATGAAGATGCGGTTATCGGGTGGAGGAGCGCGGCTGAGGCCAATGAAAAGACAAATGTTGGGATGCCTGCATTCCTTCATGAGCCTCCATTCTCGTTCAAAGTATTTTGCAACGTCGTAGTCGTTGGATGGGAGAACCTCTTTGATCGCCACATCGATGCCCAGGTAACTGCCTGCATAGACAATTGGAGATAAATTCGCAATAGATTCAGGGAAGACGCACCCTTGTAGACGTTGCCAAAAGAGCCTGAACCTAGTTTCTTCCAATCCCCCTTGATGTCCTATGTGGATATATGAGTGTGTGGTATAGATCGTTTGAGAAATAAGAGGACCTCGTAGGGAATAACATCAAAGGCATCTGAATGCATGGTATAGGTGAGAGTGGTGAAAGGAGTGAAATAAGAGACTGGTCAGGAGTGAAATAACATTTCAGTCGTGGATCCGTCGAAACCCAAAAGGGTAGTTGACTGGAAATCCGCTGCAGCCGGCTCGAGCTCGGTTTCAGAAGACAACAACACAACCTTTGTGCTCATCGCCAAAGTCGCTCCTCATCGTCGTCGGCGCCAGTGTCGGCATCTTGACAAACAGGGGCAGATTGTGATCTTCGCACGCAAGGAACAGACGGCGGCGTCGTTGGACCATCCTTGAACATCTTCTACAACTATAGATGCAATTCAATCCTTCCTTATAATACCCTCTACCATATTCTCCTTCATATAATTCCTTAAACAATGTCAAAACCCTCCCTCGACTCTGACTTGTATGGTGGTGCGTACAACCTCTGTCCCCACCTCACCGCTAAGCTCACTGAACACAACAGACATCTATGGCGACGAGCTCCAAGACTTTCTAGACGACGACGGCACTGCCAACGACGCTACTGAACAAACTTCCACAGAACCCCAGGACGCTTCAGACGATGCTAACCGCTCAGCCTCGCCCCAGCAAGCAATGGACACGTCAAGCTCAGACAACACCCAGCCAGGCCAGCTCTCTTACTCGGCACAAATCGCTCAGCAGTTTTCTGCCTACAAGCAGACGCCCAGCCAGGAGCGCCAGCAGCGCGCCGCCCAGCGCCCCATCCCCCGCGTGGATTCATCCACACCCGCTGCCTCGTCCTCAGACAGCATATTCGGCAAAAAGCCGTCAGAAATGCACGATGCTGGGTGCGTCCTCCTTGTCTTTTTGAGTCCTCTACCGGACGTTTATTCACGACCTACCGGACCCCTTTACTACTCGATATCCGTGATACCCGCTCTTTATTACCTCCATCGGCCATACTACCCGCATGTCGTACCTATCCATATCCTCACTGTAGGAAAATGTTCATAGGCGGTCTTAGCTGGGATACTACAGATGGTACTATTCCTTACCCATACCTCTACCTTCTTCCGCTAATCATTGTTCTGAAACCGTTCTAGAGGGATTAAGAGACTACTTTGAACAATTTGGCAAGGTATGCCGAACACAAAACAACCAACAATGTCTCCTCGTTAACTCGTATCCAAGGTTGACGCATGTACCATCATGCGCGATCCAAATACAGGCACCTCCCGTGGCTTCGCATTCCTTACTTTCGAGGACCCAAACTGCGTAGACCTCGTCCTCAAGCAAAGTCACTCTCTCGATGGCAAAGCAGTTCGTAGCCCTCTTCCCCGTTCTCTCCACAACGTCCTTATCTCACTCCCAGATTGACCCTAAACGCGCTATTCCACGCGAAGAACACCTCCGAAACACTCGCTTCTTCGTCGGCGGCCTCGCACACTCCACGACCTCTGAATCAATGAAAGCCTTCTTCTCCTCCTACGGCAAGGTCGTAGACGCAACCGTCATGATGGACAAGGAAACAGGCCGTTCCAAAGGTTTCGGATTCGTCACTTTCGAAGACGTCGGGACCTCGTTGAACCATATCGTTGGGAAGATTGGGTTGGTGTTGGACGATAAGGAGGTAACAACTTCCATGGCCTGGTTGGCATTCCTATACTCACCCTGATCACTCCCGTTAGATCGAAATTCGCCTCGCACAAGCCAGAAACCAACGGGACCAGACCCGCAACCTCGTGAATAAGATAACATCCGACAGAGGCTCCACACCCGACCGCTCCTCTACCACGCCTTCACCTGCACTTTCCCTCCCAGCCCTCAACCTGGCTCAAATGGGTCCAATGGCGGCCATGCTTTTCAACCGCTCAATGGGTAACTTGGGCGCAATGAACATGGCAAATATGAACAACAACCCCATGTCCATCCCCAACACGCCCATGAACAACATGGGTATGCCGATGAATATGTCGATGAACAACATGAACCCCGCAGCAGGAGGCGCAATGCCCCTCAACGTGATGGCGGCGATGAACCCAATGATGCTCGCCAGCCTCAACATGGCCAACCTCGCGTCCGGAAATGCCAGTGGCGGAAATTCAAACTCTGCCGGCGCACCCATCCAGAACCCACTAAACGCTATGGCGGGGATGAATATGATGCTGATGAACGGTCTCAACCCCACCATGCGCATGGGTATGGGCGGTATGATACCCGGTATGGCTGGCGCTGCAGGGATGCAACAGGGCATGGCCGGGATGATGAACAACAGCGGTCGCGGAAAGCCTGGCGGGATGCAACCCAATGGACTCGGCCCCGCGCGTACTCACGGTGCGATGAGGAAGCAGCAAGGTTTCCATCCCTATTCGCGCTGATCTCAGTGTATGATCTGTCTTCTCTCGATCAACAGTTTATTTTTCTCTTTGTGCATTCTTGTTCCCATGTCATTCAATCGTCTCGGACTCCCCCTTCCATCCACCATGTTCTTCTCAATCACCTTCCGATTCTTTCTGTTCCATTCCTCATCTTGGCCATCGCTCTCAGCTTATTATTTAATGTCTTCCCTTCCGACTCGCACCCTTTCTTGTACTTGTACCGCCACCGCCTTTCCATCCTGTCCTCGTCCTTGATCACCGATACTCCTCCATCTTTTCCAATAGGCGTTATACATTATGTTACTCTACGCTTTAGCTTTTATTACTTATCGGGCGCGCAACTTCGCACTTGTACATATATATATCCTTTACTACATATGAGAAATTAGCTGTTCTTTACTGTAATTGCTCGTATTTGCCGTTATTCGTTAGCGTTAGTCGAATGTTGTTCCTGATTGGTTCCTCTTTCTCGGGGTTACAGGCCTGTATGGTTACGTTCTTGGACATTGCTCAGCCTTACTCGCCGGCACTCACTTCTTTAGTTACTACATACCTCTTGTTTCTTCAACCAGTTCCACGACAGACTTTCAACCTGAAGCCTACCTTTCTCTGGTACAAATATAAGTCCATAACCAATGTCCCGAACGACGAATAATACAGGGCCAGTACAGTACATACATGCCCTTAGAGTGAAGGTATATATCAGTTCCACGAAAGAATCAAAGTCAGGTAAGATCTGGTAATTGGCCGGGGACCTCATCTATAGCGGATGCACCTCTTCCCCTACACCCAGCTGGATCATTAAGCTTTGCACCACCCATCACTGTTCCTGATGTAATTAATGCTCCCATCCGGCTGGGTCTGGCCACCCTCATTGGTCGCAGTGCTGGCATCGTGACAGCCCTTGAACAACGCACAAGTAAGCTGGGTACTTCCATCCTTGCCGTTCACGTCGTAGTAGGCTGGGTGAAACGGAAGGTAAGACTCGGATCTCCTCGGGCTGCGGGACAAAAGGAAACGCACTGTTTGCAAACTTGCACTCGGGAATGCCATTGCACATCGCCTTGCAATCTACAAAAATCTCAATCAGTTTCCTCCCTCACATATTCCAAGAAATAAACGTACCAGGAACAGTATCAACCAATCCAAAAGTCAAATAATCATGCCCTTGCGTCGCACCCGTCAAGTTCTTGAAGGTCTGCTCATACCCATCAGCCGGAGGAGTAGGCGTGGGTTGAGGGTAGGTGCCAGTCGGGGTAGGCTTTGGGGGCGGGCGGGGCGGGAGCTTAGGGCACTTGAATGGAAGTGGGAGGAGGTCCAAGAGTCTGCATACGAGCTGCAAAAAAGGGAAATGACCATAATTAGCAAATGGACTTCTCGATGGGGTAAGAGAAAGCGGCGGACGTTTGAGCCCGAGTCCGTTGCCAAGAACATGCACTCCAAGGCCGAAAGACAAAGTGCGATGGAGATGCGGTGTCCGTGTCCAAGCTCCATCCGTCTTTCTCGCCAGTGAAACTAGTACTCACCCCAACCAAACAGAACAACTTGGGATGCCTCTCTGGGTGCGGCCCAAAGTACCAACCCGGCACAGCGCCTCCAACCCACGGAGGCCTGGGCGCATTATAATTGGTTCTCGCCGAAAAGTCGACACCCAACAGCCTGACTGGGTCGAGGTCGATGAGCAGCGCGTTTGTGGTGACAGCCGTGTTGAACACGGCGAGGAAGGAGAGGAAGAGCGTGAGGAAGCGCATGGTGAATTGTGGTAGCACCAAGTACTGGGAGATGAAAAGGCGAACTGAAAGAGTGCGCTGGGGTTCTACCAAACGCGAGCCACAGGCGTTTAAATATCCCACCGCACCCCCGGTCGCCACGTCTTTCTTTGCTTCCGTCTTCCTCCCCCAGCGGCAAAGGTGGGTTTTCTCAGCACGTCCATTCGGCAGGCACACGGATCGAAAACCAGACACCGAGACAAGGCCCACCCATCTATCAAAAGTCACATTCCTTCCATACATCCTATCGTTTCTGTCGTTCCGTACCTATACACATGGGTACCTGGCTTCTCCAGTGATACAGGCTTGATAGACCAAGTCCGGAGATATTCAACTAGACAGCCCTTGAGAACGGAATGGACGCACAAGGCAGGTCTTGGGAGTGAATTACACTTTCCTGACACCGGACATCACCCACCCGACAATTAAACAAAGTTCTTATCGCCGCACAATCTAGTTCTTTCACGACAGATGCTACACCCCTCGACAAGGATCAACAAAAGTTTCTCACTTTGACAGTATGTAGCTGGTGCTTCGCAGGTCTCGAACAGTGGATCTAAAGACCGCTTATACCGCGATGCCCTTCAGTCGTTTGTCACAAAAAACAGGCATCTCGTTATCCATAGCCATTCTCATGTCTCGTCAAAGTGAAATTCCCTAACCAATAAACGTTGTCCTCTCGAGCTGAGAGCCGAATAGCGCTGGTTCGCGGACACCTGCCAAAGTCTTTCTTTCATCCGCAATTGTTAGAGAAGTCTCAGCCTTGGCGTCTTCCATGCGCGTCGAACGCTAACGCGTTCAAGTTCGGCCCGCCTGCGTCCGAGATTCAAGTGTCAAGGCGGTGGTACATCCGCTGAATTCTCGCCTTGAACCACATGCTTGATTTCGCCCGCCCATCAAATGCCACCTTGACTATGCCAGAGCAGACCAGTGCCATGGTCCAGAGTCGACCATCTGTCGCCGTCTGATTTTCCTTCACGAAAACAAGGTTGATACAGCTCTACTTGAATCAAAGATGGGCAGTCATCCTATTAAGCCTATAAATGATGGGCGCATGGGATAAGGGGATAAGCGCTCAAGGGTTATGATCCGATCGAGGCCATCAAGCGGGGTTTGACTCGGCTTTGGACTGAACCAGACTCAGTATGCAGCATTGAGGGGGAAAGGGCGATGCCGCAAACAGTCCCCACATCGTCCGCCTACAACAAATTTATTCTCTATGAGAACAGAGTTAGGTTCTACATTATCGCCTCAAACACCACCGACTCGAGGCATCGTATCATCAAGATCGACCGGACGACGCAAGATGAACTGGTTATCGTCGAGGATGAAGGAGAGTACAGCGGGAAGCAGATGAGTGCGATGCTGAGGATGCTGGACGACGGGACTAGGCCGCACGGTGGATTGGGCAAGGCCAGGGTGTTCTTCGGTGTCGCAGGGTTCATCAAGTTCACAGCAGGCTGGTACATGATCCTCATCTCAAAGCGCTCAGTCGTCGCCCTGCTAGGTGGCCACTATCTCTACCACTGCGAGAATGCAGACATCATCCCTGTCTGCTTCAACCACAAGATTGACAAGCCAACAGAAGAGCAGCGGCTAATGAACATCTTCAAGCAGGTCGACATGTCCAAGAACTTTTACTTTAGGTGAGCTGGCTCCTTTGAATTCAATTCAACTAAAGTCTCAACAATTTTTAGCTACACTTATGACCTTACGTCCACTCTTCAAGACAATCTCGTCGGCTCAACACGCATAGCTCGACGCGATTATTCTTTCAACGACCGTTTTGCCTGGAACTTCCACATGATGTCTGCTGCCTTTACCAGCACCGAGAAACCAGCACCCAAGCAACACTGGTTGGTCCCACTTATCCATGGACACGTTGACCAAGCCAGTATGTCCAACCGCCAATCATGCTATTCCTTTCTGACCATTCCCAGAGTTAACCGTGCTGGGACGCGTCGTATTCGTCACCCTAATTGCCCGTCGGTCCCGCCACTTTGCAGGCGCACGCTATCTCAAGCGAGGTGTTAACGACGAAGTGCGTCTTTCTATATCATCTCTTACTTCCCTAACCCACGCCTCAGGGCAACGTCGCCAATGAAGTCGAAACAGAACAAATCGTATCTGAAGCACTGACGACACCTTTCTACTTTCCCGACCGCTGCGACTCCGATAATAAACAACAGCGACGACCCAGTCCCAAATACACTAGCTACGTTCAAGTACGTATACAGGTCATCAATTCCCTTCAACTATCCTGACTCCTGCGTAGTACCGAGGCAGTATCCCAGTCTATTGGACACAGGAAACAAACAGCATGGTTCCTAGACCTCCCATTGAAAGTACGTCTCACCCTATCTCTACCTCCATTCCAAATTTGAACTCCCCCGTACAGTCAGTGTAGTGGACCCCTTCTTCTCCGCAGCAGCCAAACACTTTGACGACCTCTTCAAACGCTACGGAACTCCCATCACAATCCTAAACCTAATCAAACGTCGCGAACCCGTCCCTCGCGAATCTAAGCTGCTCGACGAATACACCCAATGTGTTCGATACCTCAACCAATTCCTACCCAAGGACAAGAAGATGGTCTACCGCGCCTGGGATATGTCTCGAGCTTACAAGGAGTGAGTCGTCCATTCCTACACACCGTGGAGTGCCTGGTGACCGTTGCCGGTGACTAGGAAAACCCAAGACGTGATCAGCTATCTCGAAGATCTGGCCGAGGAATCCATCCAACTAACCGGATTCTTCCACTCGGGCCCGGAGCCCTATTCCCACTACATCCAGAATTCTGCCTATTCCTCCTCTTCCTCCTCCCCATCTTCTTCACCATCACCATCCCCCATTCCCTCGGCTACATTCGATACTTCCTCTACCGACTCTTCCAACCCCCAACCCGCTGTCTGGCGCAACACCATCAAACTCCAAAATGGAATTTGTCGCATCAACTGCGTAGATTGCCTAGACAGGACCAACGCAGCCCAGTTCGTATTCGGTAAACGCGTCCTCGGCCACCAGCTGTACGCACTCGGGATCGTCGACAACCCTAACCTCGCATTTGATACCGATGCAGTTAACATGTTAACCGAGATGTATCATGATCATGGAGACAGTGAGTGTGACCGTGTTGGTGTCTCCTTCGGAGCGCTGAAGTATTTTTAGCTATCGCATTACAGTACACAGGAAGCGCGCTGGTCAACCGCGTTGAAACGTACCGACGTATGCCTCACTGGAACAGTCACTCGCGGGACATAATCGAGAACATCCGGCGTTTCTACGCTAACTCCCTTCTCGGTGTGTTTCCTGCCTCCTTTTCCATTCACCTCCATCCATAGCCTCTTCCTGACCCGTTCCCCACAGATGCAGACAAACAAGCAGCGATAAACCTTTTTCTGGGCATTTCTTCTTCCGAAGAACGCACAATCACGAACCCGCCTGTCCGCGGAGGCTACCGCTCTTGGTTCAACCCCGACCACCTTTCCACAGCCTACCTCCTCTCTGAATGCTCAGACGCCCTCGAACAGTTTGCTAAAACTAAGGGGGATTTCTGGGTGGAATATTACAGGCCTAGCTTATTCACATCCATGGGTAAGCACTTTGCGTATTCGATGAATAGCACGTTGAAGTTGCCCGGGTGCGTTATTTCGGTGGAAATTGTAAAAGACGGATCTGACGAAGTGCAATATAGGAAAACTGTTAAAGACCTCCACCAAAGTCCGTTCGAACCGCACCATCTCAGATCTACGGATCCTCAATCTCGGTGCGGCATCCTCATACTTTCCGGCCCTACATTCCATCTCACTGAGGCTGTCCTTCTTAACAGCGTGGTACAAGGCGTCCGCCGCTGGATAGGCTCCCAGACCAACCCACACCACCATCACCACACCAAGAAAGCACATTCCAAGAACCCTGCCTCCCGGCATACTGAGAAGGCGAAACCTCTAGGTGGAGCTGTGATTGATACGCACAGTACGGAGTATATCGCCACGCAATTGTTGGATCCCAGTGTACCCGAGGACGAAGAATTGGAGTACCACGGGTGCGTGTGTTCCCTATTTCCTCCAGCTCTCCCTGATTGACAATGCCCTGGCACCAACAGCTACATCTCCCAATGCACAGACCTCCTCGACGCCCCACTTTCAGCGCCCGGCGGCGAACGCAAGGACTATGAAATTTACAAGCTTGCCATCGACACCTCCGTCGGATCCACCCCCGACTGGCCAGACGAGATCCCGCGCGAGTTCATGCTGAGTGTGGATCGTGCTTCGACCGCGTATCTGGATTCTGGAGCGGGGAGAAACCCCTTCCCTGTGACGTTTAATTATGAGAAGTGGTTGGGTGGAATTATGCAAGTTTGATTTGGCCCGTGGGTGGTTGAGTGGGTGAGGACTCTCAGCGGGCAAATCGCGGTGGTCTTCCATTGGCATGCCCTCTGGCCTTGACCTTGGAATCTCCCAGCTGATCATGATTCCAAAACCGTAGGCATGTAGCTTACCGACATGTCCCTAAACAGTAACAACCGGGCGAGTCTATACTTATTGCATTATTTTCGATAAACTGGTCGCCTTCTCTTGCTCCGCAGGGCAGGTAAGTCGTAGTGAAATTTGATTCACCAGCGGATGACCTTTTCGACCTTATCCCCTCCGCAACTCATAACGGTCAGACTTGTCACATATCACAGGTCTAGCTGTGGAATCAGAGACAATCGAAATGAACGTCGCTTTCCTGGCTTGCAGTCACTGGCAGCCCTGAATCCACTCCGCGGATCAGTGGAATCGTTCATATTCTACAATCCTGCCCTACTCGAATAACATAGTCCCAAGTGATACATTACTCCTCCTTCCCCTTCCTAAATCTCTCGATTACACCTCTTCCCTTCACAATCCACCAAACCGCCAAACACCCTAACGCCAAGAACCCACCCACACCCACATGCGCTATCACCCTCCAATCCAGCAAGACCGCCAACCGCTGTTTCTCCTCCAGCACCCGTCCCACTTGAAGTTTCCTGTAACTGATTCTGACTAGCCACGCTGAAAGAAGCGAGGATAGGATGAATGGCAACGGAGGGATAATAGTTTTCCAAGGGATTCGGATCGTCGGATCCGCGGAATGGAAGTATCGAGACGCAAACGCTAAGCAGTAGGCAATGCGCGCGAGGAGGTTGAGGATGTTGGCATAAATGAGCGAAACGTCGCCAAAGCCTAACCGGTAGAATAGGATAGTGACGGAGACGTAGACTATGGAGAAGAATACCATCCACCTGGTAGCAGCGATGGCACATCAGCAGCAGCTCATCTTGAAGTAGCAACGTGCACCACTCACCGACTCTGTCGATTAACCTCACGGGTTCCAGCCACACTCGCCAAAAACGCCTCCAACGCACCATTCACAGCCAAAACAGGGATATACCACACCCAGGCATCAAGAATCCTCGGTGCACTCGTCTCCAAATACCTCCTCGGCAACAAAACCGGGAGAAGAATGCCGATATATGCAGATCCAAAGATAGTCACGATAAATGAGAACGCGACTTGGGTCGAGAGTAAGCTAAGAAGGGCGGTGGATGCCTGTACCAGAGCTGCTTTGGGCGGTTTCGCGTTGGAGGACGGGGCGGGGGCGAGTAGTTTCGAAAAGAACACACGGAGAGTTTCTTCGATCGGCTGGAAGACGATTCTCGCAATTAACGAGCCTGTCAACGTCATTTTAATGGCCAGCCCTCCTGAAAGCAACGGAACTCACCATAGTTGACGGCAATAGCATACCCTCCCTGGTCCTGTAACGGACTAAAGAACGAAAGAACAACCTTATCGCCCTCCGTCAAAAAGTGCTTAATGACACTCTGCAGCGTCATGGTCATCGACAGCTTCAATAGCATCTTATCGAAGTCAAAATTTGATATCCTCCCCTTGGTTACCCTACACAACTGGAGTAAACACCAGGTCTTCCCTCAAACAGCAGCGAAATACTCACCTCTCGGACGAATTCAACCATGGCACGCCCAGCATCTTGGCATAATACCCAAATACCACAAGACTATACACCAACTGTCCCAGGGCGAAGGCAACGAGGGGTAAAGTGCCTTGCCCCCACCTCTCATCGTACACCAGCACTCCAAACGTCACCAAGCTCTTACACGTTATCCCCAAACCCTCCGCTCTAACCCTCACATGCGTCTTTAGCTGTACCATTGCCCTGTGGCGTTCGCACAGCGCCAATTCCTTCGTCAATGCCTAAAGGCATGGAGAGAATAAGGAGAACGCACATATTATGCATAGGCTCGCTCGCCAATTCTACAAGCGCCGCAACAGCATAGAGAGCCACCGCCAGATGCAACCTCGGCTGCCTCAACACCTCCTCACTCGCAAGCGCAACATAACCCACACTAGTCGCAAGGGCAAGCGGCAAGCCCAAATAAAATGGCAAGAACGTCAAGTTCCTCGCTTTGATCGTCTGCTCGTCGTCCTCTTCACCCTTTACCTTCCCCGCTTTGGCCTCCCCACCCCCACTTCGCAAAATGGCGCCCCTCACCCCTTCGCGGCTCAAAAACAAGATGGTGCTCAACACCAGTTCGAACTGGATAGCAGCAGTTCCGAAGACACTAGGCGAAGCTAATCTGATTCACAGGTGAGTATCACCTGGGGTAATCATCGAAGGCACACTCACCGAAATAACGCTTGGTTGAGTATAGAGGTGAATAACCTCGAAAATAGCTGGAGAGCAACAAGGAAAGACAGGGAAGAGAACGATGAAGTTGTCAACGACTTGGTCTCCCCATCCTTCGTCCCAGCATGGGCATCGTCTTTTCGAACCGGATTCGAATTTGTCGCGTCCGACGGCGCCATCGCCGCTGAAGGACGCTGTTGATGGTGGACGTCGAGGTCCAAGAAATGGCTTCCGGTCAGCCTGATCCGTCCTGACTCCTGCAACGTGTCAGAAAATTCAGAAAAGATTGGGTATCAAGCAGAGTGCATTCTACCATTTTTCAATAGCTAGGTACAACTACACTACGTTGAGATCGAGATAGAGGAAACAGAAAACAAAACTCAGAAGGTCGTCGACGTCGTCGTCAGTCGTAAGCAAGCAGGCAACTGAACAAGGGGGTGCTATGACCGGCAGAACGAAAGATTGGGAAGGGCAATGACCAGAGAAGAAAAGAAAAGCTAATAACACAAGAGAATCGAGTATCGTAATCCTACAAAACACGCTCCAAAACGGACATTGGGCTAGGGCTATATACAACGAAAGCAAAAATCGCATTCGATAAAATTAGATCTCAATAAAGATACCTCTCCCTCCCCTCATTAATCAACTTCCTCACTCAACCTTCCCCCACCTCTCACTACGACAGCGCCCTCCTCTCCAGTCACAATATCCTTCTCCTTGTGAAGGGTTCTCACGACGCTCCTGGGCGCAACGCCCAAGACAGCCTCAGCAAATGCCAACATAAGCACCACGCCAGCGTTAAACAATCTCCACTCGCGACCTATCACGTCCAGCCCGTACACATGCTCCTGTGCTGCAAGCTTGGAATAGGGATATGCATACGCAACGGCGAACCTGATGATGGCAGCTGTAAGCGAGTCGAAAGGCGGTGGAGACGGTAGGCTTGTTCTGGGCTGTTGAGGGGCAGAAGCGGATTGTGAAGCGTCAAAAGTGCCGTCAGCTGCAAAGTCGACTGTTGTGCTCGTGGTGCGATGTTGAGGTGGTGGTGGTGGGGGCGTGAAGGAGATTAAATGACCAGCGAAGGCAGGGACAATCAAGGTTGGGATCACCCAATGTAGAAGTACAGTCCAAAACGCAGAGGTTTGGAAGGCTGCTAATGGTGCGTAGGGAATGGATAATGAGAGCCCGTCTGGTTTCGGTGAAAGGGGAATCTGGAGAGTTGGAAAAAGTTTGATGAGGATTAGCCAGTCTACAAGGGAGTGGCATGGGATAGAAACTGACCGCGAAATAGGCCCATGGGATGACGGTATACCAAATGTACCCAAACTCGAACAACGCAGTTAGCGTCCACAAGTTTTGGGAGTTTGACAAGAACTGTGGGAGCACGTCAGTACACGATACACACACATACTCCACAAACACTCACCTCTCTCGTCGCCTCTAGGTATTCGTGTCCGTTATGGATAATCTCTTGGGTTACGAGTTTCTCCTGAACCGCTGGAATGATTTGCTGCGGTTTTGAAATGACCTCGATGATACTCTTGGCCGGACTTGGTGGTAGGGAAGGCAAGACGCTGGGGGACCCCTCATTATCGGCCATAGCGGTTATAGGCGCAGCGGGGGAGGCAACGGATTTAGCAGGAGAGGCTTGTGGTGTAGCAGTAGACGGCGGAGATGAGAATACGGGTTGTTTGAGAGCCATTGAGACATCTCTCAAGTCATGTGGAGGAGTTGACTCTCGAATAGGATCGAGAGGGGCAATGCGCAAAGAGGAACGCGGTTTTTCCGACGCGGTGCTCGGTGGAGCCTTGAGTCTAATAGATAGTCACATATTAGTTCATCGCTTCAAGTAGTCATAGAAATGACATACCCCGTTGGTGCGACACTCCCGCGCCTCCGCCCTCTGGCGTATAGTCCGGCAAACTTGGCGTCTTCCTCGAGTTCGGGGTTGTTGTCAAGGTGTTTCTTAATTCTGGTCTGTAAATCGTCTTTAGTGCCCTGATCGCTGATATTGAGGGCGGTCGCGATGTCCTGGAGTTCGGATTTCTTCTTTGGTGCAAGGGCACCGGTAAAGGCGACAGGGGCCATGACGGGAGGAGAAACACAACTTGATCAACAGCCCCGTGTTCAACAATCCCTGTCACGCGTATCAAAATTTGTCTCTGTTTACGCGACCAGTCACGTGATCGCTCAATATGGGAACCTCTCCTAAACCTTGGTTCAAGAGACAAAAGACGGTTAGAAAATAAAAGACGGGGTATTCGGAGTAGAAGAGGGGTATAGAAAAGACCTGTATGGTATAGACGATGGAGGAGAATGAAATGGGAGTTGTGGTTGCTATCAATCAATTGTCGTTGGGATAAAAGACCATCAGTGTGATTCCGTTGCCTTTAGCCTGGCTTTCCCTCTTTCTTCATCGTCCTCTGGTAGGATTCCCATACTTTCCTTTATTTTTCGCCGCAATGCAGTTCCTTTTCCTCGTCTTTTCTTTCGTCGTTGCTCTGGCTGGCCAAGGTACCCATTTTTAAGCCCCTAAGCACGGCGGTTGCTAACATAAACCAGTGCTCGCTTTCGATATTCCGGATCCGCACAACAAGATCACCTACACCACCCAGAATATCCTCAACCTTCCAGATGGTCCTGTTACCCAGGCTGTATGTCGTCCCTATTCATTCAGAATCCAGCTAATAGCCACTGTAGTGTGCAGCCAACTTGACTTTGGCCAGGAACATGATCAATGGCTGCAACGACAACACCGCCTGCCTGTGCGGAACGGATGTGGTCTGGGCTTTGGTGGACAGCCAAACCTGCATGCTCCATTTCCTCATCGACAGGAACCTTCCGTCTCCCGATCTCAAGGTCGGCTCAAACATCATCGTCTCGGGTATGCACCACCACCGTCCAAGTCTTTAGGTTTGCGCTGACCGACTGCTGTCGACAGGATACGCTGCACAGTGTGCTGCCTTGGCCAACGTTACCTTGCCACCCGAGCTGTCTGCGTTGACTTTGCCTGAGAAATGGGATGGCCCGTTTGTCGCTGTTCTCCCCGTCGGCGGTGCGGTTGTTGTTGTGATCATCGGGGCGTTGCTGGGCGGGTCAGCACTGTTCCTGCTTTCCAACTTAGACTAGTGGTTGTATGTAGCGGCATTTGCGATGAATGATACAAGGAATATGCGGTTCCCACGATTCGATCTCCGCGTTGTATAGAGGAAATTGGTAGATGGAACTGGTCAACTCTAACCTCCACAATGTCCACCTACAAATCTGCAATTCGCACCCAAACGCAACAAGGCGAGCCAGAGCCTTTCAAGTATCGCAAGGAACTGCGCCATCTTCAAGACGCTTTTCCAAACTGGACAAACGATGGTAAAACAACACACCTTTTTCACCCAAAAATTCATTCCCTGACGACGTCTCAAAAGACCTCCAAACCCTTCTCCTCGAAGTGAACGGCGATGTCCAGCTGGCTGCCACCAGGATCACAGACGGTGCGTCGTTTTCGCCACCTCGTTGCCATCGAGCATCAGGGTGACATGTCACGCTCTCCACCGCCCAGGCGTTGCGGTTCAGTGGGGCGAAGTTTCACGCAAGAAGGACAAAAAGACGCCATCTGCTGCCCAAGGCTCAAAGGATCATGCCCCAGTCAGAGGCGACTCTCGTGGTGGAAGGGGTGGTCGAGGCGGCAGGGGCGGTCCCCCAGGACGCGGTGGTCCTGCTTCTCGTGGTCGAGGCGGTGTAGCCAGAGGCGGCGCCAACCATCGTACCGACAGCCCTCGCCCCGCGTCCACAGCCCCCACAGCCAACGGCGCAACCCCAGACAGCACTCCAGCGGCACAAGCCACCAACAAATCAGCCATCGCAGACAAAGAGGCACATGACCAGCAAAACGCTGTCACCCCATCCACCTCTGGATGGACCGAGGCCTCGTCGTCCCAGCCAGAAACTTCAACTTCGACGACTTCAGTCTCTGCCGCCGCACAGCCCTCGACATGGAACCAGGACCCTTCCGCTGCTGCTGCTCCCAATGGATTAGCCGCCACTCCTGTCCACGCGCCTACTGCAAGACAGCCCATCAAGCCTGCTACGACAAAACTCTCTTGGGCTCAGATTGCTAGGTGAGTGCGATCCACGTTGATTTTTTATCGATGAATGTTTAATCGGAAATCAGTAAGCCGCAGGAGAAACCCGCTCCTCCTCCTCCCGCACCCGCACCTGCCCCTGTCCCAGTTGCTCAGCCAACTCCCCCTGCGCCAGAGGTCAAGGAGGCTCCTCCTGCAGTTCGAGAAGAACCTACAACCGTTCAGGCACCCGTTTGGGATGACGAGCCGCCCGTCAAGGCAGAACCTGTAAAGGAAGAACAGCCTCAGCCCAAGGCCGAACCCGAGCCAGTTCCTGCAGCCAAACCAGAGCCTAAACCAGAAGCCGCTGCTCCTGCTCCTGAACCGCCTCGAGAAGAACCGGCCCAGGCCAAACCAGAGCCCAAACCAGCTGCTCCAGTGCCTGCATCCGCTACTCCCCAACTCCCCGCCCACACAACCGCAACTCCCTCCCCCAAACTCGCTTCTCGATCTGCTGCTGGCGTTCGCGCTGGCCCACGATACAAGGTCACGGACCAGCCCGTTGTCATGCCAAGCTCATTTGGCGCTGGCATTGAAAAGGTTGGCATGCAGTTCGGTAGCTTGAGCCTTGGCGGCGAATCGCTGAGCGAATCCACCCCGTACGTCCTTATCCGTCTAATCGTCTATTTTTAGCTCTAACGGTTGTTGACGTTTTACAGTGCTGAGCCTGAAACTCCAGCTGCTGCTCCCACACAGGAACCTCCCGCCCCCAAAGCCGAGACCAAACCCGCATTCGAACAAACGCCCAACCCCCCTCCTGCCACTGCCCCCGCTGCTTCAGGCTCTCTCGGCTCCGTCTTCCAACAACAGCAACAACAACCCCTCCCACAAGCTGCTCCCGCTCAAGCTGCTGCGCCTCAACAAACTCACCAATCCATTCCCAGCTCCGTCTCCCAACCCATTCACTCCACTCAATCTGCCTTGCCCTCTCACGCATCTGTCAACGCCTCCCTGGGACAATTCTCTCAACAACAGCCACAGCAGCAACAACAACAACACCAGCCCGTTGCTCAACAACAGCAACAGCAACAACCTCCCCTGTCGACCAACCATCAACAACTTCCCCATCTCCAACACCATCTACCACAACAGCTCCAGTCTCACGGCCACCAATCCTATGGCCAACACAACTTGCCTTCTCAGCTCGATGGACCTTCTCAGATCCAGCCCACCGTCCAGCAGCAACAACCCGCTTTGCAAAACACCTCGCACTCGAGCTACTTCAGGCAAAGCGAGGCTTCTGCTCCTTACTTCAACACCCCCACTCCCCCTACTACCCAGGCTCAGGATACTCCTTACGGTGCCTTTGGTCAGCTGAATGCTCAGAACCAGCACCAGACTTCCCACTCGAGTGCGTTTGGATCCAACGACTACGGTTATGACAATCAACGCGTAAGTTTCTTTTTACCCGTGCACTGGGACTTGTTCTGATAATATGTCTCACCAGACTGGATTCGGTGGTCGCAACGTTCTCGGACACGAGGACAACAAGGGACCTGCCTCGCAAGCCTCAGCCAACAGCGTCCTCCCTCCCAGCGCTCAGGCCTCCCAGCAACAGAATGCTGGACCTACCCAACAAACTGGCGCCGGTCCTCAGCAAGGATACGCTCCTCCTCACGTCCCATACTACTACTCTCCCTATGGGCCCCAGAACCAGTACTTTGGCAGCCCCTACAGCTCCGGGTACGGTCTCCCCCAGCCCTTCGTCAAATACCCCATGTTCCAGCCTGGCCCTCCAGGCCCTGGATCCGGTCCTAACCCCGCCAACAAGCAGCCCGGCAGTAACGTCGGTGTCGGCCTCCAACCGCAGAGCAACCCCTACGCAAGCCAAGGTCTCTACCAGGGCTACGACGACTACCAGACCCACCCTCACCAACAACAGCACCAGCAATCACACAACCTTGGTCTCGGCCAGAGCGGTGTTGGCGTCGGTAGCGGCGAGTATGGCAAGCAGCTGTATGGAAGCTCCGGTGGCATGCAAGGTTTCATGGGCTTGGGTAGCCAGTCGACCGGTGTAGGTGGACCCAACTCGTCTGCCAACGCTCCTCGTGGCGGTGGCCAGTCTCCCGAAGCTGCCTACAAGCCCTACGGCAGCAAGGACGTTGGCGGCGGTGTTGGAGGGCGCAGCGGATCTGTACAGCAGCCTAGCCAAGTCCAAGGCCAGCCTCAAGGTCAAGGACAAGGCCAGGGTGGACAGGGCGGCCCTCAAGGCCAAGGATTCTATGGCGGACACCGCTTCGGTTCGGGTGTCGGAGGCGGTGTTGGTGGTGTTGGCAGCAATGTTGGAGGACCTCAGCAGGGTGGACATCATCAAAGCGGACCTCAGGGTCACTTGAACTACTCCCAGAGCGGCAATGACGGCAACTTCTACCCGTACCGACAGAATGCTGGTGGGTACTGGCAGTAAACGCCAGCACCGCACATGTGTTGTACGACAAGCCCCCTCTCAATCCTCGACATGACGATCCACTCCCATCCTTGTAATTATTCATCGTCGTCGTCAGGAACACTTTCTTGCTCTGGATGAACACGAGTTAGCAGCCCTTGCCTCCCTATCCCGTACTTGTTTTCCGACTTTCGCTACTCAGTGCTGCTCTTTTTGTTCGATCGCATGATGTTACTACTACCTACCTACTGCGTTGTACTAGTTTACCATTCTTTCTTCACTTCTTGTTAGGGTTTGGTTGGTTCAAGTTGTTTCGTCGTTGTTCATCCACTGTAGTATCATCAGCATCCATCATTTTTTCGTGTCATTCATCTTTTTCTCTTTTCCTTTCGGTTTTCTCTGTAGTTTGTTTCTCTATCTGTCTCTCAATCACGTCCCATCCCATCCACTCAATCAATCAATTCATTCCTCTCTCTCTCGTTCATCCACTTGTATGTTGTAGCATGACGATTACCTGGTCCCGCTCTTAATCGTACAATACTCGAGTATGCATCCTGATTTGCGTGACACCGTGCGAGATGGTTTTGGAGGGGAGCACTCCAGGTGCAACGGCCCGTCGATTGAACTATCTAAATACAGCATAAGTCGAGGGAGGAACTGGCTAGATGATCTACAACATTCAAGAGAAGGTGATCAAAAACACAGGACGAATGGCATCGTCCGAGTAGACGATAGTTTCGTTCAATCCTCCACCCATTCGATCGAAGACGACCTATATTCAATGCACCCCTCCATCAGCCAACTTTTCCGCTTTCAAAAAGGAACGCTACTCACAGAGTCGTGACCAGGAGGACAAGCCCTGACTTGTGCGAACCCGTTAACGTAGTGGATATTCCCAAGTACAACTTTGGTGAGTAGCATGGCCCCTGCTTGACCGCAGTAGCTATACGCTCTAGATCGGAAGGATTGAGCGCTCAAATACCACCGGGGAATGACGTGGGTCCCAACTTACTTGTTCGAGGCAGTGGAGGAATAAACGCCGGGTCCGAAGCTGCACCAATCCAGCATCAGGATTCATTGCTGAAACAAAAAAAGAAAACTTCAAACGCACGCTCCGCCCGCATTCGCCAAACTAACTTTGAAAGAGGTCTTCAAGATGCAACAGACCGCACAAGTCGCGTTGGCACAGACAGTCGTCTGGTTCGTCCCATCATTTTTGCCCAAGTTGCAGACTCGTCGTGTACCGTGGTAGCGGAATTGTTCGTTTTTCACTCGTCGTCTGCGAAGTCAAAGGCGGGCAAGGAATGGATCAGACAGAGAAGGATTGGGCGACAGGATACTAGATACCGGTAGGCATCATAAGGTTTCAGAAAGTCTTCGTTCTCTATGATCTTGAAGACTTTGCTTATCGCTGGACGAGGGCCACTCGAGTTGGTGATCCATGCCTTGATAAACCTCTGCTCCACTGCATTCCCACAGGTAGCGTATTAATCGCAAACTCTCGATCATGTTCAGCTTGGGACAACGTACCCATCTCGTATGTCGCGTGTCCCTTCGGTGCCTCGAGCAACAAAGGAGTCTGCTTCACCGCCAACCTCTTGCACGTTCTCCCACAAAGATGATAACGGCCTAAGCGGGGCCGACATCGACAGAACAGACAAGCCAGTTTAGCCTTTTCAGCACAAGTAGTCCCGCATTGGGGGTAGCTCCCGTGCTTTGGTTTGCGATGGCAGTACTGTCAAGGGGTTCGTTACCCTGCACACCTCTCAAAAGGTGAAGACACGCTCACATTGCACATGGTCGGATCTCCTCCATCTTTGGCTAGCTTCTCTAAACATGTCAGTCCACAAGTCACTGCACCACGATAAGACGGGTTCTTCTTGCATATCTAAAGAAGGACCCATCGTCACCCATAGGGAACCTCATCAACCACGAAGGTTGTACGTACCACACAAGGAGGCCTTGGAATCTTTTGAATTCGAGCTCGAGCTCCATCTGGCCCATGGGTATGGAAACCACGACCCGCAGTTCCAGAGGATGCAACAGCGCCTTGGGTCGCACTTTGCAAAATAGCAGCACAACGCATGCCACATGTCGAATACGTGCGCCCATTCTTGGAGTATATTGGGCGGGCCAAGCATACCTGTACACCGTAATGTGTGAGTTTCAATCGAAAGAGTTGGATAGAAAATGGTGTAAGACCCACAATGCATATCCCCACAGAAGGCGGGCTCCCGCCATCCAGACTCAAAGAATCTAGACTTGTGACCAGAGAATCGGCGTCATCCGACCTAGATTCCTGGTCCCAGAGGATACTTCCATCGTCAGAGTCCAAATCAGAAGGATACCCATAATCATCAGCCATTGCAATAGCGCGGGATAGTGATTTCAGACGACGCGGATAGGAGAATCGACTTGGGGACTGAACGCAGGTGCAGACGGATGGAACGTGCGAGGCAGCTCTCAAGCTTAAAAGAGGGGTTCATTTCGCTCTTCGTCGCGTATATATATGTCCAACGTAAGTGGAAGCGCTCAAAGACGAACCAGTTCCCAATCAGCCGCAGCTGCCCAAGAGAGGACAAATCGAGTCGAAGAAGCCGAAGAGGGACCACACGAGGCAGAGTCGATTGGTCACGTTGGACGATGTCGCATACAGGCGCAGAGAGTCCCCAGAGAATACGAGATGTCCCTTCCCTTTGCGTTCCTTGGGATGGTCGCAGCAGTACGGAATCCACATGCGGTCACTCCTGTTGCGAACAAAGTGTAAGTGACCAACGCGAATCAATACATACCTGGGCCGCATCAAAAAGGCGGCCCGTCCGCAACGCGGCTTTCCTGGCTAGAGTTCAACGTTCAACGTTCAGACTGTGAGTAAGAAAGTATCGGGAACTTCACAGGGCCTATGATAGTCATTCTCTCGACCCAATCGCAATTAGGATCTAGCTTTGTGACTGAACATTTAGGAGAAAGTTATCAAGAATACAGGGCGGATAGCATCATCTGTATATACAACTGTTTCGTTCAAGGTGCCATTTTGGCGATCGAATATAACCTATACAACAGTCAACGAGGCAACAGCACAGGCTGGGAGACGACTCACGGAATCATAGCCTGTAGGACAGGACATGACTTCATTCCAAGCACTGACCGTCCTAACCTTTCCGAGTACGACTTTTGTAACAAGAACGGCTCCGCTAGTGTTAGAGAAACTGAACGCTCTAGGAAACACGTTAAGCTGAGTGTGGTAGTGGCCAACGAGGGAAACGACGTACTTGTTCGAAGCTGAAGAGGTATAAACCCCAGCGCCAAACCTATTAAGAATGAAGAACGCGAGCAGCTGTCCAATGGTATATGAACGGTAGCTTGGGAAAGCACGCACGCTCCAGTGGGTTTAGCAAGGCTCACTTTGAAAGATGTCTTCAGGATGTTGCACATGGAGCACCGACTGTCGTTGCAGACCTTAGTTTGGTTTGATCCAACTTTACCAAGACTGCAAGTCCGTGTAGTGCCGTGGTAGCGGAACTGCTCATTTTTCACCCGCTTCCTGTCAGCGCGGTTAGATGGACAGCAATTTCTCGAGTATTCAAACCTACTTGTAAGCATCATACGGTTTTAAGAAATCCGCATTTTCTATAATCTTGTACACCCTTTTGACCGTTGGGCGGACGCTGCTTGCACCTGCTTTCCAAGAGCTAAGAAAGTTCTTCTCCACTGCACCCAAGGACGAGAGTCGGGTTAATTTCTGTTCAGAAGATATCACCGAGTCCACCTACCCATTTCATAGGTCGCATGTCCCTTTGGCGCCTCGAGCAAAAGGGGTGTTTGCTTCGTCGAAAGCTTCTTGCACGCCATACTGCACAGATGATATCTTCCATTTCTGGGACGGGATCGACAATACAGACACGCTTTGTTGGCACTTTCGGCGCATGTCGTCCCACATTGAGGCTCAGTACCCTGTCTGGGCTTTCGGTGACAATACTATTGAGAGTTTGGCAGCCCGGAATGAACAAGGTCAGCGAGATTAGCACCGTCTCTCCCCAAAGAATCTAGTCCAACGACACTCACGTTGCACATGGTGGGATCTCCTCCATTCGTTGCTAGTGACTCCAGGCATGTAAGCCCGCATGTCACGGCATCACGGTACGAGGGTCGCTGTTTACAAACCTGACAAAGTTCAGCCCCCAGAAGATCCAGTCCAACGTCAATCTCGAAGACGTACCACACAAACTGGCTTCTGAGTATGAGAACTATCCCCATTCGCAGTCGATGCCGGTAAAGCCCTACGGCGGGTGCCAATAGCTGGAGCACGCGGAGGTGGTCGAACTGAAGGGGTCGAAGTGGGGAGGCGCTTAATGGAAGGAGCCGGGCTAGCCTGAGTGGCGTTCTGAAGGATAGCTGCGCATCTTAGACCGCAAGTCGTATACGAGCGTCCATTCAGCGTGTATTTAGGCCGTGCAAGGCATATCTGGTATGCAATGTCAGTTCGTGATTTCAGAACTGCACGGGGTAAGTGTCCAAAGCACTTACAATGCATAAACTCTCCACGGGATGGAGAACAAGGGGACGACGGCGCTCGCTATTGGAAATGCTCAGGTCATCGAAACTATCCAAGAAATCCTCGTCGTCGTCGTCGAGATAGTCCCTCGAATCCTGGTCCCAGAGAATACTGCCCTCATCGGAATCCAAATCAGAAGGGTAACGATAATCGTCGGACATTATGAGCAGTGGATGATTGGGCAGAGGCTGAAAGATAAGAAACGGGTTGACTTGGGGACTGGACGCAGGTGCAAACGCAGGGGACTTGCGTAACAGCACTCAAGCTCGAAGGATCGATTCACGTCTTTCCTACTCATATATACCCCGGCTCGAAAACGTAAGCATCCCAGGACGAACCAGTTTCAAATCAGCCGCAGCAATTGTATACCCAAGAAGCACGAGAGCATCCAGCACGAGGCAGCCGTAATCGATTGAAGTTACAAGGGGTGTGAAAGAACCCTAGTGTAGTTTTATGCTCGCTGATGGTGAGCTTGCAATCCCGTTTCTCCAGAGTAGTCGGATCCTATGCAGACATCAGATTTCGAGGAAAACAGGTCAAGACGTCCCTTGCACAGTTGGAAGTATGGGTGATGGTTGAAGAGGGTTGAAGGCGAAGTTCAGCCCGATTTGGGACTTTCGCCCCAGCCAGTGGCGCGCCGCTGCTGGCCAAATGGATGGCCCCCCTCGTCGTCCGGCATCATCATCTTTTCAATGCACACTCGGCCTCCAGGAAATATATTTAAGAGAAGGTAATCATGAAGACAGGTCTAATAGCATCATCTCTGTATACGACTGTCTCATTCCGGGCGCCATTGTGGCGATCAAACACGACCTACAAGTAACATCCGTCAGGCTCAGGTGACGATCCGGAGAACGGATTGGCAAGATGACTTACAGAATCGTATCCACGAGGGCAAGACTTGACTTCCTGGAAAGCAGTCACCGCTCTTGCCTTTCCAACAACGACCTTTGTGACAAACACGACACCTCCGCCAGGGCTGGGGTGGCTGTAGGCTCTATAAAGCAACATTCAGTGAACGTTTTGGTGAACCAGACAACGCCAGAGGCATACTTATTCGAGGCGGATGATGTGTAGATTCCCGCGCCAAACCTGAGGGGATAGAATGGGTCAGTGTCTTCACTTATAGCCCATGCAACCAGTAAGCACATACGCTCCAGAGCGCTTGGCAAGGCTGACTTTGAACGAGGTCTTCACGACGTTGCACATGCCACATGTACCATTATTGCACAGTTGGGTTTGGTTCGAGCCGGCTTTCCCCAATTTGCAGGTTCGTGTCGTGCCATGGTATAGGAATCTCTCATTCCCCACCCGGTTCCTTTGGCGTCGGCCAGTGATCAGGTCATGGACGATGGACCTTGGCTGTTCGAGTGTACCTACTTGTAATCGTCATACGGCTGCTGAAGGCCAGCATTCATTACAACCTTGTATACACCCGTCACTGTTGGCGGTGTACTACTTCCCTCTTTCCAAGAATCAACAAAGTTTCTTTCCACTTGACAATGCCCAGATCAGTGCTCCGACTTTGGGAGAGAAGAGACACCACTCACCCATTTCGTATGTTTCGTGACCCTTGGGCACCTTCATAACAAGAGGAGCACGCCTCATCGCAAGCTTCTTACACGCCATGCCGCAGAAATGCCAGAACCTCCCATTCCTTGCACGAGCACGGCAGTATAGACATGCCTTCTTGGCATTGGCAATGCACCTCGAGCCACATTGAAGGTGTAACGGACGGAGCCTCGGCTTTCGATGACAAAACTTTTCAAGGAAGAGAAGTCAACACATAGTCTAGATATAGCATCGGACATCAAAGACACTCACATTGCACATCGCAGGATCCCCGCCACCAGTAGCCAACTTCTCCAGGCACGTAAGTCCACATGTCACAGCACCGCGATACGAAGGTCGCTCCTTGCAGATCTGACAGAGGACAGAACAATCAAACGCAAACTCCGTCTGGTAAGAGAGGGAGAGACTGTACGATGCAGATATTAGGGCTTGTGCCCACGCTCTGGCCAAAAGCACCAGCAGCGCGAAATGGTTGGCGTGGGCTTGCCAACAAAGTGGTGGAAGACCTTGGGCTATAAACGCTCAAAGCGTCCATGCTGGCCACCAGAGAACTGAGATCTGTCGTCGAGTACTGCCTCGACACCGCTGTGCTGCGGTTGGACATTGCAGAGTTGGAAAGATAATGCAGATGCTAAACTGGAGTATAGCGACTTGGGAACTGTGCGCAGGTACAGAAGTGAGGGACATGCAAGACAGCTCTCAAGCTCGAAGAAGGGATAGATCCAGGACTCCCGTACATATATACCCAGTATATCAACACGTAAGCGCTGGGGAACGAACCAGTTCCCAATCAACATGGGGGTGGGTGAACAGTCCAGCCAGTTATCAGCCAGTCCGCAGTAAAGAAGCACAAGAAGGTTCAACACGAGGCATCCCTAGTCCACAGGGAAGGTCACGATGACAAGTGCCACCGCAGCTTCCCGAAAGGTCCTTCCACGCTTAGGTCACGGGCGTCTACTATGGAAGGTATACAAGAAGGCAAGGACGTCCCTCGCATCTTGAAAGGCACACTCGAGACCTCTTCCTTGGCCGTCAGCCATAACAAGCGATGGTGGAGCACAACTCGTTTGGACCATCCAACCAGCAAAATGTTGCTCGAGCTGATGCGTGAGTCGATCTGCTACATGACCAGAGAGAAACTGAAAGCGATCACAGTCCAAGGATGTCGATTCGAGAAAGCAGAGGAGAAACAAAGAACCACTCAGCCGATCTTGTGGATGTTCTTGTCGATCCGCTGACGCTGAGCGGGTCACCACCTCCCCCTGGCCCGCAGGAAGGAACCGACGGGGACATCGAGATGCTCTCCGAAGAATCAGAGAGCGATTCCAGTGTTGTCGAATTGGCTGGACACCTTCATAAGAACAGCCCTTCAGTCGAAAGGGGCGGATTGCAGCATTACGAGACCCCTCCATCGTACGCGACCGTTGCGAGGCATCCCAGTCAAGGGGAGGATTGGCAGCGTTATATCCCCTCTCACCCAGTGGCAGAGATGCAATCCCACCAGAGCCCTCTCCGTAGCCCGCCGATGCCCAGGACAGTTGAAGACCACAGCGGCATTCCGCCCATCGAGAACGACGAAGGTGATGGTCGAGGACAGAACCAAAGCCATGGGGTATCGCCTTTCAACGGCGGTGGTTCGGGTTCTTTCTCAACACCATATACGCGTGTATCCCAAAGCACAGTTCCCACTTCAACATCCGAAAGGAACCCATGGCAGAAAGATGAACCGGTGTTATGTCAGGTACGCATAGTCGCCCTATTCGTATCCCCTCGGTCTCACTACCAATGGCTCCAGGTCTGCAAATCGAAGCCTCGATACAGCAAGTACGGTCGATCCTACGAGACTTGTGGCTTGACATGTGCTGCGAAACTTGAAGAGCAAAAAAGGAGGTGTCCTGTACGTCCTTCAATCCGCGTCCTTTGGTATTTCCCTCTCCCACTAAAGATTGTGCCTTAGGTATGTAAGGAAAAGCCTCGGGCCACTGGATCTGCAGGCACCTTGTACCCGACCTGCGGATTCAGGTGCTCCGCCAAACTCAATCCCCCTGCCGGTTCCCATGGAATGTGCGAGGTGGAACTGATCTTTGCCGATTACGTCTTTCCATGCGCTAACGACACTTCCACGATAGCAATGTGGTATAAAACCGAAGGCTGTTTCGACCGCCACGCGTAAACCATACCCTCATTGTGGGACTGCTTGTCGCGACAAAGCGGCTTCGGTGAGATCTGAAGACGGTTAGATGTTCTACCCCTCTTCCTTCTATCCAGCGTGCTGACTCAAAGTTCCAGTGGTAAAAGGTAAATGTAACACTTGCATTGTGTGCTGGAAGGAACAGTCACGCAACCAGACTTGGCCTGTGTGTATGACTGGATGCATTGAGCTCGCCTTGGGTAAAGCTCCAACGATAATTGAGGTTCCTCGCGGCCATGCACGCTACTACACAGGTAAGCACGGTTGTCTGGACCCCATCCAAGACATACGACAATGCTATAACGAAACGTCCAGTCAGCGACCAGTTCGAGAAGGAATGGGATACCCGCGACCAGGAAAGGCCTACCATCCGCCACATCTATTTCATCGTGCCAAATCAACACCTCCATGACCGATTTGCCCAATTCAAGTGAGTACATTCATTCGAAAGCTCACGTTTTAATTCTGGGTCTACTCTTTGGGTAGAGATCACCTTGGTCAATTGCGCTTCCGAGCCAAGCATCTCAACGAACACAAGCTTTGGATGGGAACCTCCCAAAAATGCCAGATCGGCGACTCGGGCATGGTCGACCTTTGCAGCAAGGCCGAGTGCAAACTCTGCAATATCCTTATGAACGGCGTGGTTCCTCAAACTCCGAACGGCGCACAACTGTTTGGGAATTCCAACAGGTGAGCGCTGACCCTTCCCCGCCGTTCCGTTATTTTCCTCCTCAGCACTCTCCCTTCATCTTCAATTCCCTTTTCTAACACTCCTTTCAAACATGCAGAGCGGACAACATGATCCCGGCCAAGGGTAAAGAAAGGACGGCTAGATCCATGTTCCTGACCGATGTAATTTCCGAAAAAGAAGTGGAAATGACCATCGAACAATTCATGAACCCAGCAACCTCAGATGGAACACATGGTCACTCCTTTGTACGTTTCCTTGACTCCCTGCCTCCCGTCCCTCCTCGCTGTGCCTCCCTGCTAATTACACCATACTCGATTCGTTCCCACTTGCTAGATCCGAATCGTGAAGCGCGGAAAGTTTGGGACTACGCACGACACGGGCCAACTGTGCGTCTACGTTCAAGATGCAATCTTGCCCAGATACCTCGTAGTATATTCTTGATTTCCGTACATCCCTAGTTATCATCCCTCCACGGTATACAAATGTACATCCCTACAGACCAGTTGTCGATTAGTACGTGCGGCATCAACTCTCCTACTGTCTGTTCATACCTCCCGGTCACAAGAACACGGCACGTTTTCATATCTGTTATCAGCCACCTCATGTCGAAGAACCACTTCACGAATGGTGAATCGCGAAACTCCACCCCAGAATTGAAACAACCCTCAAATAACGAACCACGATCTTGAACCAGTTTAAACCTTAACTCGTCCCTCGTGCTGAACAGAAGCTCTTATCGATGAGAGTAAGCGCTGAGAAAACACGAGTCGCGTGCGACCTTCCTGGAGGGCGTGGATAGCTGCGGATGCAAGAATCTCTTGCATCCCTTCCATCCCTGCGCCTCCTTTCCTCAAGACACACTCACCTTATGTCCTTCGACATTGGCGTCCCTTCTGGCCTTAAAGCTGTTGCGCTTGCATTCCCCTTCCTCAGTGCAAGCTATTACCTGATGTCAGGCAGTTCGGGATCAAGTGACAGGTCTTACCACTCCGCAGACGAGGGAGACCCATGGTTCGATATCCAGAATGGCAGCAGCAAGAATAGTCAACGAGAGAGGTTGAAGCGCGTCGCTGAAAAAGCCAGCAGAACCGTTAGTTCGAGGGCGTACACTTTCCAAGGCACGGTGAACGACTTGGGAGACGCTCTTCGCGACAGCAAAGAAAACACACAGTTCTTCTCTCCAGATTCCGAACTGAAGGACTGGGGCAGAGGGCGACCGTCCACTGACGGAACAACTGCGCAGGTCTCCGTGCTCAACATCACGACCATCGACGCCGCGCGTCTCCTTCACAACTCTTTCCGATTCACTACTCCCCCCGACCGACCCTACCCCAGTTATCCTCGCATTGGCGTGCTTAATTTTGCTTCCGCCACCAAGCCTGGTGGCGGGTTCAGAAATGGAATAGACGCACAAGAAGAGTCTATCGCCCGAGTATCAACCCTCTATCATTCTCTTGACACGAGGGAAGGCAAGAGGTTCTACAGAACCCACACCGACAAGAGTCGACGAGACCCCGACTTTCACTTCTACACCCACAGCATGATCTACTCCCCTCACGTCATCGTCTTCCTCAACGACGATGCGTCGTACGTTTCACCCGTCCGGATCGAAGTCGTCTCGTGTGCAGCTGTCAACGCCAAAGAGCTCATCCCTTCCATTCCAAAGGGGCAGAACCCCAAAGTCCAACTCGCATCTTTGAAAGTTCAGATCGACAAAACGATGCTGGAACGCATGGCTCGGATCCTCTATCTGTTCGAGAAAAGAGGCATCCGTAACATCGTCCTCGGAACATTTGGGACAGGTGTCTTCAGAAACGAGGTTGGGCTGGTGGCGAGGCATTGGGCGAGTTTGTTGATTGGGGAGAATGCAAGGTTCTCGAAATCGTTCGACAGGGTCATCTTTGCGATCACGGGGAATGCCAACTTTGGAGAGTTCCACGAAGCGTTCGAGGCATGGGGTGAATCTAAGCAGACGGGGAGATCGTCTAATAACCAGCGTTCGACTTCATATATCACTGGCAGAGGTAACTAGCTTCAATGTATCAATAGGGGTAGATCCGAGTCGGACGGAGTAGAGATAAAAATGGGAATGATGTGTTTGTTTTCTGCAAACAAAGGAGGTATATAGTCGGGGCAAAATTTAAGATAAAGATTTGGCAAATACTGCCCCGTTATGCCTGCGGACGGAAATCAGCAAACCCAGTTCCTCGACCCAAAGACTGCTCTCGAGCACCTCGCGACCTACAATGACCGCGATGGCCTCTCCGTCTCAGACCTCATGAACTCCACAGTTCATGGAGGCCTCACCTACAACGATTTCCTTCTCCTCCCTGGAAAAATCGACTTCCCTGCCTCAGATGTAGTCACTGAGAGCAAGATTACTCGGAATGTCGTCCTCAAGACACCCTTCATGAGTAGTCCGATGGACACCGTGACCGAGGGTAACATGGCTGTCGCGATGGCTGTACGTTTGGCCTTTTTTCTGTCTTTTTCTCCGTCGTTGGGGCTGATGAGCGATTCTTTTCAATCTGCAGTTGCTCGGTGGAATCGGTGTTATCCACCACAATCAGCCCCCGGAAGCCCAAGCGGCTATGGTCCGGGCAGTCAAGCGTCACGAGAACGGCTTCATCACCGACCCTGTCGTTCTCTCGCCTACTCACAAGGTCGAGGATGTTCTCGACATCAAGGCTCGTCTTGGATTTTGTGGTATCCCTATCACAGGTGTGTATCAATCCACTCTCTCCTTTCATTCCATGAAGAAAAAATCATTTTGTAACCTTCGTTCTGCTGAGTAAACGCGTGCATAACGTGTGGTATGCGGATAACTTTTTACACATATCGGATCTTTCTCTCCCCATCCCCCATCTCCCTGTCTTCAGATTCTAAACCATCCTCTTCTCAGACACTGGTGTCCTCGGTGGCAAACTCGTCGGTATCGTCACTGCTCGCGATGTCCAATTCCGTGACCCCGCTACCAGCCTCTCCGAGGTGATGACCACAGACCTCGTCACCGCCCCCCAGGGTGTCACCCTCTCCGAAGCCAACGACATCCTTCGGGACTCCAAAAAGGGAAAACTCCCCATCATCGACACCCAGGGCCGCCTCGTCTCCCTCCTCGCCCGCTCCGATCTCCTCAAAAACCAATCCTACCCCCTCGCTTCCAAGAACCCCGAATCCAAGCAACTCTACGCCGCAGCTGCCATCGGAACCCGTCCTTCTGACCGAGACCGCCTCGCCCTCCTCGTCGAAGCGGGTCTCGACATCGTGATCCTCGATTCCTCCCAGGGCAACTCGATCTACCAAATCGAGATGATCCACTGGATCAAGGAGACCTACCCCCGCCTTGAAGTCATTGCCGGAAACGTCGTCACCCGCGAACAAGCCGCTGCCCTCATCGTCGCCGGTGCTGACGGTCTCCGTGTCGGCATGGGTTCAGGATCCATCTGCATCACCCAGGAAGTCATGGCCGTCGGTCGTCCTCAAGCCACTGCCGTCTACAAGGTTGCCGAGTTCGCCAACAAGTTCGGCGTCCCGGTTATCGCTGACGGTGGAATCGGCAACGTCGGCCACATTGTCAAGGCCCTCGCTCTCGGTGCAGGTGCAGTGATGATGGGTGGCCTCCTCGCCGGTACAGAGGAAGCTCCCGGCGAGTACTTCTACCACGAAGGCAAGCGTGTCAAGGCCTACCGTGGCATGGGCTCGCTTGAGGCCATGGAGCAAGGCAAATCGTCCATCCAATCCAAGCCCGGCCAGTCCAGCAAGTACCCCACCAAGAAAGACAACACTGTCGAGAACGCTGCTACCTCCCGCTACTTCTCCGAGAGCTCAGCGATCAAGGTGGCGCAGGGTGTTTCTGGTGATGTGCAGGATAAGGGTAGCGTCAAGGCGTTCTTACCCTACCTCCACGTTGGTGTCCAGCATTCGTTGCAGGATGTTGGTGTGAGGAGCGTCGCGGAGCTCCAGGAAGGGGTCAGGCAATCCAAGGTTAGGTTTGAGTTGAGGACGGCGAGTGCTCAGGTTGAAGGTGGTGTACACGGATTGAACTCGTATGTCTTTCTTCATCTTCACGACCTTCAGCTGACAATTCGAATTAAACAGCTACACCAAGCGACTCTTCTCTACCTAAGCTTCCCTCCTCTCACCATCTCATGATTACGACCATCGTTTTGCTTAGTCGCATATATACAAAAATTTCATTCACATGGTGTATCAGTAGAATGTATCGCAGTCCAGGTTCACTTCGTGTAGCAGTGCAATAGGTAGATATGTACAAAACATCCAAAAATACCAATCATCACCCAGTTTTGGTTTTGGTATTAAAGAAGGATGTGATTTTGGCTGAGCCTGAGCTTGCGTTGGCGAGCTTCTGGGACCAAGTGAGTGCCGGTGGCCAGTGAATGAGGCGGGACATTGCTTACCTTGGGCGATCCTTTACTCTTGGTTGGCGACTTTGGTTCCTTCTTTGGTGACGTCGGTGGGGACCTGAACGAACTCGCGCCGTCTCCTTCAGTGTTTGTTTTAGTCTTCTTGGTATCACGCTTCTTTTCCTCTTCATCTTCATCAACAAGGACATCGGTTCTTCCTCTCTTCTTCTGTGGTGACCCAGATGATCCTGAACCCAAGGTCGACGATCCTGGTTCGAGGTCTTGACTCCCGCTCGTCGACGCCCCTGCCTTGGATTGCCGTTGTTTGGCAAACATCGCCTGGATGCCGTCCTTCCTCGTAGCCACAGGCTCAATAAATCTAGGCGACTCTGTACCAATCTTGCCTACTTCTTTCGGTACTTGATAGCTAACTCGCGTTAATATAAGCGCCCGACAGCTTAAAGTCGATGCAACTCACCATTCCAGGGTAACCGACCCACTGTATGGCCTGACCATCTCTGTGAGATCCTTTGTCCATGTCTGGGACCTGGTGTCGAGCCATTTGCCGATGGCTTCACGGTCCATGAGGAAGACGGGTTGGCGTTCGTGTAACCATGAGAATTCCTTGTTCGCGTCGGTGGTCACGATCGTGAACGTCCACATCGTTCGCCCTAGTCTTGTACTCAGCTCAGTTATAAGCAGAAACGCGACCAGAGGTACCTTCGATGGTCGCACAATCGTATAGCCCAGCCATCATCAACAAGGCGCCATCCTTTCGTTTCGTAAAATGCGGGAGCTTATCCTTGCCTTTGGTCAACCACTCATAGTATCTATTATTCAACAATTCAGCCAAGCTTCATAATAGAAAAGAAGATACAGACCCTTGGCAAGGAATAGCACACCTCTTCTTCCCCTTGATAGCGGCCCACATCCCCCCTCCATCAACCAAGTTCTCGCTCCTCGCATTCGTCGTGCTCAACGTCTTGTCCTCCACTTTACTCCAATGAGGGACAAGTCCCCATCTCATCGTATGCACAATCAATGCATTGTTACTTCCACTTCCTGAAGGACCAGGGTCGCGACGCCGAATGACAGGCGCGTTGGATCGAGGAGCAATATTGTAGCGCGGCACAAACGCGTCTTCGTCTTCCCATTCGTCGATATCGAGGTTGTAACTGGGTTGGTGCTGGACTTCACGACGCTGGTGACCATTTAGGGCATCGTCTGGACCGTATAGAGATCTGTACGCACATTAGCTCGTAACGAAAAACGACCACACATACTGTTGTAGGAGACGGTCACTGTGACGCGCTCCGCTGATGACCTTTCTATTTGCGGATGCTTGTGTGCGTGGGAAAGTTTTGCTTGCTCAGAACATCATCATCGGGGCCATCGTCCACCACTGACGCCTGCGTCGTCGTCCTCGTCGTCCAAAGGACCCCTGCTCATCGTCGTCCACAACGCCCACAACACAAATAGCACAGAAATGGACGCCAATACGCACCGCCTCCTTGAATCCGTAACGCACAGGACACTCCACGCACATGCATTTTCTCGCGCATCCTCACAGGCAACGCTCGTCCTAACGGACCTGCTCTCCCGCTACCTCACACTTCTCACCTCTTCCTGTGCACGCTACGCCCAACATGCAGGTCGACATCAGTTGTCCATATACGACGCTTTACAAGCAATAGATGAACTCGGAACGTCTGTGGACGAACTGAGCGAGTTTGGCTCGACTGAAGGAAAGGAGATGAATCGCTATGCTGTTCAGTCTGCAAAACGAATTGAAGAGCTGAACGAGTATCGATGTACGTTCATCATATGGTGTCTTTAGTCTTGAAATAGGCTTATCTTGGGTGCAGCACACTTGTTCGAGGGTCTGCGGCAAGATCGAGACGACGCGATTGCACTCCATTTTGCGCGTTTCGACGAAGAAGGGTATGTGGACAGCGAGGACGACGAACAATCTTCAGAATACTCTGTCTCGGATGATGAGGTCGCCACACAGCCAGCTACACTCCCAGACGCTATGGAGGTGGACGGCCAACCGGTCTCTCCTTCGCTTCAGAAACGGAGACACGTCTCGTCTCCAAAACTGCCACCTTCCCCCGTCTCCAAATCACCTTCACCGTCCCGCAAACGACCTCGCACAGCAAACTGGAATCCACCGGAACATATTCCAGACTTTCTCCCTCCTTTTCCTTCGACGGACGTTGCTCCTCCAGGATCAAACCACCCATCGCCTCGAATGTCTTCCCAACCACCCGAACTGCGTCCGCCAACTCCAGCACCCGGAACACCCGAACCAACAGGCGCAGCTGCCGCCGAAAAGGCAGAAAAGGCCTCTCTCTCCCTTTCTCAAGCTATCGCCGCCAACAACACTACTTCCGACATTCTCGTTCAAGTGCCGTATGCCCAATCGACTCTCGCAGGGATACCAGAACGACATTTACCCGGTCCACCGCCGTCACGGCCGCCCCCACGTCCACCACGCTTTGCCACACCTCAAACGGAACCTTCCTTTATTGGCGCATACCACTATATCCTTACACACCCCCCTCCACCTCATCCTCCACCCGCTACGACACAACGCCACCGCGTCGCTATGGCCCTCCTAGACCTACTCCAAAAGCAATCGCGCTGGACGCCTGCCGATACGCTCAACGCATCTGTTGCGCCCTGTCCTCCCAGAGTAGCCACCATGTCGCCTTCCTGTCCCGTAGCCATATCGGATCTAGGACCGGATGGTAAACCGCGGGATGGCAAGGAGGATAGGACCAAATTCCCAATGACCAGCATGAAGCCTGTGGCATATCCAGAACGGTTGGCGCCGATGGCCAGCCAGCCCAGTTCGCATATACCTGACCTCGCAAGACTGGTTCTTCATGTGAGTATCCCTTTGTGTTTCAGGGACTGCACTAAGATTGCGCCTGTAGCCTGCGATCCTCAGTCGCTCGACACGCCTTACCCATCCTCCCATGCTCTATCGCGGATCGAAGCCGCTGGTGTATGGGCGTGGTGTACCTGCCCCGTGGAACGTCGCACCCCTCCCGGACCCTGCCAACCCCTCGACACCCTCATCCTCCAAGCCCAATGGGAAGGACAAGGAAACGGACCCAGATGCACCGAAACCAGCCATGGCAGACGCGCTACTCTTTGCAACATGGGATTATGACAAGAAGGATTATAGAGTTCCGTTGCCTCGTCATGGGAGTAGGAATCGAGTGGCGGGAGGGAGCGGTGTCATCACGCTTGGGGGTTCTAGAAAAGGGCACAAGTAGTACACCCACCCGTGTATGTTGGGTAACACAATACTAATGGTAATCATCGCCACACCCGGATTGGCGGATGAAAGACATGGCTCCACATAGGTATGAAGGTCAGACAGAAACCCTTATTCACGCTTGGTGACAGCCCCAGGTGATTGATACATCTTCTTTTCATTTTAATCCTAAAGAGAGTACAACAAACAACACAGATCGAGGGATAGGAATGATATGTGTATGCGTGGGCGAGGCTAGACAATCAGCATCGTAGTCGTGAAAATTGAACCCCGTCGTGACAAGAAAAATGCCTCAAGACTGCGAGAGGCATGGTGGAAGGAGGAAGAGGCAAAAGGAACCAGAGATCGATAACATTACGGATACAAGCACAAAGGTGTGACCATGCCTGGGAAGGAACGGCCCGGGAAACCAGCGTGACGCAAAGGATCTAAGAACCCTTGGGGGCCTCCTTCCAGGAGATGGCCTGCTCTTCACCCATGGCAGAGACGATGGTGACGAGGAGGTCCTTGCCCTCATCGAAGGCGTCTTGAATTTCCTTTCCAATGTCACCCTCGGGAACACGGACGTCGTCCTTGGGGGTACCGTCGTTGGTCATCAAGTTGAGGAAGCCGTCATCGATGTTGACCTGGGAAACGGTAAGTGGAAAGAGAAGGGATGGATATCAGAGAAATACAGACCAACTGGTATTCAGTGCGAGAGACGTTGGGGACATCCATGTTGTGGGTGGAGGGAGAGATATCTTCCTGTTAAATTGATAAGATTAATGGGTCCGAGAAAAAGGGGATCTGGTTGGACGTACCAACTTCTTGCCAGTGAAGATCTAGAGAAAGATCCCAGATGAGATTTTGCGAACGAAGAGGGGGAGATAAGACTTACATCGATGGCAACGAGATGGACCTTTGCGTGACCGTGCTTGCCAGTCTTGGAGGTCGACATGTCAACGATCTTGCAGGGACGACCTTCGAGATATGATAAGCGACGAAGAATGGGATCCAAAGTGTAGCTTACCCTTGATGACTACATGTCCGTTTTTGCGCAAGGCGGAGCATTGCATGGGGTAGGTGAGGGAAGCACCAGCGCCCGCCTAGGTGGTTATCGATGAGATTGATGGGAGAGCGAGACAAGGTAGATGAGGGTGGCGCACCTGCTGGAAATCGTGTTGGTGCTGCTCATCGTCGGACATTTTGGTAGCGAAGTGTCAAGGGTTGGGCGGGGCTAAGAAAGAGAGTGCTATTCGATGGAAAGGTTCAAGGAGAAAGAAAGAGATCTAATTAAATTTTCAAATGTGAATCTCAAAACTTTCAAGGTCCGACTTCCTTATCTACCACGTGACTTGATCTATCTCCGCACGGTACAGCCCCTAGCTCAAGCCTCTCCCCTAGTAACCAGTCAGTACTCATGTTCGGCGCTACTCCAAAGTGTCCTCGCTGCCAGAAATCAGTTTATGCTGCTGAACAGGTAAATTAATCTCTTCCTCCAAGTCAATGCGTCTAACCAGTTTATACAGGTCGTCGGACCAGGTCGAAAGGTGAGAATCTTCCCAATGATGTCAATCCCTATTCTGATTACTGCTAGTTTTACCACAAAGTACGCTGCCCTTTTTCTTCTAGGAAACACACATCATATAACAGCCAACCACTAGCCATGTCTCACATGCGCAAACTGCAAACGACGATTAGACTCGTACAGTCTCGTCGAGCACAACGAAGAGGTGCGCAGTCCCGACCCTTCCTCCCTTTAACAGCTCTGACTGATGTCATCACCCACAGCCATACTGGTAAGCCCTCATGCACCCAACGTTGGTGCTCTCTAAACTAAGAGACGACAGTAAACCATGTCATGTCAAAAACTTTGGAACCAGAGATCTCAGACAGCAGAACCATCCATTCGCCCCACGACCCCGTAGCTCCTCCAATACATCCGACACCAGCAGTGGCATTCCTTCGCCACCCGCTTCACCCCCCTTTGCATACCAACGAACAAGGCCCGTGTCAATCAACACAACTGGTAGTCTGTTGAGACCTACAAGGGCGCTAAGTCCTACCCGAGCTCTTAGCCCGACCTCCCCCACTTTTGGTCGATCCTTTGGCGGAAGTAGACCGGGAAGTAGATCCGGGAGCAACGGTGACTTGGGAGACAACCTCAACGGGCATTCCAAGGTCAAAGAGGGCGACCAAGCTATCCCTGAGGAAGTCGTTGAAGTCCCACCGCTGAACCCAGGGTCACTAGCCTTGGCTGCCCAGCAACTCTCTCTAGATCCCGACGAAGCTACCACAGCCACGAATTCCACTGAGCCTGCCGAGGACGCTCCTGCCACCCCTCCCCGCTCCAACCCCTCTCCTCCACCCTCTTCCTTCCCGACCAATACCGGTCGCTCAGGCTTAGGCGGCCTCCCACGCACCGTACCCCTCGCTCTAGACCACGCCTCCCACACCAACAACTCCACCAACATATTACGCCATAAATCAACTAGAAGCATAGAAATCCGCTCTACCTCTCCAACATCCAGACCCGCCCAAACCATCGATGCCCTGACCATGCTCGAAAGCCAAGGGATCAGCCCGTTGAGAGCTACAGCCACGGGTACGAGGTACGGTGCTGCCCTGGGCGGTGCTGGTGGCGTCAGTGGGCTTGGTGTCCAACTGACGGGCGCTGGAGGCACACCTAGAAAGTGGGGAGGCTCGACCCCCGTCTGTCCAGTCTGCTCGAAGAACGTGTACTTTGCTGAGCAGGTGCAGCCCCTTGACCTTCCCCGACTGTCCTACCTCACTGACACCTCTGTCTTCCATAGGTCAAAGCAGTAGGCAAGACATACCACAAATTCTGTCTCCGATGCACCGAATGCCGCACGTCCCTCGACTCGAGCAGACTTAGAGATCACGACGAAAAGCCCTTCTGCACGAGGTGCTACAACAAGGTACATATACCCCGTATGAGATAAAGGCCATTCTAATCCTATGCATGCGTTTCCTTTAGCTTTACGGACCCCAAGGAAGCGGGTACGCGCTGTTGGGTAAAGCCGGAGGCTGAACGTCTCTCATTCTTCTTAACGACACGATTCACGACTCAACTTTCTTGTATCTCTCCTTTTGGACTGTACCTATAGACACACCCCATATAATGAACTCCGAGACACGCTATTTCTCCAACTCGCAATCACCAAGACTCAAAAGGACAGACATGGCATAGAAGCGCGGAATGCTAACAGTGGCAGTTGAGCACAACATCACACGGGCCAATGGTGTAGTTGGTTATCACATCCGCTTAGCATGCGGGGGGTGTCCGGTTCAATTCCGGATTGGTCCATTCTTTTTCCCGACTTCAATCTACTTTTGCCTTGATAAAGGTATGTAATGCTGAGCGATGGGATGAAGGATGGAATAAAATTTAAACCGTACAAACTCTTTCCTCAGAAAACGAACTCAATGAATAACAACATTAAGTAGTAGCCTCGAGTCAGATAACCTGGATGTCTGGTTCAATTCCGTATGTATTTGATTTGCTCACCCTCGACCACGACACAACCTGACGTCCGGTTCAATTCCGTTTATGCCTACCCCTGTTATTGACGCGAGAGAGAGTCGAACTTCAGGAAGAGTAGAACTTTTTGTTTGATTGCCAACGCCGATAAGTAGTAGTCTCCCGTAGTCAGACTGACGAATGTGTGTTTAGTAGGGTCCCCGAGGGCTAACACACAAGCGATGACCACCTGGTCGATTACATTTCGTTATTGAGCAAGGATTGGGTTAGACGGGCCCAGCAGGTGCTGCGCGAGGAGTTAGGATTGGTTTCGGTCTTAACATTCAATTTCAATTTCACGGTGGCTTTCACGACTTGCACGAGAAGAAAATAAGAACGAGATAGAAAAAAGAGTGGACCAATCCGGAATTGAACCGGACACCCCCCGCATGCTAAGCGGATGTGATAACCAACTACACCATTGGCCCGTACAAGCGTATGTGTTTGCTAATGCCAACGTTTCTATCGAATCCCCAGAGAGCGAGCTGAGTAATATTAACGCCCATACCCCCGTACTGGTTCAAATCCGTCTGTATTCGCTCACCCTCCTTGCTTACCGTCCTATTCACACAACTGCTGAGACCACGACACACAACCTGACGTCCAGTTCAATTCCGTATATGCCTACCCCCTGTTATTGACGCGAGAGAGTCGAGCTTTAGGAAGAGCAGAATTTTTTGTTTGATTGCCAACGCCGATAAGTAGCGATGACCACCTGGGTCAATTATATTTCATTATTGAGCAAGGGCTGGGTTAAACAGTCCCAGTAGGCGCTGCGCGAGGAGTTAGGATTGGTTTCGGTCTTATCATTCAATTTCAATTTCACGGTGGTTTTCACGACTTGCACGAGAAGAAAAATAAGAACGAGATGGAAAAAAGAGTGGACCAATCCGGAATTGAACCGGACACCCCCCGCATGCTAAGCGGATGTGATAACCAACTACACCATTGGCCCGTACAAATGTTATTGTTTGCCAATTCCAACGTTTCTATTGCATTTGAGAGAGCGAGCTGAGTAATATTAGCGCCCATACCGCCCATACATCAAGGTTCCATTTCACATCGTCACAACTCGAACAACTGTGCCTCACAGCCCTGGTCCTTCCCGCTCCACTCTCAAGAATACCTCTCCCTTCGACAATGGTCACCACTTTGAGATCAACGGCGGCGGACGAAAACGAGTTTTCGAGCAGTCGAATAGAGCGCAAGTATGTACCAATCGATCTCTGACGAGCCTGACTCGTTTGGACTGTTGACCACGAGCGGAACTGCGGATGAAGACTAGAATGCGTGCCCTCGAGAATGGACGGACAGCAACCTCCTGTTGCCATCTCGGGATCGTATCCACAGACTCTTTTTTCTCGGGAAAGATCGACGCACTGTTGCCTTTGAACTCGCCGGAAAGGATGCACCGTATTGGTGGACACTGATACAAATCGGACAGGACTCTGGGTAATCCCTGCGAAATGTGAACGCAACGGGCCAATGGTGTAGTTGGTTATCACATCCGCTTAGCATGCGGGGGGTGTCCGGTTCAATTCCGGATTGGTCCATTGTTTTTTACTCTTTCTAAAGCCAATCGGTATGGTAGGATAGCTCGAAGATCAGCCTATGGACTCTTCTACGAGTCTACCGGCAACTTTTTAACCTAAGCGTCACAGTTTCCAGCACAATGGTTACCCATTCACTGATTCGACCAAGATTCTTCAAACCAAAGATTTTACATGTGGAATTCCAAGAAAAACTGGAGAGACAAGTAACAGAGAAGAAGCGAGTCGAATATGCAGCTAGGACTTCAAGAGAAAAGAAAAAGGTACCAGTAGGAGAAACGAAAGGAAAACGACGAGGCGCTGAATATAAAGTTAAACCTCCACCTTCCAACCTGACCAAGAAGTAGGTACATAAACACTGAACAGTGTGGAATAAGATAAAGGTGTATACTCCGTTGGAGGGAGATAATTCACCATCCCATCTGTACGATATGGGTCGATAACAAGTTCGAACGGAGGGAGAGCAAAAGTAAGGTGGGACGAGGCTGGGAAAGGACTAGGGAGAGAAGCAAAGAAATATCCCGCAAAAGTGGTTTGTTACATACAATAGGTGTATTCGTAAGGTAGGTGAACAGAAAGGAGAAAGAAAAAACTGTGGATAATATAAACATAGCGTCCCGAGCAAAGTGCGAATTGCCCCAAACGTTCAACAGCGGACGCGGCACTGCTACGAGAAAAAGAAGAGGAAACAGAGATATTCCGACACACCCAAGAAAACTGATACAATAAAACGCCGGTTAGTGTCCCAAAAAATGAAAGAGATATGTATGATGATGACAATGGACGACGATGACGAATGATAGCACAACTGCGACGACGACAAGAAAACCTTTTGGGGCGTTCTCCACCTCCAGCCCTTCGATACAGACGCCAATCCTTCAACCCCAGTCTTCAACGGACCATCCAACCCTTTTACGACAGATAGCCCTCGGGACTAACCGAGACACCACTCGGCACACCCAAGCTCTTGCTCTCCTCCCCATCCATCTTCCAGATACTAGCGGCCGCCCCACTCTTCACACTCCCTGCCGAATCACTCGAGCCACTCGAAACCCTCGGCCTCATATACCTCGAAGTCGGCAAGCCCCCACCACTCGTCGGCGTCAGAAAATCCGTAGATGAAGGAACCTTCGAGTCCACAACGCCAGGAGCCATGGATGCGTACGGCGTAATCGCATCACTCCCGCTGGTACCACTCGCACCGCTCCCACTACGGATCCTCGGTCCACCAAATTCAGTAAACCTGAAATCGATAGCATCGTCCTCGACAGAGGAGAGCTCAGCCGAACTCGAAAGAGTCGTTGTCGAGGTCGGACTCAAGGAAGGCGATTGGACGATATCTTGGAGGAACGAGGGAAGAAGGGGAGGAGGCGCTTCCGGGTGTCCACTTTGGTTCGAATCACCGTTGGATCTGGGGATGGGAATACCAATGGGACTCGCGCGGTTGGAAACAGAGGTCGAGGATGAACCCGAGCCACCAGAGCCAGGCCCGAGCGAGGACGCGTTGGACCCCAAGCTAACGCGGCTCAGGTTGCCTTGGGCGTTGGACCCGATAACGCAGTTGAAGCCATTGTTCGCGTTCGTGGTGATGGGCTGACCGAACGGAGTCAGAGGTGGGCCAGTCGAGTAGAGCGGGGAAGGCTCGCGGTGCAACTGGTGGTGCAAGGCCGATGGTTGCTGCTGATGCTGAGGGTGAAGACCACCCGCTTGTCCCAACTCCCTCATTGGCATCAACGGCGAAGGCGACAACCTCGTATTCCTCGCACCCGAAGTCTGGTAAATCGGGCTAGCAGTCGAGTACACCATAGGGTTAGGTGCCTGCAACCGATTATCAGCGCGCTCCCTCTCTAGCTGCAACGCCAAATGCGACTGAGCGCGGTGCAGAGCGCGATTGTTGAGGTTTGTGTCCCGATGATGAGGCAACATCCCACCATCCATTCCGCCACCGAGCTGCTGCTGCTGACGCGCCAAGTGTTGCTGATGCTGCACAAGATTCAACACGCCCTCTCTCTCCCTCTCCCGATCCTTCGCATGCAAGCTGGCAGCATTCCTGCGAACCTGTGGCGGAGTGAGCGTGTTGCTCCGATTCGAGTAGATCGGGGGCAATGGCATTGAGTGCGCAGATCCGCCGGGAGCAGTAGCCATTGTCGATGTCGGGGAATTCGAAGCGCTATTGGTGGTAGCACCGGGCCCAGTTGACGTATGCGACGACGTAGGCGCCTGCATCATTGAAGGGAATCCCACCCCACCATGGTTGCTGACATTTGAACTGGGTGATGTGGGAAGTGCACCAGGGTGGACGGAGGAGAGTTGGGTTTGACTGAGGACCTGGGTGAGGAGGGCAATGCGCTCGGCTTGTACCGCGGCGGAGATAGAGTCACCGTTACCTTCAGCGTCTAATGAAGGTTCGATTAGGCGAGTGATAGAGATATGAAAGATAACTAACACTCACATGGAAGACACGTTTGACACACTTTCCTCCTCCTCCAGTTCAGATAGTTGCATTTTTGACAGATCCAATCTCCGGGTTGCTACAGGAGACATTAGGGCTGTACGATTTCGACTACAAGCGCAGACTTACGTGAGAGATAGGACCTCGGTTACCCGTGTTGAGGATAGGCGGCTGCTGTTCAGCGGAGAAAAGCCATACCATCAGGACACGTCCTTGAGAAAGGAAAAGCTGCTGAGTACTTACTGTGACGCCGACGACGTTGCTGGGTCTGATCTGGCCTTGTTCTGGGAAAGGTTCGTTGTCGGGCCAGTACATGATACAAGGTGACAGAGGGTCACTGCTGATATTTTGAACTTTCCCACCAATGGCAAAGGCGCGGCCTGACGGAGTTAGGATGGGGTGGGTAGGCTTGGGAGGGATGCCTGCGGCGGCGCGTGGAGGAACCTGATGTTGAGGGTGGTGGGGACCAGGTTGAACCTGCGTGGCAGCAGCGACAGCAGCAGCCTGAGACTGGGACTGCTGTCTCGAGCGAGCATAATCCTCGAACAGATTTGGAACATTGAGGTGTTGCTGGTGATTCGGCTGAGCGGAAGAATAGTAGACCGTAGACATGTCGGTATTAGCAGCTGAAGCGAATCTGGGAGAGGGTAGTTGTAGGACGTTGTTCTGGGGTTGGATGATGGTGCCGTTGCCAGAACGAGGACACCCACAACCGATGCAGGAGAGGTTGCGGCTAGGAGGAAATGAGTTTTAGACGACGAGGAGCGGTCTCAGACATGATTACTCACCCAAAGTTGTGCGCGGCACATTTCGGCTGTGGGCAGCTACATTACAAGGCGGATGAGAACGAGATTGGCAGAAATGAATAGGGCTTACATCCAGTCCCCAAATCGGAAGCTTGTTTTGGGGTTTGGCGGGTTTGAGGAGAGTGTGTATGAGAGATCCGGGTGGGATGCGGAGAGACGTAGCATGGTGGTTGAAGAAGAGGAACGAGGTTCAGAAGGCATCGGCTGTAAAGGGTGCCATTAGATACGTAAGGTATTGTAGGACTGAATCTTGCTCACCAAGAGGAGAAAAGGCTTGAGCTTGTGGAAAGGCTCCAAATCCTTTTCTAGGGCGGTTGCGACGGACAAGTTATGACCGCCCAGGGTAAGCGCGAGACAGGCCTGTTATTTAAAAAACGAAACATGATTAATCCGTGGACGGCGTGGAATAAGTCTGAACAAAGGAATTACGTCGCGACGTCGACAGGGACGCGCTCAAGGAATGATTCCCACGTGAACAATTGCCGCCGGGAATGGATGATGACACAAATTACGCGCTCGCGGTCGACTCACCTCTTCATGCGACCCGAAAACTGCCCACACTCCCTTCCGAACTCCGCTACAACGCTCCTCCCACATCGTCGCCGGTACCGGCATCGAAATCCTGCTGTTGCTGTTCCCCTTCCCTGCTCCCTGTCAGTAACAAATGCATTAGCTAACCCAACAATACCACATAGGAAACCCAACTGCCACTCACGGAATAAAATACAGATCCAAGAAACGTTTCGGCCATGGGAGGTAGATTGTAAAGCTACAATGATATTAGCTTTAATGAGCCTAGATCATATCGCTTAACTTACCCAGACGACGCGCGACCGGGTGGCGAAGAACGCTTCAAACGACGATTTGGGCGTGCTGTTGCTGCTGCTGCCCTCAGATGAACAACGGCTGCTTGCACTGCTCGTGCTGCCAGACGACGTGGGAGACAGGCTCTGCGGCGGTGTCACCGTCACATTCGGCGGCGTCTTGCTCTCTGTCTGCTGTTGGAAGTGGTGGTGCTCATCGTTGTTGTCAGCGTCGGGGGCAGGGGTATTCATGACGGGAACGATGACAATGACGGAGGAGAAAGAACGGGGTGGGGTTGGAAAAAAAAAGGGTTGACGGAGTTTAAGGATATATGTAACGCAGGGATGGACACATTCATGCAGCGAGGAATGATGGGAGATCTTCGCTCAACCCGGGATCGAAGCGCCCCAAGGCTAATAATAATTATATTCACAATTCTTGAATACACCGCGACATCCTTCTCGACTTCTTTTCTGCCTTCTTCCTTCCGATTGCGAGTCCTAGATCCAACTCTTTGAAAAGAAGTTTGGAGCACTCATCCACCTATGATACATTACTATCCGCACTCGAAACACGTTCAACTACATTAATCAAAATTCTCCTTAATTAAACCATCCCCTCCCCCTCTCAAAGTTCGCTCTCGGCCTTGGCTCCCTTTCTTCCCCACACACCGCCGTGCATGCATGCATGCAAAACCATAATTTCAAATCAACGTATAGCCGTTAACGCCTCCATTCTGCTACGATTATTATTCTAGACGCTGCCCTTCAACACCTCTTTCGGCTGCACCGGGTCTTTGGCCACGCGACGCGTTAATAGTCGGGACGTCGCCGTCTGAAACGTTTGTCAGTTTGTGAACGAGGAGGCGCAACCTAGATCCTTTCCCCTGTGGCAGCGTATGCGCAGTATGTAGAACTTGACAGTTCCAGCCCTTTTGCTGGCCGGACACCCAAAATGCACGTACCATATGCAACAATAATTCAAGTAAACCGGAATTGTAATAAATCCTGACTGCACTTTGAACGTCCTCGAGATCAACGCACACGATCGGGCGCGGATGCAGTCTGAGTTTGGAGTATAAACGCGCTGCTCTGGATCCTGCGCTAAATCTAGGCTTGCTCCTCGAAAAAGCAAAGCATAGCTGCACTTTTAATGAAGTCGATTGAATTGTGGTTTATATATGCAAGTACACTAAGTAGCTGGTCTAAAGAAAATTATAAGGAATGATAACTAGAACGAAAACGATACGAAGTAGTGGGTCAGTATCTCAGTAAAGTATGTTAAAAAAGTGGACAACCGGATCTCGACGAATCCGACCCCATCGACCCTTTGCCACCAAGTCTAGAAATCAGATCCAGAAAACAATTCGCCGGCCCTTGCCAAACGCCTTGTTCCATGTTTGTCGACCCTGAGCCAATCATAGACTCGACGACCAATGCATCAACCCAAGAAAAGGCAACCCAACAAAACCACGTCCACGACAAAGCACCATCTCTCGATCCTCGACTCCGCTGACAAAGTCCTCAAAAACCCTCCAAACGCACCCCAATATCACACTGACAGGGCAACCATGAACTGTATGCACTTCCACGTGCTAATTTAGCACAACCGACCGACCCAACGAGCGCTCGGACCGAAGACGACAACCGGCGTCCACATCCCGAACATAACAACCAGGTCGCATGTCGGGACCCAACCTCGAGAGTGCGCCACTTCGCTTCGGCGGTATCACATCACGATCCACAAGAGTCCACAGTCTTCCGCAGCGCGTTGTGAGGGTCGGTGACCTCGGTGAGGCGTACAACAGCCGTGCGCTGTGAAATGAGACGCCGTAGTTGAAGACCACACTGGAACATAGCGCATCGAGGCGCGTCGGGCGCTCCGGTCTGATGTCATCCACATCGAGTCCGGTGAATTCTCTGTATTTCAGACCACCCTGTGTCTTCATCTCCAGGAATCCCTCCGCCGTCCGGCAAGTAAAAGCCAGGTAGCCACAAGCGCCCAAAAGGCGATCAAAATCTTGCTTTACTGCTCCTCGAAATTGAGCAAAGCCTCGTTGCGATCCACCACCAAAACTTCGAGCCGCGTTCCAACCGTCCCATGCTTTCTGTCGCGTCGCGTCCTGTCCTGTCAAACACCCCTCTTCCCGTCACACAGTGCAGTTTCGTGCCACGTCCACGTCTTCAACTCCACACATCGATATCACATGGACACCGGCCATCTTCGAAACGAGATCTTGAATACAACGGGGTTTGAATTCTGAAGGTGATATTCAGGGCTGGACGCAATCGTGAAAATAAAAGAGATGGGGGGGGGGAGGATGCGTGCGTGACGTGCAGAGAGTTTGTTACCCTTGACGACGGATGAACGAACGAAACGAAGCGAGAGAGAGAGAAATGTGGATCTGATTGATGGTTGGAACGGAGAGGGGAGTTGATTCGGCGAGGATGGTGCCTGGCTGCGAGTTCCTGTTTAGAGAGCAATACGCCGATTTTGGGGGGACTTGAGGCCGATGGTTTCGAGTAAGGGTGCCTGAGTATCGGACAAAGGCCAAGTGTATCGAGAATCGAAATCAAAGGTCGATGATGTTCCTCCGCTGCCGAAACCTTCAGCTTCCTTCCACCCTTCCATTTGTTAACCGTTTAGCATTTTAAACTTCTTGCAACTCCGACCAACAACCCGCCCGACGACCCGCAGACAGATATAACCGCTATGAACACCGGTCGGGACCATAAGTTGTCGCTGGTTGCGGATGCGAATTTCACACAGGGCGGGCTTCTCGAGTATTCCAATAGAAATGAGAGAAGGAGTGGTGAGATTCGAGATTCCGAATTGAATAGGGTGTATCGCAATGAGGCGGGGGAGAAGCAAAGGCTGATGGACAAAGATAGCCATGTGATGTCGTGCGGTCGACGAAAAGGCGGAGAGTCAGAAATATCAAGCACCAAGGGTTTACTGATCTCCAAGCCGGAAAGCTGGCTCAGCTTTGGTTGCCGTGGGTCCAGGAAGTACGAGAATCGCCCCGCCTAGGCAGTAGCAACAGCGGCTCGCTTTGTCTCAGCAATGGCCGAGATCACAGCCACGGCCCCAGACGCAGCCTCAGCCTCCAACACCTCCTTCTCCAGCTCCAAGTCCCTGGTCTCCTTCGCCGCCGATTTGCGTCTCGACTTCCTCGTCGAAACCTCCCCTTCATCCCCCAGCACGCCATTCTCCATAATATCATCCTTGTCCACATGAACCACTAACCCACGCTCGAGGAGGTATTGGGCATATCGCCTCCAACTCTCCGCGCCCTTCCCCACCCTAACCGTCCCCTTGCCTTTCTCAGCTACGACCACCTCCCCTTCACCACTATCAGCCGTGGCATCAGAAGTGACGATACCAACCCTCCCTCCACTAACTTTCCCCTCCTTCAAAGTCCCGATATTACCCACGACGAACAGTGCCCTCTTCGCCCTGGTCAACCCTACATTCAACCTCCTCCGATCCGCTAAAAAGCCAATGTTCCCCTCTGCATTATTTCGAACGGTGGAGAAGATGATTACATCTTTCTCGCGCCCCTCGAACCCGTCGACTGTTTTAATCTCGATTTGGGGGAGTTGTTGGAGGGCGAGGGTGTCGCCCAGTACCGAACGGAATTTCGAGCCGTAAGACGAGGGAGAGGTGGCATCAGGCGAGTTGAAGATACGCGTGAGGAGTGAGATCTGGGCGACGTAGGGAGCGATTATACCGATGTCCTTTCCTTGCAAGTCCTAGATGGGTCGATTAGCAACATTCATCGAAAGGCGTTCCAGAACGGAATAGAATAAGCGCCCAATGACTAGTTGGCCAGACGAGCCAATCGTTGGTTCTGAACTCGTGCGACCAATAGAACGGCGAATGCAGGAATGATGGACGATAGATTCCGCCCTGAACAAAATGGTTCCATTCTCGAACGAGGCATGAAGGATAAACACATTAAGGCGAGGGAGGGTCGGTCCAATGAGGTCTGACCACACGGTGTTCCCAGCCAATGAGCGACGTCGAAGGACGAGTATCATCCAATGAGAGGTCGTCTGGAAGTTAGGCACCCCAATCGGAGCGGCCAGCCAATCAAAGGGCAGAAGGAGAAGGAATGAGCCGCAGTCAATGCGCACTCTGGAAAGCAGGATTGCGTGAAAGAGAAGCCAAGGGGGAAATTCGTAAGACACACGCGAACCTCGAGAACAAGAACGAGGAAAATAATAAATCGAGCGTGAAAGGGGGTAAAAGCAGAACGGGGGATTTTTGGTGGATTTTGGAGTACTCACGGGATTGGAAAGGAGCAAATCTACCACGACATTGGCGATGATATGCGCTTCAGTCCTGTTAATCCGACTCTTATCCTTCATCCCTTCACGCCCTGAATGATCCAAAAAGATCACGCTGGGTCGTGGTTTGCTTTCTTCGACTCCCTGACCTTTCTCTTCCCTATATTGATACTCGGATCGAAAAGCACCCAGCTTCTCCAAGTTGAGATCCAGGTCAAGATACTGCGACATGGGAGGGAAAAGATCCCTTGAGACCCGGCCTTGTTCGTCGACCGTGCCGTCCCGGAGGGTTCCCAGGTAAAATTCGTTGGAGGGGAAATTGGAAATGTCGGGATGCATTCGATATTGTGTGTCGAGCATTACAGAGGGGACGACTAAAGCAGAGTGCGTTAGCATGAATCAAACACCGCGAAAATATGAGAGAAAAAAACGTCTTCGGGAAGGATAGAACATTGGGTAAAGTTCAGATAGCCTTCAGCAACGCAGCAGCAATGCAGGCTGACAGAGACTTCTGCCAGATTTGGATTGGATACGCTGCGGTACGCCAACAGCGCAACAGCGGAACGAAGTTGCGAAGAAAGAGTTCCCGTCGGGCAGTGCCTGAAACACCTCGAGGAGCTTCCGAGACAGAGGTGCTTGATGTGCTAGCGAGGTGGAAAGGAACCGGCCATTAAGCCCCAATAAAGGTTCTCGGGCGTTCGAAGAATCCAAAATGAACGCGGCGAGTTCTGTATTCATTGAACGGATTCAAACTAAACTCACCTCCTTCCTTGGTCAACCTCTCAAACAAACTCACTCCGAGTCCGAGCCTTTGAGCTTCCTTGCTGAGGATAACCGGCGGGAGTTGGCGGTGATCACCGATAAGGGCCAGGTGCTGACACTAATGGTTGGACGATCGATCGTTGCAGCGGTACGACAAGCAGGCCGTTGGGCCGGGGATGGGTCAAAGGGAAATGGGAGATCGAGTGAGGTTCAGGTGGTTAGATATGGTTGAGACAAGTTGAAATGGAGCTAACGTGAGTTTACTGTTCCGATCGACGTATAAAGATGATACGCACCCCTTTCATGAGTGGAATCAATGAGACCGGTTCAGTGGCCATTGATGCCTCGTCCAAGAAAACTACAGGGAAGTCCACGACGTTCAAGTCATAGGTGGCGGAAGTAATACACGTTGAACAGATCTAGACCGGCGGTACCTCGTCAGTGACGCTCGCAGAGCTACAATGAAATTGACCGTGGCGAGTGAAAAGAGGAACGCGGAGCCGAAGAGGCATGGCACGCGTCCAGAGGATATCCAAAGTTGACGGAGAATCGAAATTACTCACTACGTCAGCTTCACTCGTTACTTCCCTTAACATAGCCTGCTTGACCGTATTCTTCTTCCCCTTCACCACCGCCTCCTTCCTTTCCAGTGCTGACTTCGCGGCCATCATATTCGCAATTCTCCCAATCATTGCTTTGCTTGCCCTCCCTTCTTTCTTATCCTTGAGCTCTGTCTCCGCCGAATGAACCTTGGCATGCATTTCCTCCAGTTCCTTCTTGATCTTTTCCTCTTGATCGACGAGGTCTTGGTGCGCGGAGAATAAAGGGTGCGCCTCGAGTTTGGCCGCCAGTGTATGTTGGAGGAGGGATGGACGTACGGAACCAACAGCTCCGACCCGCAGAGGCTTAACGCCAGCGGCAGCGAGTCCTTCAACCAGGTTATCGACTGCGACATTGGTGTACGTGCATACGAGGATGGGGTGTGGGACTTGAAAATGCAATTTGAGAAGCTTGAGAGTCTCGATGATCGTTTTCGTTTTGCCAGTTCCAGGAGGCTGTACGTGGGGAAACCCATTAGTCGTAGAATGGGGTAAATGCAGATACAACTCACTCCTTGGACCAGACTTAGCCGGTTTCCGATCATCGATGCCATGGCTCGAATTTGAGAAGAGTTGAGGTTGTGGATAGGCATGTCCCCTTCCATGACAAGCGGGACGGGCAAGGAATATCTATTGACCCAGCTCTGGATGCGGGCGTCACCCGAGAAAGCACCTCCTCCCCACCCTCCTTCCCCAGGGAGCTTCTCCGCTACGTCTTCCAGAGACTGGTCCATTGCGAGGTTGGGGTCGTCAGATAGAGGAATAGGATCAGCTCCCGGTGAAAAGTTCTTCAAGAGAATATCCCGAAGGTGTGTCCCCGCCATGGCATACTCGCTCTCATCCTCGTATTGCTGAGGATCATGCCACAGAGATTTGATAGCCGCTTCCATCCTCTCAAAGACGATGTTGCTTTGTCCGAGATCGAGTCTCCACCGTAACGGGGTCCTCCCATCCAGTGCCGTCAATGGAAAGCGACGCTCCTCTTCGAAGTAGACTTTCAGCTGCGTATCACTGACAGCCATCACCGTCCCTCTGTGTACATCTTTGTCGGTGAGGGGAGAGTTCTGGGAAAGGAGGACCTGCTTCCCTTGTCTGTGCGAGTTGTATAATTAGGTGGAAGGACTGGACAGGTCGGGGAGATACTTACTCAAATCTGTGACCTTCCGGTAACGTTATCCCTGGTCCCAGAGAAAACACCGCGACGTGCTTCCCTAGCTCGAGGGTGCCGCGCCAAAAACCCGCCATATCGTCTATGCAATAGCCTTCTGCCTTGAGTTGCTCCAGAGTCTTCTCTGTTAGGCGCTCTTTCAAAACGGCCTCATGTTGTAACAGCTCGGCTCTTATTGCAGGGGTAAACCTATGGGACTTTTCATCAGTACAATGCAGGAAACAGGTGAGACGAAATCGCCGCGTACAGGGATGTATATGCTTGTATGTTTTTATAAAAAGGGTCTTTCTCGTTGGCACATTCGGGAAGCTTTGGCTTCAACCTTCGCTTTGTCTGCATTGCTTCTCTAATAGTCGTGAATCTCTTTCTCTGAGACCCCCTAAGCCTTGAGGTAGCGCGTAAGCTCCAATGATATCTGGGTACGGCTTTGGCCTTTCCCTTTGCATCCCAACTATCCGCGGATTCCTCCACGGAATCGAAGAAGGCGCTGTAGTCCGCTGTTTCCCTTGCATAAGATGACGAAGTGCTTGCAACCTTCGCGTCCGGGTAGGGAACCCGTGGAGACGCGAACCCATCCGACAGACTCAAGAAGGCTTCTTCCTGGTCGATTGAAGAGAAGTTCCCGACTTGTGATGTCCTGGCGGTGGTCGAGGTCGAGCCGTTCCAGCCAGGTCTGGCATTGTACCCTTGACGATGAGGCTTCCTTGCAACGTTGGACTGGGACGAAGATGATGTCGGTTTAGACTGATAACGATGGCTGTGTTGGCGACCGTGGAATTCCTGACATCGTGTAGACTGTGAACAGAAGTTTCGAAAACTGGAAAGCGAGTCGAGCACATGTTTCGGTATTTGGGACGCGGAAATACAAACGCGCCGCCGTCTTCGTCTCAAAGTCGATGGTCCTGGTGTTGACGTCGCTGTGCGTGTCACGACCCCTTGACGCGCCGCGAACATGGTGAGATTCCGTCGCACCTACCGTAAAGCAGTCCGTGGCCTGCAAGTACTGCTTCCTACGGCACGGCGTTGCGTTCGATATGCAGAAACCTGGGCGTTTGGGAGTTGACGACAGTGGGAATTCGCAGAGCGCGCTCGCTGCTGGACCATGTCCAAATAAGTCGCAAAAACTCCGCTGGACGGGTTGATGGCAAGAGAAAGCAGAGATAGGGGATATTGCCCTTTTGGGCAGTAATATCGCTTCTGCCAAAGGCTTGTTTTGGGCTTGTTAGTAGGATATAAGTATACGAACCTTCTCCTGGTTCCAGGTGGTAACGTTCTGCTGAGTTGAGAAAAGGAAAAAATGAAATGAAAAAATGAATGGACCAATCCGGAATTGAACCGGACACCCCCCGCATGCTAAGCGGATGTGATAACCAACTACACCATTGGCCCGTATTGACCAGGTCCGCAGGAAATCCGATCGGTGAGCACGATATATCTTCTGCCTGTTTCATCAGTAGCACACCATTGCAGTGTATTCCTTTGTCTTTAGTTGAACGGCGACATTGCGTCGATCTCTTCCAAGAAAACGGAGCTCGGGCCTGGGAGACTGCCACTGAAAACTGTAGTCCGTCCATTCTCGAAGGGTACGCGTATTATTTCCAGTCAGCATCCGCAGTTCCGCTCATGCTACCACAGTCCGAACGAGTTACATACTAGGCTACCCAGAAGTTGGTACTTGCGCTCTTCTATGAGTCCACTGTTCCGAAACGCGTTAAATCCGTTGATCCCGAAGTGGTGAGCATCCTCGAAGCGTTCTTGATAACGAGAGCGGGAAGAGGCTTTGTGCGAGTCGTGACGATGTGACAGTGGACCACAGTAGGAACACTGGATGGACCCTCACACGAAGCCGATGTATTATGTGGGCGCGGATCCCTGGATATGTTTACATTGCCCAATCCCCGCACGGGCCAATGGTGTAGTTGGTTATCACATCCGCTTAGCATGCGGGGGGTGTCCGGTTCAATTCCGGATTGGTCCACTTTTTCCTGGTTCGTTCGTATTTATTTTTTTCGTGTTGCAAGTCACAGTGAAAGTTTCATCATGGCCAACTTTCCTAAACCCTCTCGCAGCACCTGCTGGGACTACCTAACCCAAACTTTGCTGCTTGTGGAATGATTGCGTTCCAAGTGACCAGCCTGAAGCGAACTCGAACAGACGCCCAGTACAATGAGTTGTAATCAACCAGCTGGTTATCGTTATCGTGTTGGCAATCAAAAAAGCTCTACTCTTCCTGAAGTTCGACTCTACCGCGTCAATATAACAGGGATAAGCATAAACAGAATTCAACCGGACGTCAGGGTTGTGTATGGTACCGGTAAGCAAGACTCAGGGCGAGTAAATACATACGGAATTGAACCAGACATCAGCGAACTTCGCGGCAAGCAAGAAGCGCGAGCAAATACACACCGAATTGAACGGGACGTCAGGGTTGTTTGTCGTAACTCAGTAAACGGGGAAATAGAGTGATAAAGGTAAGACGGGTGAACAAGTGCATACGGAATTGAACCAGGCACGTAATATCTGACTTGAGTCTACTATTGCTGCTACTCATCAAGTTTATGTTCTACGGAGAGAACTCGCACAGTTTGTCTTTTTGATGTCCTAATACACTGGAACTACCAATTATGCATCATTTACTTTATGTTCTATTGTCGTCTATTGAGCGTGGGCTTGATTATTAGTGGCTTTGGCGGCCTGGTTGGTTAGCCATTCGTGTAGTAAAATGATGCTCGTTCCATGGAATATTCGAGTACGGGAGAGCGTCTGGTGGTGACTGTCTGGCCACCAAAACCATCCCGGCGTTCCGACGTTGTTTATGCCTCTCCTCTAAACTCGAGCCCCATGTCGGAATCCATGATCAATGGAAATCCTTTCCCATTTTTTGTGCCACGTCCCTGATGTTCAGGCTGGCGCTAGCTTCAGTGATTGGCTGGTGCCCTGATGTGCACCTACTATCAGTGAAAAAACATTACTGGCAGCTGGTTTCATTGTCACACGGGCAAATGGTGTAGTTGGTTATCACATCCGCTTAGCATGCGGGGGGTGTCCGGTTCAATTCCGGATTTGTCCATTCGTTTTTCTCTTTTGGTTTTTCAAGATATATCTTGAAAGGTCATTCAATAACTAATAGAACAGTATATCGGTATCTGCGTCCTTGTTGGCACCCTGGAGTAGGGGTTTCACGGCTCGTAAATCATCTGGAATTAACTATGTACCAGGGTTGCGGGTTCACAGAGAGGAGTTTTTCCCGTTAGACTCCCTTTGGCATCGATTCTGTGGCTAGAACAGGGCCGACTCCATGAAGGGACAGCTCTCCAATAGCTGACATTTTTAAAAAAATAAGCGCCCGAGGCCAAGTTGCCGATCGGCACAACCACCCGCCCAAACTCCGCCAGGGCTTCAGCTTGGCACGCGGCTTGTTAAACTTGGCGTCGATGGTGGCCTAGGGTCTTCAACAGTGGACAACCTCGAGGACGGCATGGATTTTGCAAGGCACTGTCTTGTGCGTGGTAGTCTCCAAGTCGAATTCCCCGGGTTAGCCGGAATGGCTGAGTTCATATCGGAATGTCACACATGCCATAACGATGTCCAGGCCTCCAATCGTTTCTAGCAACAGCGTTCTGGGAGATGCACATGTCGACGGCGACGTTTGTTGAAGCACCCTGGTTATCGACATCCTACCACGGATTGGTTGCACTTGCATTGTTTACGGTATCAATGCTGATCGCCTTTAACCTCCTGGGGACAACAACCAAACCGAAATCGCCTGCATACTACGAGGACAACGACAAGATGGTCGAGGACGAAAGGCGGCTCCCACCTCAAGGACACATCTTGCATACTTCAGTGACGCATGCCCGACTGTTACCTACGCCTTCGAAACACGCATTCACGTACCCTGCACTCTTCCTGCTCGTCTCCGTCAAGGCTTTGGAAGGGGGAAGGTTGGATTGTGGGGCAGGGTTCTCGTTTAGCAACACAACCACGCGAAGGTGGCCATCAATACTGGGCATCTCTCCCAATGGGTATCTCACGAACACTGGGAAAGAGCGGACAACCATCTTGCAGAGAGTGGACGGACTGTTGCGAGGGAGACGTTATCTGGCTTCAGACCTTAGGCCACCTGGGGACGAGCAGGTTCACGACGCGTGGATGCTGACTATGCCCAGTTTGCTGGGGTGGGAGGGTATCAACCCTCTTACCGTTTACTTTGTGTACACCAAGAAGGGCAGTCACGATGTCGAAGGAGAGCCCAGCTTCAGATTCGTGCTCTTGGAGGTTCACAACACTTTCGGCGAGAGTCATGTGTATGTGCTAGAGGTTGGGAAGACAGAGGACCCTCTGGACGATACTGGATCCCGACGGTGTGAACACTTGCATGCCTCATGGTGTATTGTTTACTAATAATATTGGTGTAGCTTTGACCACCAGTGGACGTTCCGACGTGAATTCCACGTCTCTCCTTTCAATGATAGATCCGGATTCTACACCGTTGCCGTCAAAAGACCGCTTTACGCTCCTAGTACCCCCTGTCCAGACAGGGCAGCTGGGATAGGGAAGCCCGCTGTTAGTGTGCACCTGCACACGGACTCTCCTGTCCATGCGACAGGCCCAGACCTCCCCCAGAGAGGACAACTCAAGTTAACGGCTCTCCTGCGACCCACCTTGGTGACTCCCCTACTCTCCACGCGAGACGTGATGCAGGCACTCGGAAAGATGCCCTTTGAGCTCGTATTGACGATGCCAAGGATCCTAAAGCACGCATGGCTCCTGTGCTTCAGGAAGGGGCTGGGCGTTTACCTGAGGCCAGAAATGGTTTGGCCCTTGGGCAGAACTGAGGAGGCGCAGGGAGGAGGCGGGGTCAGATGGCTCCAGGAGAGCTCAATCGAGAGGTACGCCAGAGGGAGGGTCGAGAGGTTTATCGGAAGAAGGATGCAGGAGCTAAAGGCGAATGGAAGGGCCATTACAGTCAAGTTCGTACCCGCCAATCTGGCAGAGGATATGAAGATCTGGGAAACAGAGAGCAACGGGAGGCGATGTTTGGAGATACGATATCTTTCTTCGCAGTTCTTCATCGACTTGCTGGTGTATCCTTCGGCGAGCCAGGCAGCAGTTGCGGGAAGGAGGAATGATGTTTGGCAGGTGAAGGAGAGCGAGGAGGGCCTATTCGAGGAAATGTTTTCGAAGCGAACGTCACTCGGTTCCAACACTTTCTGGCAGCAAATTAGGTTGTGGTCAAGACCAGATATAGCAACAGAAGTGCCATCGAATCATTTCCTAGACGATACCCCCTTGGTCTCTACAACGAATGCATGTGTAGTGTTGGTGACGTCTGGGTTAGAGAAACTGGAAAAAGGTGTCTTTTGGCTGCTTGGAGTAAGGGTTGTCAATGACCTGAAGGACGGCGGATGGGTTGGCAGCGTGAAGAGAGAAAGTTAGCATATTAATGTATGTTTTGTATCATGTAGGGAATCCAATCACTAGTGCCCCTATCCTGAGTCCTCTCGTGAATGCCAAGTTTTTACGGTTGTTTTTTTCAACATTCCTTTATCCCTTGCCTCTCAGTTTTAACTTCGCCCTGTGTCGCGCTTTCCTGTCTTTTCAAGGACTCGTCTTAAGATTAATCCAAGTTAAAATGTATGCATGAGATTCGCATGAATGATGATCCAGCAAGAACACTCGACCACGTCGGTGGTTTTGGCCCTTGAAACTGCCACCTCGACCACCGGCGCCAATCAGTCTCTTCGTAATCCCAAGACTGTCGCGTCACGCGCTGTGTCTTCAAGTCCGCTTTCGTTTGCACCGTCACCATCGTCGCCGTCGACAGCGACAGGAAAGCTTTATGCCCACCCACCACTAAGACCCTCACCGTCGCCAAACTCGTCGTCGGCACAGCAAAACGTTTGGCAGCAGCAACAGGCTCTTCAAGCTCAGCTCGAAGAACTCTTTCGGTATCAGCACCAGCTTCAGTTACGGTTAGAGTGGGCGTGCCAGCAAACCCATACGCCTAATCAGTTGCCATCTGGATCTGTTGGATCGGGTTCAAATCCAAATCGAGGTCCTTTGGTGTTGTACGATTCGAGTTCTTTGACGACCTCGAACGGTGGATCTCCAAGGTCGGTGAGAGGATCTTCCTCAAACTTGGCCTTCGGACTGGGTTTCAGCTCTACAGCTGCGAATACCAACACTACAAAGACCACGACCTCGACGGCGCGGTCGAACGGCGCCCCAGTCATGCCGTATATGAACGCCAACGTCCCACAACAGCAGCAGTACGCTGCGTGGAGTCACCAGCAACAACAGCAGCATCACCAACAATTTTTGGCCCTTCAGCAGCAGCCAGGATATCTACAGCCTGACGCCCATGGATGGTACCCGAATGCTGGAAGCTCATCGACGACAACGACACCGCAGGTCCATCTCGTTCCGCCACCTCCACCCGGCCTGATCGCTGGCCAGTATTCCTACTCACCTGCGGCGTATTCAAACGTTGCTCCGCCACATCCTCCAGGATTGGGCGCGCCGTCAGCGTACCAGCCGACTACATCTTCGCCAATGGCACATTCGGGCGGTTTCCAACATCTCAGCCCAAACCATTCCAACCATCCGTTACCAGGAGGCACCAGTCCAATGTCATCAAAGTCGAACTCAAGTCTTTCTCCTTTGCATTCACCAGCTGGCGGACATGGGTACGGGATGAACGGAAATGGGAGTGTAAACGGAGCGATTCCGCCGAGGTCACCTCCTGGCCTCGCCAAGCCGTTGCATCTGAACGTCAATACAGGTGTTGCGTACTATCCTCAAGGGAAAGGACAGAACGTGGCGAGCCCTACGACGCCAATTGGACAGGTGTATTACATGACCCCCGCACCCGGTTCGATGGGGACACACTATGGACACGGACAGCAGCCTCAGTACGCGAATTACGGACACGGTCACCACCACCCGCACACGCAGCATCATCATCCCCATCATCACCAGAACCAACAACCCCTTCACCACGGCCATCCAAACTACCATCTTGCCCATCATCAACAGCCACAACAAACCAATCCTTGGCCGACATTGGGACAGCAGCAGCAATCGACAAATGGAGCTGCCGCCAACTCAAACGCCCAAGCTACCACGGAGATCCATGATTTTTGGAAGTCGAGGCTGGCGCCTTTGCCAGGTTTCGTGTCTCGCCCTGAATTGGCACCAGCGAGAGGTACGGGTATCGTCCACCCTGCACCGCCTGCGAATGCTGCGAAGAAAAACCCCAATGCAGTCGTGATCAAGAGGCCAGACGGAAGTGTAGTTGGGTCGGGGCCGAACAAGGACGGCGGAAAAGTGAAGAATTCGAAGGATAAGGAGAATGCCAATCCGAATGGGGCCACGAAGACGGGTCTGAAGGACAAGAAACTATCGTTGGTCCCTCCGCCTTCCTTTGCCGGTGCTATGTCGGTGGTCAATGGTGCTTCACCCAGTCGGCCCGAGGGCGAACAAGCCAGCCCGTCTGTCTCACCTTCTCCTTCGTCTCGGGGTGGCGGAGAGGAAGGTATCCCAGCTCTCTCACCGATTGACGAGAGAGAGGAAGATGAACTGGAGGCTGAGATAGAGAAACTGCTTTTGGAGAAAGACGGCGACGATGGAGGGGAGAAAGATATGGAACTTGAGGCCGAGGTGAGCTATGAGATCGATGTCGTCGATGTCAATCTGATTGGTATTTTAGGACGAGCTAATCTCCCCCACGCAACTTCACGACGAGACTGTCCTTGATATCTACGTGAATTTCGTTCCTCCTTCATGTTACCCTGAGTCGTGCTAACGAAGAATCTTGTATTCCAGGCGGATCCGTTCATCCCGCAATGGCTCAAGGACGTGCAATCCCAACATCACACCCTCGCTCCTGTGCCTCCGATCCCCATTTTTCCGTCCGTGTCATATCTTCAGAACTATCTGCCTCAAAGAATGGTGGAAGAGGTTATGAAGAAGAATATGAGCCTCGCATTGATCTCGATGCCTCCGCCTCCTCCACCGAAGCGGCATGTATGGACCCCTCCCGACCAACATTCTCCAACCGCGCGCACCGTCAGCAACCTCAATAACGCCCTTCCCCCACTTGCCATCCAGACGTACTACCAACACTTTGTCCATCTCCTCCGTTGGGAACTCGACGCTCTCGCCCGTCTCAAAGAGAACGTCGTCCTCTGGAAAATCGGCGTCCAGGTTCTCAACTGGAGGGAGGACACGTTTGTCATTTATGTTCCGAATGTGCGCGGTGATATGGACTTTGGTGGGAAGATCGGTGTGGGCGATTTGGTTCATTTGCGAGAAGTTGTAGAGCTCAAAGGACCATTGGCTGTTGGTGCCAAGGGAAACAAGGGCCCGAGAGGTGGAATGAGCCAAGAGGATGTCGACGTCGTCAGCGGCACCGGAACCGGGCGTGCGTTCGAGGCTCGGGTTACGGTTGTGAGAAGGAGAGAAGGCCTCGTTCGTGAGTGTTTCCACTTTCTTCCACAACCAGAGGAGGCTGACTCTCCGCAACCAGACATCACGAGTCCTACCCTTAAGCAGCATATCCAGACATATACTCCTCCAACACCCACAACGCAGTTCGAAGGCGGATGGCCCGTCTTTGGACCAAATGACCAACTTCCATACCTTTTCAACGTAACGTTCATGCTGAACTCAAGGCCGTTCTGCGTTATGGAGCACGCATTGGCTGCTATCTACCGACTACTGGATCCCGCGGGGGATCTTGCGGGAGGGGGAACTGGAGGCCCGAGCTATGCTCAGATGTTGTTGAAAAACGTTCAAGCTGGTCCTCCTGGCGTACCTCCAAAGCCCAGTCCAGTATCACCTGCTGGAATCCCGGTGGCGAACGGGAATGGAAGTGTGACTCCCGAACCTGTTGGAGTTAATTTGATTCAGCACTGGTTGTTCCCCGAAGAGGAGCAGTTGAGGACTTGTCCTCCTTTCCAGATTGGCGATGGAATGATCAAACCAGGAGAATGGAAAGATCACGGGCTGAATGCGGAACAGAAGGTTTGTGGTGGTTGATGTTATCCCTCCACGAATAGTTGCTGACAATGTTCAATTATTCAGTCTGCTGTGACTTCAATTGCTATGTTCCAATCCCCTGTCCCGCATTTGATTAGCGGGCCACCTGGAACGGGCAAGACCCGAACGGTGGTTGAGACCGTTCTCCAAATCCTGCGAGTACAGCCTCAAGCGTGCATTCTCCTTTGTGCACCGTCGAATCCGGCCACGGATACTCTTGTGCAAAGGCTCAAAGCCCACCTCTTGCCGCGGGATATGCTGAGGCTCAACGACCAGAACAGGACATTTGCGGAAGTCCCTGATGAAATTAGGCAGTACTGCTGTAAGTCACCCCCTCCCCATTCGTGTAAGTATTGGTTGCTAAAGGCTGCGTAGACGTCGAAAACGACAAGTTCGCCCTTCCACATTGGAAAACGCTTCTAAAGTACAGGGTTGTCGTCACTTCTTGTTTGGATGCATCGATTCTCGCGGCTGCCCAGTTGACCAATCTGAATTTGATGCATATGGAAGATGAGCTCGTCAGTTCAATTCATCCTAGGAGGAATCAGTTCAGTAAAACGGTCATCGAGCCCCACTGGACCCATCTCTTGATCGACGAGGTCGGTGGTCTACGGTTATTAATGACACGAATGAACTGACAATGCTTTCTGACCAGGCTGCACAAGGCTCAGAGCCTGAACTCTTGATTCCCATCTCTGTAGTCGTCCCCCACGCGCAGTACGTTGGGAAGAAAGCATTCGTGCCTCAACTAGTGTTGTGCGGAGACCCTAACCAACGTGTGTAATTCCTCTCTGGTCTGATCCAACCAGTTCTCTGACGTTCATACAGTAGGTCCTATCGTCACCTCTGAAGAAGCCAGGGCGGGCGAGCTCGATGTCTCGCTGTTGGAGAGACTGTTCGAGAGGCCATTATACGCCCAGGCCAAAGTGCGCGGCAATGCAAACCGATACCCTCTTTCTTCTGCTTCTGGCGCCGTTGCAGGGCCAATGGTGCCTGGTATTGTTACATTACGACCCTATACTAATCTCGTCAAGGCAGGTGGTATTTCTTTTAATCTCATTATCGCACTCTAACGTACTTTGATACAGAATTACCGAAGCCATCCGGTGATCTTGATGCCACCATCCGCGATATTCTATAATGATACATTGGAACCCTGCGCAAAGAACGGTACTGTCACTTGGAGAAGGCTTCCCGTGCCTCACCTGCCCCTCAAGTTCATAGGACACGAGCATCCCGAAGCTACGAATGACGAGGTATGCTCACTTCACACCTTCAATAGACCTGGCAAGTGCTGACTGAACTTACCCTGTAGCGAGCCACTTGGTACAACAAAGGCGAGATCCGCAAAGTTGTGGACACCATCAAATCGATGTTGGCGGATAATCTACTCTGTACGCCTCCCCTTCGTCCCGCTGACATTGGCGTGATGGCACCGTGGAGAGAGCAAGTCTGGAAGTTGCGAGAGGAACTTAGGAAGGAAAAGCTGCATGCTGTTGATGTCGGTACAGTGGAGGATTTCCAAGGCAGGGAAAGTCGTGTCGTGATCATCAGTTGTGTGAGGAGTAATCCTAGGTTCCTGGAGGAGGATGCAAAGAGGGGCTTGGGTATTTTCTGTGAAAGGAAGAGGTGAATGGTGGTTTCTGTTGGATTACCCGTGGCGCCTGCTAATACTCTGCTTTTAGGATGAACGTCGCCATCACGCGAGCTAAAGAGCTCCTTGTGGTTGTCGGCAACGGAGCTCTGCTGTCGCGCGATCCTTATTGGAAGAGTTTCTTGCAGTTCGCACTCAGGAATAAGCTGTGCGTCTGTTCATTTCCTACCGATATATATGTTCCTGACTGATGCCTGTGTTACAGCTACGAAGGTCCGGAACTCAGTCTCGAATCGGACGGAAACTATATCTCGCGTTTGGAAAGCCAACTCTTGTATGGAGGGGACGAGGAGCTTGATCCTGAGGAGCAGGGGATCCTCATGGCTGGCGGTGTCGCCCGTGAAGTCTTGAGGGAAGACATGTGATCGTCGCGCAAACGGGAAAAAAAAGTAAAATAACCATCTCTCTGGACTCGGTTTCTCGTCTTGACTTGTATCTCACTCTTTGTCCTTTCCCTCCCGTGTTCCTTCAACCTTATGCTTTTTCTTTTCTTCCTTTTTCACCAGGATTTCCCGAGCTCTCTCTCTCTCTCTCTCAAAACATCATCGTCCCCGATCAAATTAATTCGTACATTTATACCCTTGCTGATACTCACCTATTTACTTATTACTGTCCAGACCTCTCCACTTCCACTGTCGTTACTCTGTTTCCTTCCTTGCCAATACTCGCTGTCCTTGTTTGCCCAACCTTCGTTTCTCGTCCTGAAGTTTCGTCTCTCGTCCTCTCGGTTCCCGTTCCTGTGCTTCGGTTCTCTTCTTTCTCAACTCAGTCTTTGTTTCCTCCCCGTCTGTCTTTTTCTTGTGATTCACCCACCGCCTTCCTTGCTTGTAAAGTACGCATACCGTTTGATTTTTTCGACTACCGCCAGTAATTAATAGTTCTCGTGTCTATACTAATGTATAATGGTTGCACTTTTGGGAAGCTGCTTAATCCACCGATGTGAATGAACTCGCGAAATGCGCTTGGGCCTATGGTACGCCGCACAACTAAAGCGACACAAGCGCGGAATACCACTCGTATAGCAGCATGTAGGTATGGAAGTAACGGCGTTTAAATCGATGTGGTGCCGGGTAAGCAACCTCGAGACTCAGATGCCAGCTTCGACTGGCTGGGTAGCACTCTTTGGGCGCCTATTTATGGGTTATCCCCCAGTTCAAGCCTCGTAAGGTCATATTCACAACCAAATGTGACAGTAATTTGGAACGAGGTGTGGACTGGGTCACCATTCATTGCGTCCTAGGGGACTAAAGTGGCCCTGACTTGCTTCGTCTGGGCCTTCCAGCGTGTCGATAGCTCGATTTAAAAGCTGATACTCCCCTTGTTTAATTCACTCAGGGCCAGAAGAGCATCGCAGCCGTTTTATCTCAAATTTCACTTGATACAGCGAAATCGAACGCGATAACACTACAAGCATACAAATACATCGAAAGGGTTTAGATGGTATCTAATCAGGAGGCATAGGCATCCTATCTCTCGCATGTCCTCTAATGAACACCATTAACAGCACCGCGCAATTCTCTCCTCTTTCCAGCAGCCTCGTTCAACTCGTCCAACATCTTCACAGTGGTCTCCCAATTAACGCAGGCATCAGTGATACTCACACCATACTTCAAAGCATCCTTGCCCTCCGCCGGCACATCCTGTCTTCCCTCATTGATGTGGCTCTCGATCATCACACCGGTGATATGTCGAGACTTGGATTCCGGGGAAGGATCACGGAGCTGCTCAGCAATCGAGTGGACAACGAGGGGTTGGTTGGCGTGGTTCTTCAAAGAGTTGCCATCTGCATTGATGGGGAAATGATAAGATCGTGATTAGCGCCCGTCACCAATCAAAAAATCAAGTCACAAAGGATACGCACGGCTGCAGTCAATCATGATACTTGGGAAGACGCCCTTCCTCTTCTTCTCGATGTTCTCCACGGCCTTGGCGACGTGTTCGGCGGAGTAGTTAGGTCCCGAGTTTCCTCCACGGAGGATAACGTGGACGTCTTGGTTGCCACGGGTTTTGACGATGGCGGCGAGACCTTGCTCGGTGACACCCATGAAAGCGTGGGGGTTGGAAGCAGAGGCCATGGCGTCGATGGCTACTTGAACGCTGTATATGGCTTGTTAGGGGGATTTAAAGCACGGAAGGGCACGACGAACCCGCCATCAGTGCTGTTCTTGAAACCAATAGGGAAGGAGACACCGGAAGCAAGCTCTCGGTGAAGCTGGGATTCGGTTGTTCGTGCACCAATGGCTCCCCAGGCAGTGCCTGTTAAAAATAGTTAGCCAGATACTCTACGCGGCAATAGAAAGCACTTACAGTCAGCAATGTACTGCGGTGAGATGGTGTCCAGCAGTTCAGATCCCACTGGCACGCCCAACTCGGTCAATTCGCAAAGCAGTTTCCTCGCCACCCTCAATCCCTTGTTGATCTTGAAGCTACCATCGATATCAGGGTCGTTGATCAATCCCTTCCATCCAACGGTCGTCCTGGGCTTCTCAAAGTAGGCGCGCATGATGATCAAAAGGTTTTGCCAGTCTGGGATTTTGCTCTTGAGGAGTTTGGCGTATTCAATGGCTTGCTCGGGCGAGTGGATGGAGCAGGGGCCAACAACGACGAGGATACGGTCGTCCTGACCGGCGAGAATGCGGGCAGCTCCGCGTCGAGCTGTAGCAACTGTTTCACGGGATGCTGGTGACAGGGGAATTTCATGGCGGAGGAGAGCGGGTTGGACGAGGGGGTCATAGCCGAGGACACGGCGATCCTGGATGTTGTCGAGGATGTCCTCGCCATTAGACTCGGAGCGTGCAGGGACGTCTGGCATTTTGTACGGTCAAGGGTTGCAGAAGGAACATCGAGTATTTAACGAAGTGATTAGACAGGAAGACTGGAAAGTGATAACTTACCAAATCTGAATGGAGCTGCCATTTGTAAAGGCTTTTGGGTGGAAAAGAGAGAGTGAAGTAGACGATAGAAATCAGGCAGAGGTCCTAAATAAAAACCTTTGATTGACATCCCTAATTATGACTCGATCGGCCGACAACAAATGAGGTCAGTCACGTGCAAACGCACATTACCTCCGTTCGGATTTATATCCGACTTAAACCAGATAGGACAAACGTTGCAAGAGCCAATGACACACGAGATCGATGTCACTAGCGGCCAAGGGCGTCTGGAACCTGCTCAAGAGGAAAAGAAGAGCTAAACGGCCACTCGAATCAATAAGAGTTGACACCCACAATTCAATTGAACGTTGGCTTGTGACTTACTATGAACGTGAAGTTTTCATCTCACACCCTATTTCCGCAGAACTGGGTCACATCGTTCCATTAATGTCGGCGGCTCGACGATGAGGATCCTTCAGAGCAGCTCTGACCCTGTCAAGAGACCATCTCCTCCCCAGCAAGCCCAATACTTAAGCGCTTCCAGCGCCTAAACCGCCAGGCACAGAACAAGCGTGGACCCACAGCCGCAAACTCCAAATTCCCAAACACCAAACACAGCGCGATCGCGATGATCTCATCACCGACAACCCTCCCTCATCGTTCCCTTCCGCCACCACCCACCACAAAATGGCTCCCCTAGTCAACATCCAATTGAAGCCAGCAGCAGGCTGGTGCTTCAAGGTCTCTTCTCTAGAACCTGGTCTCCTCCCGCCACGCACACCTCAACCACCACCAAATGCCCAAACAGCCTCGTCCTCCTCCCCAGGCGGTCTCCTCGAACCAACCGCGAACCAACCAATACCTATCCCAGCGGGCATGAAAGTCTTTGTGAATATCGCATTCGACAAGAACGTACCTCCACCTCCACCTGGGTCCGAGGAGGCCATCCAGGCAGCAATGCAGGGTGAAGCGCCGGTCGAGAGCATCCAGAAGGCGAAGAAGGGGAAAGAGAACGTGAACGGCGGGTGGTACGTCCCCATCATCGTCTCCGAGCCCCGCTTGGACAAGGACAAAGCCGGCAAACCGTCGTTGGTCGTGGATTGCATCTACAACAACGAGGTCAAGTCGAGAGCACTGCGAGATCCGGCTTTTAAACTCTTTCTAGAAGGTTCGTCTTGGCCCAGTGGCTCTGATTTCAAATGGGTCACTTATCCGTCCAATCCTATGTCCTTCAGAACTGGCACTCCAGCGAACAGAACACCAGACTTCACTTGCGTTCTCCCGTAAAATCGGTCGACCAAACATCCTCTCCAAAGGGCCTCTCAAACCACGTACCGTCAAACTACCCGCGTCCCTCCTTTCCTCCCTCCCCCCTCCGGATCCCTCAGAAATACCCGTATCCGGCGAGAATGGTATTGCCTACCACCCAGATGCCATCCCATTAGTGAGCGTCGAGAGGAACGAGGATGACTGGGCGCCACCTCCTCCACCTCCCAAAGGGATCCTCAAGAAACCCGCAATCGAGGTAATCAGTGAGGAGAAGAAAGAGTTGGACTATACATGGAGTTGGGGGAAACTTCCTTCTGGCAAACTCCAGATCACAATCCGAATTCCTGACCTGGTATGTACCCACCTGACCTTCACTCCCCGTAGTGACGATTAAGCGTTAATGTTTCGCATTCAGTCTACATCCTCGATCCGCCAAAACCAGACCCACCTGGATATCGAACCGCGCCGATTCATCTTGTCTATAAACGAGGATCCCGAGAGCAAGAAACCAGCTCAGGTCATCTCATTAGACCGAACACAAGCAGACTCGGATTTGGTCAACGCCATCCACGCGAAAGCACGAGCACGCGTCGCAGAGGTCACAAAACCTCTTAAAAGGGAGCTGACCTCCCTGAAATCAGCAGTCGAATCTGCTACAGGTTCGTCTCCCTCCTTTCTGTTGCGCCCAGTCATTGATGTTAACTTGCGCAGACGAGAAACGCAAGGAACAGCTGAGAACACAGGTGAAAGAGAAGGAGGCAGAGATCGCGAAGAAGAAGGACCATGAACTCTCGGAAGGCGACAAAGAAGTCACCGCAATGTTGTTGCTCAAGCGGGAGAGGGAGTTCGAAGTCGATGAAGCTGTGGCAGAGTGGAGAGTTGCGAGCGGGATTTTGGTTGTTACCTGTTAGAGGACACACCGGTCACGCTCCTGATCAGAAACCCTAGAGTCGAGTTCCTTGAATGAGTGGCTTACTTGTACATCGCATTTCTACAGCCTTGGAGGCAAAGCAGGACTGCCTTTGCGATTTACGAAGGGCACATTGAGATAACAAAGGACATGTAATGATAGTGGTTCAACGATGAACATGCCAATGGATAGCGCGAGACAGGAGTGAACGAGAGGAAGACAATATGGGTAAACCGACGGGAAATGATATAAGTATGTAGTGCCAAACAGACTCGAAAAGGAAGTAAAGTGTCACGGATATTGAAAGCACCCAAGTACTGTAACAAGAACAGTGGAAGAGAAAGGTATCAGACAGGATGTCAACGAACAGAGAAGGACAGCAGACAGAACACCAAAAAGATATGTACAAAGACGAAACCGGATGCACCAACAAAATGATCCCATCCAAGTCCCTCACAGCCAAGAAACCAAACGAGAAAAAGGGGGAGAGATCATGGCTACGAATTGACCACAAAACTCTCCAACCCAGCTTTACTAACCCTCCTCATAGGCTGCAACGTGCTCTCATTCACAGGCGCCCTCCTCGCATGCCTATACCTCCCATGCGCATCCTTAACTTCAACCTCCTGCGCTGAATCACCTCCAATATTCACCCGATCCATAACCCCACCCGCACTCATCGGCTCCCTCCCACTATCCATCCCAATCGCAGGCGGAAGACTATCCCGCACATGCGTCCTGGACCTCACAAGATGCCCATGCGCACTCCTCACACCCGCGCTCCCATTCACACCCATCCCACTCGAGCTGGCGGCATTCCCAGACGAAACAGCCGCAGCGAAGCCCTCCTGCATGTCCACAGCCGTACCCGACACCACCGGTGCAGATGGCTGAACTCCCACAGACTTGTTCCCCAGTTCCTGCTCTTCAAAATTCATCAGTTCAGAGACGAACCCGATGTTGGGCGAGATGCCTTTGCGCCGTTCGAGAACGAAGGCGTAGGCGCGGGAGAGCGTCCAGCGGTTGGCGTGGATGAGGTAGGCCATGACGGCCGTTACAGAACGAGATTTTCCGGCTTTGCAATGGACGTAGGTTGGGGCGGAGTGTAGACGTGCGTCATCTAAAGGGACGAGTTAATCGCCGCACAAACAATACGAAAAAAGTAGCCGTACCAAGGAAATCACAAACAATCCTCACACCCTTGGTTATATTATCCTCCTCAACCGTATCCCTCATCGGTATCCGCAAGTACTTCTCAAACACCTCCCTCAACCCAAGACCCTGATCATCATCACACTCTGCCGCAATATTCAAAATCCTCTTCACACCCAAACTCTTCAACTCATCCACATGCTCCTGACTCGTCAACTCGGGCCCAAGGTACAAGAAATTCGGGAGAATAGTCGAAACAGCAAACGTAGGGAACGCTTCTTCCTCTTCACTCGTCGAAGGCGGGTTGTCGAATTCAAGATCAAAGCCGGCGTCTGGGCGTGCTGTGGGTGGCGGATCAGGCAGATGGTTGGGGGCGAGGGAATGGTTGTTTGAGGGAGGATGGAGGGAGAACGATCCGGATCCCATCGGGTTGGGCGAAGGTGGTGGGGCAGCATCGAGATTGAAACTAAAGCTACTCGCAGCTTTCGGCGTCCCAGGACTATGCGGGGGCGTAAAGAAGCCCGTTACACGCCCTGGCTCAGCAGGGTACGCAGACATCGGACCATGCCTCGAAGGACTGATCGGCGAGTGCGTCGAATGCGCCAGCTTGAGATGCGAAGGCGAGGTGGGGACTTGCAGCGACAACGTAGGCGGGGCAGCGAGCGTAGCCGACCGCATGGGCTTCGTTCGTAACGAGAGTTTGGGGAGGTTGGTGTTGATTTTTTCCATGGATCGCGTATCGATTTTGCGCAGGTTGGGCACGCTCGGTCGGCGTGGTGGTGGTGGACGACGGAAGCCTGCTAAAGACGACGGGGGTGGTGAAGGACTCGGGTCTTCAATACCGGCGTGCCCGCCATTGAGATTGGGTGAAGCCCTTAATGACGAAGAGGAAGATGAGGCTGGCATGACGGGTAGAGGTGATGGTGCAGGAGGAGGAATCGGGGAAGGAGGATTGGTCGAAACGGTCGACGAAGGCTCCAGTTCAGGTAATTGTCTGGACCGGTACGTTGTTTGTGTATCCAACTGAAACAACCCCACGCTGGGTTTGCGAAGGGTCTTTTGTTGCGGGGTTGGGTCGCGAGAAGCCGCCGCATCTGCCGTAGCTTGGACCCCTCGGCTACTCGCCTCTTCGCCCGACAGAATAAGTGTCTGGAGGTCAGGGTCGTGCCCAGCTGACGAGATTCCGCCTTCGAGATAGTGAACAGTGCCATAACTGAGCAACGGCGAGATCACCGGGATGATAGCCCACGCCGTGGACCCAACATTGTTCTTGTCATTCGGGTTCATATCATCGTCGTATATCACGACGTCCCCATCCCAAGCTCCACCACCCGGCTTCGCGATGAGATCCTCCCAAGTGGCCTTGCCGTACTCGGTCGTGATGTACTGCTGCAGCGTCTCGAGCGATTGGAAGCCCCCGCCTGGCTTCTTGCATCTCTTCAAGATGAGCGATGGGATAGCGATATTGATACTCGAACGGATGTGGAATGCCTCGTGCGCTGCGAGGGAACGTGCGTCTATCAGCAGAGGACGCCTGCTGGAGCGTAGCCGGTCATAGAGAGATTTGGCGGAGATGGGGACAGCTTGGGGTCGTGGGGTTGTTGTGCCGGATTTGCTGGGCGACGGCCCTGATAACGAGGAGGACGTCGGTTCTGCTGTAAAGCATGGCGTTGTCGTACTCGAGCTTGCGGCAAATATAGATTGATGGGGTATTATCTCTGAAAGGGGTGTAAAGTAGGAAGACAAGGCAGATTCTGGGGGGTTGCTGGAAGCTGCGGAATCTGGTGGATTGGGCAAGGTCGAGGAACGGGTTGTAGGAAAAGGAGGGAGTGGCACATCGCCGTCGAGGTTTGGCTGGATCTTGAGGTCTGTGCGAGAGCGTATCGGGCGAACCTTGAGGTTCTGCTTTACGCTCCTGCGAAGCTCATCCAGATCAGCGAGTTCTTTCTCGATTTCGTCTGCTCCAGGCCCTGTAACTCCTTTGAAGCCATCGATGGATTCTGGTGACGAGAGCTGGAGAGTGTCTTCAAAGACGTCGTTGTCCGAGTCGTCGTCGCTGCTGTCAGCGTGTTCCTTGACCGGCGTGGGATCCGTCTCGACTTGTATTGAGGGTCTCCGTTCCAGAGCACCTGAGATGTCGAGAGTGGGTGGTCGAAAACGTTTCCCGGAATTCGGAGTCCTAGCGGACGGGGGAGGTTCTTGTGCCAGCATTGTGGGTCTGTTGGCGAGAAAGAAACCTCAGGATCCAAAATATGATAGACGCTCGGGAAAAAAGGGAATAGGGAAAGAAGACAAGATCAGGGAAAGAGAGTAAGAAGACTCATGATGCACGCACAGCGCTCACAGGGCCTGCCCCGTCCATCACTCGACACTTGAGCTCCAAACAGTCGCAATTCACCCTGAAAAATGATCTCGTTTCAGATTTCCCTTCTCTTTCCTATCTCCCTGTAACTTTAGCTGCCACTTTGCTTTTTATCCATTATGTCGCGTTTATTTCACTTTCAAAGCCCTCTGACGTCTTTGCTGCTAGTCCTTTGAACCAGCTGAGTTTGAAGTGAAGGAAATTGGAGCAATGACTCTTGAGGTTTTTGGCTTGGTTGCCATAACATTCAGGGGTTGCCATCGGCCACTTTAGCCCCGCTCGGGAACGTTATCCGAATGGGTAACGCAGATTGGCGTCCAGGCCAAAGCTCAATAGATATTGGAAATTGCATTGAAGACTCTACGGAGAGAACCCAGCCTTCGGCCGTGACAGTAACGCCAGGATTGTTACAGCAGATGGTATTGTACAATAAACCTGCTGTGCGCTTGGGTGGAAAGCTGATGCCCACGACACGGAGACAGAGCATATTCAGAAATCGTCTCTGCACGGTTTTCTGGCGAGAAACACAGTTCGTCCTTCATGGAACTCGGGTAGGCGAGGCAATAACACCCCGCCCTTCACAGCTCTGCTCAGCCATCCTTGAGCCCACCATATCAGGCCTTCTTCGACCTTCAAGAACGACATTTGACCGGAAATCTGATCAATGGCAGTGAGTTTGGGTCATGCTACCCCCACAGCACATAAACATAGCTAACTGACGTTCATGGTACCGGATATAGTGATGCATATGATGTCGATGGTCAAGAATAACCAATCACACCATTAAGCCATCCCCAGTGGACTCCAATGGAGCACTCTGGACAATAACACCGTCGAGTATTTGATCGGCACAGGCACAGGTTCAACCGTAAGGCGATTGCTCGAGGGTTGATTCCAGCGCCGAGTTGACTACCGAGGAGAGTGATAGCCTGGGAAGCGCTCACCTGGTGCCAGTCGCTGAGAACGAAATCCAGGTACCGTGCTTTACACGCATTCCCGTCGCGAAGCTGGGGTGTGTACTCGAGTACATAGGTGGGATGGAGGGGGCGATTCTTGGATAGAATTTGCCCGAGCAATTGACTCTCGCTACATATCACCTCACCCAGACGACACGGCAATGGAGAACACAAGGCATCCTTTCAACCGTCGGAAACGGAAAGGGCGAGATACGAAGAGATCTGCGAAGGATGATACTAAAGAAGAATCAAACGACGCGTCTTGGAGCTGGTGGCAAATCGCCTGAGCGCGATCGACGCGACATGTCCGGCGCGCTATCTGCGTCCTTGAAGGTTTTATATCAATTGGTTCTCAGCGACTCAGACACTCCAGTTTAGGAATTCACCATGATACGCAATTGAAAGAGGCTTCAGAGGCGCCCTATTTGCAGAAGTGCCTACCTAGGATTCACACCACCAAGCCAACTTTTAGACTCGCTAATGGAAGTTGAAAACTTGATAACAGTCCGAGTCCATGGTAATCTGGATGGACTGCATTTGAAGACGAGACGTGGACGGCCTACGATGATGTATTATGGAGCGCCGCTGATATTTGCACCCAGCCTCTGTCATGACGCAATTTTCTCCAAGGTACGAGGATGACCATGCGTGGTGAGAGGGCGCCTACGCCTTGGGTCGAGCCCATCGAGGGCTCTGGAGCGTGCGGGATGATATGATGACGTAACTGCCAAGAGGAAAAAGGATATCATCGATGGGCTTCCGATGTGGCAAAGCAAATGATTTTCTTGTGTTAACCGGGAATTTATAACACGATGTCTTCAAAAACTCTCCACTCAAAGCGTTCCTTTGGCGGAAAGCTACGGATGGGAGCTGCACGCGTCGACTCACCCGCATACGACGCTTCCGAAGAAGACAACGACTACCCGCTCACCGACGACAGCGTCACCGGACACCCAGCCCGCACCTCAAGGAATAACCTTGTCCCGTCCTCAAGCTCCTCATCTTCTTCAAAACATTTCCATCACCAGCCCTCAGCCACAACCCCACGCTCCCGCTCGCACTTGGCCCTCCAGAACACCAACGACTCGGACCAGTACACCTCAGGCGTCGACTCACCCACCTACGACGGCGACATAGAGTACAGCAGCGCAGCAACAACAACAGGCCTTGGTCTTCGTGTATTTGGAGCATCATCTGAACAGAGTATCCTTGATACCACCACCAGCAGTTCTCGGCCAACGATGGGATTGACAACGTCGTCCAGCAGCGGGGCACATACCCACCTGGCTGCCTCTCGAAGGGAGGTGCCCTCCACGCCCTCGACGTCCTCCCCTATAACCTCCAACGGCAACTCGCCCAGGATCCTCCCCTACGCCCTGACCGAGCCTGCCGTTCCGAGCATCACCGCCAACACGTTCAACCCAGCCTCGCTCACCCCGGAGGACATCCAGGCCTTTGTGAGGAAGGCAATCGACGACGGGCCAGAGGGAGAGGTTGATCTAGGATTTGACGGCGATGCCGGAGAAGGAGAGGGAGGAACCAAGCCTCCAAGAAGCAAGAGAGGCTATCAGATCAACGAACCGCCAACAGATAGGCCTATTAGAGTCTACGCCGACGGCGTATACGATCTCTTTCACTTTGGGTGCGTCCAAGTTCCAGAATATTCCATTTATTTGTCCCATCTCTCGCTCGACTCTTGACTTTCGCCCTCCTATCCCGATTGATCTAATCTAATCACAACTTCAATTCAATCAGGCACTCGTTACAACTTCGACAAGCCAAACTCTCTTTCCCGAATGTATACCTCCTCGTTGGTGTCTGTTCTGACGAGCTCGTTCATGCGTACAAAGCAAGGACTGTCATGACCCATGCTGAGCGGTACGTAAAACTCCACCTGCATTTTCGAATGCGTCATTGACGTTTTCCCCTCTCTCCTGCAACGGCCCTATCCCCATCGCCGCAACACCCTGTTTGGGAAATCACACTCATGGTGGCCCCTATCCCCGAAACTCAATCCGCTCCAAAACGCGGTTCGACGCGTTTGATGATGAGAACAGACTAGAAGCTGTTCGCCACTGCCGTTGGGTAGACGAAGTCGTTCCGGACGCGCCGTGGGTGATCACCCAGGAATTCCTCGACCAACATCAAATCGACTATGTCGCCCATGACGAGGAAGCATACCCGAGTGTCGGACACACGGATGTTTATGGTTTTGTCAAGGAGCAAGGTGAGTTTTCCATTCATTTTACATCTACGGGAAGGAATAGGGGGCAGGGATGCACGTTGGTGACGCGAAGGCACGTTCGAGTGTCCTTCTGACCTGCTGCCCATTCAATACCACCATGGATATTCGTCGGTCTTTCATTTTGTACCACGTTCATTCCATTCCCTCCCGAACCCTCCTACCCTTCACCACCCCCACACAAACCAATCCGCTAACACTCCTCCCCTCCCTCCCACAGGTAAATTCATCCCCACCCGTCGCACACCCGGCATCTCAACCTCCGCCCTCCTCTCCCGCATCGTCAGCGGCTACCGCAACCGCAACTTTGACGACAAACTGCGCAAAATGGGTAAAGAAGAACTCCAAGCGGAGGGGAGTGAGTACGACGGTCTGAGTAGGATGGGCAGCAGGTTGGGTAGTAGGAGGGGGAGTCGGAGGGGGAGTGTTAGTGGCGACCACAGTCAGGGTGGGAATGTCAGTTCTAACGGGAGTGCGGGTGGAAGTAGGGCTATTGGAGAAGTGAAGGAGGAGCAGGTGAAGGAGGATACCAAAGCAGAAAAAGAGGGGGAGAAGGAGGGGGAGGAGGAAGTGAAACAGTAAGCAAGCGCCCTATTTGAGGTCGTGTTTAAGTTATTGGATATCTGTGGTTCAGCTGTATATTTGTTATGGACCGAGGGTCTATTGTAAAGATATCGCAATAATGCACTTGTATTATTTCTTGGATTGGTTCGGTTGACGCCAGGGCATTTCAGTCCCCCCTCAAGGCGCTCACTGCGGCAGCCAGAATTTCGAGCGCGAATTGAATGATTTGCCCTTGAGGGCTACATGTCGGCGTCCCTTGCGCCGCCAGTCTGTGTTGGATGGTGAATCTTTCTGGAACTGAAAAGACCCTGACGGTGATCGGCGCTAATGCACAGCGCGCAGGGATGCCTAAATAGGCTCTCCGATTGATATTTATGTCGAGTTCGTATGTAGAGCGGACTCGCTACACCTGGGGTCGATGCTTGAGTGTGAGGGTCTATCTGGCTGTACAGGGCCAGGTTGGACTGGTGGAGAGATTTTAAGTAAGTCACGGTATGGCAAGCTTGTGCGAAGAACGGAGCCGAAAGACGAGGTTTATATTTGGACTCTTACTTACTACCCCTTCATCATACCCGCAGCGGCAAGCTCTTCCCAAGGGCGTTCAAGAGGATTGGCGGAGTTCAGGAGTCCTGACAGTCGGGGGAACGCACGCGCCACTTAAAGTTACTTGATATCCTCACGAATCCGCCTATCAAGCGCGTGCTGTAATCTTCTTTTGTCCCGCTTTCACTGCAGCTCCACAGATTACTGAATTCCATAAAGACTTGTGTACTACACATTGCCCTCACGTTGACCCATGGGACTCTGTGAAATATATTTATAGCGCCGTCTTCGGTTTGGGCAGTGGGTGTGCGTCATTGCGATTGGGAATTGCATGCGTTCAATTTCCTTCCCTCTTCGAATTCTATCGGTGGTTTGACATTGGAAGCCAACTTGAATGCCGTTCGTTCCGTGGTGGAACGGCGAACTTGTGGAAGTCACGGTGGACATATGCACTAGATTGAGAGTGATCTGATCCATGATTCGGGCTGGCTGCTTAGCGCTTATCTTGGATGACTTGTCGTCTGCCATGCGTACTCGCGTAGCGGATAGCCGACACCAAACTTCGAATTCAACCGGCTGCTGGCACCAGGGAGAAGCTCAAGGGCAGCAGAAGCCAGTAAGGACACTGCAGCTGATGACTGCAGCCCGGTAGATTTGTCTCTTCTGCCCCTTCACCTATTGGCATGCCATACGCTGAACAGGAAGATTAGGAAGCGAGGGAATATTAGTCAAAGCGGGGTGATCATCGTATGCAGCCTGGGAGTGCGTCGATGCGAGCTTTGGCGCATATACCATGATATATGACAGGGTTCCAGCTGGAACGTTGAAGAATATATCGTCCGACAAACAGTCACTTACTCGAGCCAAGAACGAACGTGACCGCCATGGGACTCGATAACGATTCAATGGACATTTATAGGCTCCACCGATGGACTTACCCGGCGGGTGGAAGGCATAGCTCGGAGGAAATTGAAAGAGCAGTTCGTTCATGACTGTTGTCGACTGATCTGTTGCGGTGAGGAAGGTCTTCTGAGCTGTAGGATCCGAGGATCACAGCCTGTCCTCAGTTGTCAGGCTAGTCTCTTTGCATAACTAACGAGGTTCGTTGTCAGACCAATTGGTGAGATGTAGCTGCTTCTGGGGAATTTCGATCAAGCACCGGAGACATAGCGTTCGTGGACTGGACTGCAGAAACACTCTACTAAATAGCCTTCGTAAAGCTGAGGCTTAACGCTGCCACTGGAGTCCAGCATTATGATGTCTGGCCGGCGATTAAAGAAGCCAGTTTCCACCTCTCATGCTCCGATGATTTTGAAGACTGAACTCTAATTCTCTCCACTTCATAACACCTTTCCAAGCCCGCTACATGGAAGAACCAATACAGGTTAAAGAATCCACCTCCGCACACACGCACGACATTCGCTGGTTGAGGGTTTCAAGGCGTACGTGTCCGACAGCGGACGAAGCTCCCCTCTATACCTTGCTTCTCGGACTCGGAGAGGGTGATTCCAATCCATGTAGAGTCCTTCCCATTTCGACAAGCTTACAGGAGAAAGAATTCCCCGGCCAATCAACGGCAGCTTACAGTGAAGGACGTGCGAGGAAGTCGAGAAGAACTTGAAGGACAGCCTGAGGACAGACCTACAGGGCTGGAGTTGGTGGAAATAGAAGAAAGATATCTGGACGCATATTCAGATCGTCGGCGTTCCAAGTTGGTAAAAGCTGAAGGCAAACAGGTCACGCTGGTTAGCTCCATCCAAAAGTGCTCGGTGATATGAATCGAGAATGTTGTCATAGCTTAGATTGAAGACGAGAGTTGAAATGATAAGGGTAATCGCCACTTTCCCCGCTCGATCCAGGAGTGTTGACAAAGTAATTGGCGAGTAAATCAACATTTTAGCAGCAATTCCCATCGTTCATCAGCCAGGCTCCCATTGCGCAGAAATGAAGACCTCGAGAGATGGGCTCGGAAGGGCTCTGTACGAGGCATGCAGTGTCTCCAAAAATTCCTCTCCTTTCGGAATGTTGCAAGCTTTCTTCTTCCGGGCGTCGTAACCTTGTCTGATTCTTGCCTGGCCTCGTCACAGAGCTAGTAGGTATGCCATGACTCATTAAAGCTAACTTACCGTGCTAATTAACTACATCTCAACATTTCTAGAACTGGACATATCTTAAGTTCACCGCTTGGCGATTAGATGCTCGGTACTCGACGATGTGAGAAAGCAATCGGCTGCCTTGGGCCTATCGATTGAGGTGATAACTATCGTGCCCTATACAGCTACAGAGTCAAGTACAGAACAGATGACCGACCATGTTCGAGAAAATATCGGAAAAGAAAGTTCATCCGATAGCGGGTGTTAAGCCTCTCTGACTTGCGAAGCATCCCAATACATCCATGCCGGAAACTCTGAGTCTCAACACTGTTCTTTTTCCCAGTGGCTCCTAAACGTGACCCAAAAACACACCTTTAGGTCAACGAAAGGAAGGCCGCTATATCGAGCAAATAGGACTCCATGGGCTCGGCGATCGATTAGCGAGTAAAGTTTCATTCATACGCTAATTCTTTGCCCAATCTTTGCATGGAAGCTTGGCCGTGACCCCGCTCGACCTCCGAGTCGGGCTTACCGTGACTTATTTGAAAGAGCGAACTTTCGGAGTGGTAAAGATATCGGGTCTTGTGGGTGTGGTGAAGGGATGGGACGTGAAGATAAGTGCCGGATGCAAATAACTGATCTAGGGTGCCTCAGGGCTGTTGAGGACGGAGCTCGACTTCTTTTCGAGAGGAGATGGAGCTGGATTCTTCGGGGTGTCAAACTCGAGACCCTCGGCAATCGGGTCCCAGGTGCAGGGTGTCGAGATGTTCGGACAGTAGGAAAGAGACTGCGGTTATACAAGTCGGCAGGGGAGTTAACATGGTGACCGAAACCCATACCTTGAGTCTGGTTGGTACTGCCGGTGATGACGGGAGTGTGATTGCCTCACAGTGTTGGCACGACGGCAATAACGAGGCCGCACAGGTAAGCAAGGTGGTCGTCTCTACGTTCAACGTGAGGGGTAGCTACTGACAAAAGGCTTTGCGAATCTGAGGAGTCCGCAGCGGTGGATACCTTCCCGAGGTCGGCCCTTGTTCCTGCATGCGTTCAACAGGCGCCGGTAATGAATGTTGCCACTCGATCGAGAGCAATAGAATACCGGTATATTGATGTGGACCAGTCGCTCTCTGCGAGATGAATAGTTGCTACACCTACAAGCCATCGCAATCTTGTTTGAATTTGGGCGTACACACGAACACAACTCGCTCAAGCGCCCAAGCAGGATACAACAAACACAGCCAAAGCCGCCACATGCCGTCAGGGGTATTCACCTGCTGCCTGCGAATCGGACTCTCAGCGGAGATTTCCCAATCGAAATCTGTCATCGATTTCCACCAACAATACACGTCTTCCCTCTTTCAAGCTCTTGAAACCACTTTCTTGACAGCAGCAGAAAGGAATGAGATCATTTCCGTTACGGGTTTTGGCATCCCTACTGCTCCAGTGACCCGATAAACCACCTGCCAGTGCCATCTCGACTCCTCTTCTGACGGCGGCGTCCCTTGGGATACTTGTCTTGTCTTTCCGCTGGACCTGGATTTCTTTGTCAGGGACCGCAAACATGGGGATGTGCTACATAGTGGAGCCTTTAATGACATGGAGGTGGTTTCATGATGGGGGTCAGATATCCCGTTCGAGATCACATCGGCGACCGGTCGTTCTTTCAGGACGCCAAATCTGGTCTCAGGTTGTAGCATGAATCCGGATACAGCAGCTTCATTTCGATGCTTCCTCGGTGGCGATAGAAAGATGGATGGGTCAAGGCTTTTAAAAGAGCTGGTTCGATCCAACTCGTCCCAGCCTCTACCCCCGCTCGTTTCCTTTTTCTGCGCGTCACTTCTATCATGGCTGCGACCCTCCAACAGGCGTTGTTGGTCAACATAGTCTCTGGCCTTGTACGTCGACTCCTCTCTCTCCAAGCCAGGTTCATGTCAGTCCTGACCCGGTTCTCCAGGGATCACACTTATACTTCAGACATTATGAACCCGAAAATTACTGGAAGACAGCTGGGGTCATGGTGTCTTTACCAATGATCCCCGCAGCCATGCTCGTACCACACGTTTCCTCAGTACCACTCGCGATAGGCTTGGCTTTCCTGATCTTCTTCTCGACACTATTCTCTTCGATCGTCCTGTATCGCGTTTCTCCATTACATCCCCTCGCTGGGTACCCTGGCCCATTACTCTGGAGAATCACGAAGTTCGCTCCTGCTTGGTATGGCCACAAAGGGAAGCACCACATACAGCTGAAGAAACTCCATGAACGCTATGGACCCATCGTACGAATTGGTATGTGTGTTCAAGCTCTGTAGCTGCGATTTCTTTCCTCTCAGTTCACCGTACCGGCGAACTAACCAACACCCACCTCCCCCTAAAGGACCGAATGAATTGTCCATCGTGGACAAGGATTTGATCCCCTTTATCTTGGGCGCTCAAGGGATGCCCAAGGGGCCGCGTGAGTCCTCTATTCGTCCAAGCTCAGATCTCGTTTGCTCACCGATTCCCTTGCGATCCCAGTGTGGGAAGGGCGGCGCATTCTCCCCTCGAAGAACTACAATGTCAACAATAGTCTTGTAGCCGTGAGGGATCTCGAGCGTCACGCACAGCTCAGGAAACCATGGAACAAGGCGTTCGGAACGGGGCCACTGAAGGACTACGAAGAGATGCTCGTCGTGAGAGCAGGGCTCTTGATGGATCGCCTTGAAGGCCACTGCAAGGCTGCGAGGGACAAAATCGGCCGAGTTGATTTAGCTAAATGGGTTAGCTTCTTTGCGTGAGTCCACACATTAGATTGGGTTGTGCTTCAACATGTAATCTCATCGTACGTCTTCGTACAGTTTCGACTTTATGGGTGATATTGCGTAGGTGCCCAATTGAATGTTTTGTGGACTCCTCGCTTATCAGGGACATCCATACATGCACAGCTTTGCAAGCGACTTCTCTCTTTTGCAGGATGGAGATGTAAACGGCTTTATCAAGAATATGGAAGACGCCCACTAGTACGTACTTTCGGCAATTCTCCCCCCTTCTGTTCCAGGAATGGATGCTTACGGAACCGGTAGTCTGCCCACTATCGTCCAACACATCCCCTGGATGGCCAAGGTTACGCGTGTTACGCCATGGGTCGGAAGCAAGCTGCAGAAGTTTGGAGCCTTTGCTCTGGCTCAAGCAAGGAAGCGAGCCGCTACGACCATGATGCACAAAGACTTGTTTTACCACCTGGTACGTGATGCCAAAAGTGGAACCAAGGCAGCCTCAGTGTTAACTCAGGGCATCGGCCATACAGATTCAGGCAACCGATCCCGATCTAGCCGCTTCTCCACTCCCCTTGATTATGGCAAATGCAATTTTGACAATCATTGCGGGGTCTGACACGTCTGCGTCGGCCGTGACCAGCATAATCTACTTCCTCTTACGCAACCCAGAGTGTCATAAGAAGCTGCAAAAGGAGATCGACGACACATTTGGCTTTGATGAGGGTGACCCAGCCATTACTCCGGACAAGCTCGCACAATTGCCCTACTTGAACGCTGTTATGTACGTCCGGTGTCATCGTTGCCTCGTCATAGAAGATTCTGATGTTAGATGTGCAGCAATGAGGCCATGCGAGTCTTTCCTCCCGTCGCGTCGTCAGTACAGCGGGCACCGAAGATTGGAAGTGGAGGCAAGATGGTTGGTTCAATGTGAGTCACGTCTGGATCCCTAGCCTTTACTGGTCTGAAACGAACCCCGTGAAGGTTCATTCCAGAGGGAACGTCGGTGACGGTTCCACCTTACGTCTACCATCGGGATCCTCGATACTTCTCTCCCAACCCCGACACGTTCTGGCCAGAGCGCTGGCTCGTCGAAGGAGATGGCAAAATCGTCCACGAGCGTGGTGCCTTCATTCCCTTCTCCGCTGGCCCAGCAAACTGTGCCGGAAAGCCTCTCGCGTTGATGGAAATCCGCTACGTGACAAGCTTGCTGATTCGCACATTCGATATGAGCCTGGACGAGAATTTTGACCCCGTGGCTTGGGAGAACTCGCTGACGGACCGGTTGGTTCTGTGCAAGGGCCCTCTTCCTGTGAACCTGACGAGGCGATCCACTTCATCTTGAGGACGTTGTACCTGCTTTCTTTACATTTGTAACAGTATAATCACGACACTTACGACACAAACGTGTATCAGTACCTATGCCCAATATCCTATCAAAAAGGATTCCGAGGACATACCTTATGACACGACCGGTAATTGGAATGCCAACACCGACGCGTTACTCGCTTTTGCTCGATGAGGTAGTGTATTTCACAGGAAGTCAAAACTTCACAGTTCGTACCTGGCTGCAGTCCTGATCCGTTAAGGTTTCAACGGCATAGCATTAGTACAGAAAATTATGTATCGTGACATACGTCAGGTGTTCCTGAGCATGAGAAGGAATCAGTCAACATGCAGAGCATGTGGGGTCTGACAGATCGAGTACATCGGGAAGTAAGTGACGAAAAGAGACCGCAGGAGCGATGAATTCAACTGACCTAGATTAGACTCCTCTCGGACCACGAAGGTGGCTTGCCGCTTTACTCCTGCCGCTCGGCGCGCTCTTTCAGGGTATCTGCCATGGCTTGGAAGCCCTTTTTGAGCGCGGACCCCACAAAAAGCTGGACAAGGTAAGCAGCAAAACCTGAGAATACTTCAATGGTGTCATATCGCGTTTTGCCGTCGGGTAGCGTGGTCAGGGTTTGCCACCTCTCACTGTGGAGAAGCCAAGCAGGGACAGGACCTGCTGTTTCCCATGCAGCGCGGTAGTTCTCCGTGTCAAGCACGGTGATTTCGACGAAAGCAGAGTTTTTTCCAAAGAGACCGGGATTGCCCATCGTAGGAGGGAGATGGACAGGTGAGATATCGAGAAACTGGCCTTCCGAAGGCGTTTGGGAGGTCGAGGTGCGACCTGACGCATCAACAAGTCGCTGACCACGACTGGACGTTGGAGAAACCTGTTAACATTGGCTCGTGATGGTCTGCCGTGAACCTTACACGAATGGGTTCCTAATATGCCTTTTGAGTAAGTCCACGGGGTATCATAAGTGAACATTTTCGACTTACCATTCTCCATAAGACTGGAAATCCATGAGGGTGTGCCATACCTTATCAGGGGGCGCGTTGATGACGCTGGACCCAGTGACCGCGAAGACGCCGTCTGAAGCGAGAGGTGGCACCCGAGTATCCCGTGGCATTTGGTTTATATTTTCAAAGCGGTTTCAAAGTCGAAATTTCTTTCGGTGGTGGTAGAGAGAAGAAGAGATGCGAGCCTGGGAACTCAATGTCGGGAAGCGTCGACAAAGAAACAAACAACGACCGCGCGTTGGATGCGCGTTGGATATGACTTTTCGTATTGGTTTTCGCGATACAGCTTTACAACCACAAACTACCTATGAAGTCTCTTCTGCTCTGGCCTTCAACGTGTCGGCCATGGCCTGAAACCCTTCATTCAAGCCCTTCTCGTGCATTCCCTTGACCACGTACGCCAAACCGCCTTTGAAAACCTCCTGCGTATAATATTTCGTTTGGCCATCCCCCAAATCAATCAAAACTTGCCAACGTTCTGCATGAAGGATCCAAGATGGCGTTTTGCCCCAATACTCCCAAGACAAGCGATAATTAACGGTGTCAACCGTGTTGACACGCTCGAATGCGGAGGATTTGCCAAATGGTCCTGGGTCGCCCATGGTTGGAGGGATATGGACCTCAGATATGTTGAGGAAGACACCTTCCGCTAGGGCAGAATCGGGTAGGGGATTGCCCTGTTCGTCAGCGACGTTCTGCGCTCGTCTGAGTGGCGGTGATAAACTTCGGTGAGTCTGACATTTTTAGCGCCGTCACATCGATACTCACACGAACGGATTCCTCCAAACCTCTAGTTAGGACGACCTTCAGGGAGAAGAACGAGCCGAATTACCACTCTCTATACGACTGGAAGTCTGTCAAAACATTCCAAACGTGCTGAGGCGGGGCATTGATAATGCTTGACGCAGATACACCAAACACGCCCGAGTCGAGAGGAGGAAGGCCAGGAGGGAGCGCCATGGTTCCAGCAATGTTCTCGCTGGGAATTGGTCGTTCTTCAAAGAAGCTCTCTTGGCTCAAACGTTGTTGTTCGCCTATGCATGGTGCTCCATGAGCGCTGACATTTCCCTCCCACGAGCACCTGCGCTGTGAAGATCACGAACCCACTACATATGCCGTTGGGTGCCTTCCTGTCATCTGCTGCCTCTATCAACTTCCCTGGGTCCCGTTAAGCCCTCAATCGGCATCGACATCCCCCACTCAGCTCAAGTCGCATGTCTGATCTAGTACTAAAGACGTCGATGCGGCTGGATGCTTGTGTTTTAACTACATTCATCGTGACCTGCAACCTCGACTCAACCCTTCACGTTCGCCGAAGCACCATCGAACACTTCCTGCATGAAATACACGGTCTGACCTCAACCCTCTGTCATCAGAAACTGAGGTAAGCATTTCAGAATCTTTAAGCGCCTGGCGCTCACAATAACCTCTTTTACACATGAATTTAGAAAGACACGAGTCTAGGGCAATTCGGATAACATCTAACGCTTCTATCATACACGGGATTGGCAAGACAGTCGTACAAGGTTGCAACACGTTCAAACGAGCTCGAATGGTTCACAAAGCGTCCTCTCCTTCGACATCAGACTCCCCGGCGTTGGAGACACGACGAACCCTCTGGCGCTTAGAAGGGCTAACTTCATAGTCCCACAAAGCGCCCAACTCCTCTCCCGAAATCCTAACCCTCTCCCTTCCCTTGCCCTTATACTTCCCCTTGCTCCCCCTCTTCCTCTTCCCACCCCCCCTCACCGACGCCTTCACCTCGCTATCCGAAGCGGAACTGACAACTCCAGAGCCAGTGCCATCACTCTCCTCCGCACTCTCGCTCAACCCTTCCGCCTCCAGCTCGGTTGCAGGCCCGGAAACGGCGAGAGCAGCACCGTTGGTGTCGAGGGTGGGCGCTTCTTCGATGATCTCGGTACGCATGTCGAGGAGGGACTCTTTGAGCTTGGAGAGCTCGAGTTCGCGGTGGAAGAGGGACTCGAGGAGCTCGTTGTAGATCTCGATCTTGGAGCGGTGGTCTTTGGCACCGTCGGTCGGGCAGACGAGCCGTTCCTGGATCGGGGGAAGCGGAGGGTCAGAGAGAGGGAGTTCGGATGGGAAGACGATGCACAAGGGAGCGGTGGGTCGCGTCGAGCGCGATGTCAGAGACAGGGGAATGTACTTACATCGAGAACAGGGATCATGGGGACTGGAATGTTTGTCACGATCGACATAGTGGTTTGTAGGTTGGTATTGGACGATTGGAAGTATTTGGAGGAACTTCAAGGAACTGGCGATGGTGAGTCTACTCGACATCTGCTAGTATTTATACCTTTCCTACACCCTCATGGACCATGCGTGGTTGTTTGGTCTCTTGAACGCTGTAACCTGGAGCCTGCTTCCTATTGACCAGCAGGTACCGGTACCCTAGGAGATACGCAAACGATGTGATAATGCACAGTCCAAGACTAATAGCACTGCGGAAGTTTACTTAGGATGACCGACACGCGTCGCATTCATTGTAGCCTTGAGGGGTGGAAGAAGTTTTACGGATAGTGGATTCCCATAATACAAGGTAGCAGGCAGTAGGCGTGTTTATCCACGTCCAGAGAGGCCCATCGACCCAATTATATTTTTGACTTGTCTATGTCCTACTTCCGGATGCAACTGCTTAGCAGGAACAAGGTTGGTGCTGAACGGGCGAGGCAGTGCGCGCACTGTTGATCACGATACCATTTTCTTTGGATGAGTTTACTGCATTGGGAGCCACGAGGCATTCGAGGGTACAAACTCGCCTGATGATCTTGAATGGGAAAGCATAATGGACATACGAGGTGTGTATTTGGGGGTTCGTCTAACACGATAAGGACGGACAAGACGGTATGAACTGGTATGAAAAGGTAAGGGTAGAGTGAGTAGGAGGTAGCGAAATCATTTCGATTGGGAAGCGGCTATGGGTATCTAAAGTCTAGAAACAAATGATATAGATGGTGAATGGAGAGGATGGGTGCGACATAAACTTCGTCAGGACAGCAAAGGGTCGATACTGAGTTGCATAGGGCAAATCGTGCCAGGGACACGTCCAGAACCAGGGTGAAAAACGATGTCTTGTCATAGGCGCGGCACGCATAACCGAGGAAGCCAAGTCCACGACCATGTATAGCCGCTCAGGGATAAAGGATCCTTCTACGTGGACGGGAGAGCGGGCCCTGGCTTGAGAATCGAGAGGTCGAGAGCGTGTTTCATGGGGAGTAAGCATAAAGTTGCATCCGCAGGAAAAATAGATCAGGATCACGGCTGGGGGTGAGGACTCTGAGGAAACCTGGGTTCGAGAGGTGGGAGACGGGAAGCAAGGAGAAGCCGATGGTACTTCTTCTCTGCGTGCCCTCTGAATTCTTGTGCCCATTCACTAGTCCTCCTCGGGTATTACATTGAGAATGGAAGACCGGCGCCTGTGACCACGCTTGCTGGAGGAAGTCGTGGAGCTGGTAGTGGAAATGGAGTATTGGGAGAATGGGTCTGCACTGATGTCGATAACAGTCGTCGATGGAGAGCTAGAGGGAGAGCTCGATAGGGAGCGGCTTAAAGTCTATCGCGTGCAGGAAAAAAGGTGAGCAACACACAGTGGAGAACATGGCATGGAATCACGTACGGAGGAAGGGGATGAGCAGGGTGAATCGAACAACGGCGAGTTTCTCCCTTTGAGAAGGGCTAGTCGCTGTTGTCGCTGTACGTCAGACTCGACGAACTGGAGTTGTCTCCCTCGTTCATCGTATCTGCTGCCGGGAATATAGGTAATAACAGGTGTGGACAGGAACGAGTTGTCGAACATCATGGTCGATGTAGTCAAAGGGTGGCGAGTCGTGGGGACCTAGAATTGAGAAGTCGTGGGTAGAGTTATGTAGTCGCGCAGAAGAACAAAGAGGGTTTAGTCAAACTCTAGCCATGAGGGAGATTGTCTATTTAAAGTGTTGATTTCCCTTCCATGGGTGCGGACCTGCCGAAATCATGAGTCATCGGAAACGATGAAGCCACCATAATTCGCAAGCCTGTGAAGGGTAGACGCGCATGTTTGATAAACCATCGTTTAGTCCTACCGGATAAGGGCTTCATATCGGGTTTTCGAGGGTGCGGTGTCTGTAGAACCGTCGAAAACATGATTGGGGTCGCTCTTGCCGGAAAAGAATGATACTGGACCTCGTCCAAGTTTCCTTGTTTGAAGTAATTCTGAGCTTCCGGGCGCTGGTATAACGGATAAGAGGACATGACAAACCAAAATGCTCATCATTGCACGAATTCCTTGAAGCTGTACTCATCCGGGATATCGCCCGCGGCCCAATGCTGACTGTTGCTTGCTGAAAGAGCAGCACTCCATCGTAATCAATATCGAGCCCCCAGACGAAGTTCGGCGTTAAGTGGATATGTATCATCCCCGTCTCCAACATGTGCATTCGCCGCACACTGGGCGTCTACAATGGTCGCGGGATGAGAGAACGGAAAACAGATTCGGACCAACGTCGGAATGCGCCAAGCTACCGACTCCGTGGAAATTATGTATAACGGTGTGACGTCATGCTTGAATGTTCTGGCACGTTCCGGCCAAATTAGGGGTTGCTCCGCTCTGCGAAACAGTTGAACAAGACCAAACTCGACGATTCTCGAACATCGTGGTTTATGGAGCGAACACTCCAGAATAAGGAGAATGTTTTCAATAAAACAGTCTTGGTTTGCGACTTGACTTTTCGTTTACACATTTCGACGCACAGATAACCATGTTCTCACCGTACGGTTACAACGTAGGCCCCGTCTACCCACTTTCTCAACCTTCGTACTACCCTCATTCCCAGTACTTTAACCCCAGACCACAACGCTCACCATGGGGCTATCCCCAACAACGTCATCCGAGGGGATATTACAACACGGACGAAGACGATCTCCAAGAGCGAGCCAGGGCTTTGGCCGAACAACGCGCAAGACGCGCACAGTGGCTCCCAGACGAGGTCGACGACGATGACGACTGGGAATACCGACAACTACCTCCTCGAGAGCGCATGTACATCGATGCAGCACGGAGACGGCAACAATTAGAGCAGCAGCAGCGGATACAACATGCTGCTCGGGAGAGGGCGTTGGAGGAGCAGCGTTGGCAGCAGCAACTGGAGCAGCGGCAGAAAGAGGAGGACGCGCGACGACAGCGGATCTTAGAGGAGCAGAGGAAAATCCAACAACAGAAGCGGGAGAGGATGGAGGCTCGTTTGCGCGAGGAGGCAGAGAGGCGACAGGTAAGCCATCGAGCAGTTTAGTCCATTCCTGATTCTAATCCCTTCCACAGGCACAGGCAAAGGCCCGTTCTGCAAGTCCTTCACCTGAGGCTCGTCCGGCCCAAATCCCCATCGACGACGCTACACAACCAACACCAAATCCACCGTCACCTCAGCCAGAGGAGGAGCAGTCTCCAATACCCGAGTACGACGAGCGGCATCACGAGGCTGCAACTCTCATTCAAAATAAATATCGCATCCACCGGTCGCTCAAGGCCATCGACGAGCTGAGGAAGGAATTCTACGTCCACAAGGATCGTTTCTCCTTCCCCTCGTCAATTGACTTCCAAAAGCCCGGGGGCGGTGAAGGTTATATCAGCGTCCCTGCACCTCCACCATCAGACGAAACCGACGAATCTTCACCAATGGACGTCGATGGTCAGCCTGACGGAAAGCTCGCCTACACCTCCCACAACTACAACATCCATGCCTATAACGAATTCATGATGAAACAACTGACGAAGCTTGACGGCGTGGAGAGTTTTGGAGAGAAGGCTGTGAGGAATCGGAGAAGAGGGGTGGTGAAGGAGATCGAGAGGGAAATTTTGAAGCTGGAGAATTGGTGGAAACGAGCTTGGCGGGAATATGTGGCTTCGCAGGAACCCCTGTAGTCGTTCCCTTTGGACTTCTATTCGCCATCCCATTCGCCTTTGGACGCTTGTACTATAGAACCAGTGTACCTTTATTGTCTGTACTGTATACAAGAATATTTCGAAAAAGACGCGATTGGGGCGAAATAAGCGCGCATCAACATTGACATGAACGTACTTGGAGCCGCGACCGAGGAAGGTAAGCATAGTAGGGATCAGTACCAGAGCAGGTATCAGGAGGAATACAGAGGAACGCCAGACCTAAGAATAGACCACGAGATATCTCGCCAGAATGGCATCGGAAGAGAATACCAAGAGCTGGTCCGAAGCAGTTCCACCAGCGGACGACTCGTCTCCCTCGTCGGTTGGCTGGAGCAATTGGATCTGGATGGCTAATATTAGGTCCAATATTCTTCGGAACGACAAAATCTCCTTACGAATCCCAGTCGGCGGAGGCTAGCACTGTTGTTGCGGGCCACCATTTCATCGGCAGTCATTTTTTCCTCGTCCGAGGAGACGACCTTGGTAAGAAGCATGGCCTTATGGGTGACCTCAGTGGAGGCAACCGGGAATGCCAATTTGTCTGCTCTACAGCCACCTTGTCATTATCACTCACAAAGTAACAGAACGACGACTTGCTTACTTGTTAGAAGTTCCAGTGGCGGGGATCATCCTGGGGAAATCGACAGGAGAATACACGTTCCTCCTGACGACATCACACAGGGTACACCTCAGGCTTGTGCAAGGGGTAACGAAACCGGACTTGAGCAGCATGCAGGTATGACCGACTCCGATCCAGCGACGGGATTCGCGAACTGGGCCTTCGGAGTCTGAGCATAACTGCTGTCTGCAAAGAGCACGGGCTCAGGGGGAAAGAAGGAAAGATGTGAAGAGAGGACGCACTTGAATTGTTCGTGGCGAGCGATGATGTCTTGAGATTGGTAGACAATGAAGATACGGTGGACGGTTACTTTTGGACGACCTGGTGTTTTCCAGTCCCCTCGGAAGAGGTCATAGACTGTAGACGCTTAGTACAGGGAGACTGGGTAAAATGACATCGCAACGGACCTTTCTCAAATGCATCCTCAGTTTTGGGAATTTCAAGGAGAACAGGCGCATTCTTTGCCCCCTGGGACTTCATATCTTTCCATGTGTGTGGCGGTCGAGGAAAAGAGCCAAGGCGAGGCTGCGGTGATCCAACGCTCAAACGACTTCCGGCCCCGTTCATCGTTGCCATCGTAGCGCGACGGCGAAGGCTGGGGCTAACTGCAGGAGGAGGGGTTGCAGGGTCGTCTGGTCTGACCCTGTCAGGAGCTGCAGGGTGAAACAATCCGCCAAGACCACCTGCAAGTACTTAGCATAGATAAGCGGCGAAGATGATCTGTATCATGGGCGCTTACCTAGCCCGCCAAGAGTTGTTATCAAAGAATTGATATCAAGTATTGGGTTCCTTGAGCCTGGGAGTTGAGCTTGACTGCGGGGAACTGCCTGCGGACGCGCTTGCATTTGCGCAGCAGCATCGCGGCATCTGAGCCCACAATGCGGGAACGTTGTGCCATCGGCTTTGACGACCTTTGGTCTTTGGCCACAGTGCTGTCAATGAAAGACGAAAGAGTTGAGTGAAAGTTGACGAGGGAGTGGACCGAGCTTACAGAGCAGAGATTGCTGTTTCCACCACCCCTTGCGGTACGAGATGAACGAGGACTCTGGCTCTCGATCGGACTCGCAGGAAGGCTTGCACTCTGCAACGCAGCTGCACATCGCATGCCGCAAGTAGGATAGGTTTTGCCATTGTTCTGATACCTCGGTTTGACTCGACAGACCTATCAGATATGGTTGGTACATAGTGCAGCAGCGATGTTGCATCGAGCACGTACCGTGCACTTTGTCTTGAGCACCTTTCCGCAAGTCGTACCGCAGGTTTCGTAAGTGGAATGGCGAGGCCTCGCTTTACAAATCTGTAGATGCAGATTTGAGGGTCATCACATCTGGATATATGGCGTCTCCCTTACCACACAAAGAGAAGTGTCGGCAGGAGCTGTATCGTCGCCATCCGAGTCGTCGTCTGGAAGATCCATTGAACCTGTGTTGTCGATGGGCCCATAGCTCCCCGGTAAGAAGAGGGATGACAGACGATTCATTACTGCGAGGTCAAGAGGCGTGGAAAGTGGGAGAGAGATGGTTCCATCGATTATGCTCGCACGGTGGCACGAGGCATGAAGCTTCGATTGAATGTAAATTACCACGAATAAGCGCCCGTTTGGTCGTGCTTACGTCATCGAGGAGAGCATGCGCTTTTCTTCGCCGGGAAGTCAAGGTGACTGTAAGCCATGAGGTTACTTGAATTAAGAGGCCGTTATGTTGACTATCCAAGGCATTCTGTTGGTCGCTACTGCTACAGTTTAAGCGCTCGAGTTCGGGGGTGCCAATGTTTGGATCTAAAGCCGTAGCCTCCAAGCGAAAACATCGCCTCGCGCATCAGACGCGACCAAAGGAGGCTACAGAGTTTTGATTCCAGAATGTCACAACCTCGAACACCGAGGGGCAAAAGGTTCGTATGAATTACATCAAGGTTGACTTACAAGGGTTCCCCGCCAGTACAGCCACTCAGTATCTCCAAAATGCCAACCTCCGCCACGCCAAACCAATCAACGAAACGCCCTTACTAGCGGCAGTCCGAGGCGCCCTTCGAGGGTCCAATGTAGACGATCCCAACCAAATTCACAGTCAATGGCTCGCGGACGACGAAAACCCAAACGGCAGGGAGCTATCGTGGAACGCAAAGGAGGTTTTGCTCAGTGTCGGCGGGGTGATGGTGAAGAAATGGAGTTTCTACGAGGACAAGGAGGATATCCAAACGGCGTGTTTGGGGCTCCTGGAGCAGAATGCGGTGGAATGGAAGAAGTGGTTCACATCCAACGCCAACTTTTCCTCTGTGGTGGACGACGAGGGGCCGTCGACGAGCAGCGAACCTGGAGAACGACCCATATTCGGCCCTTTCGGTGCTCGAGAGCAACGACCTCGCAAGTTTCCCGACGAGCATGAACGGATCCCGGCCATCTTTGTGTTCTTTCGCAGTGTCGCCAGGATATATCTCCAGAACGGGATGAGCTATGTGATTAGCTTGCCCTTTGTCGTCCGCAAGGCCTGGCCTATCTCGCCGCACGGCGTCATGGTTCAACGCGTCCTCGAAGCCTCAGAGATTGCAGAGGCATCGCTGACAGGCGAAGATGTCCTCCCCACCATCTTCACTATCACGTCCCCACTCGAAGAAGCTGCTGCGGTTGGGTTGGCAGCGGGCATATCTGGAGGATTCGATCCTAAACCAGTCAAGCTCGACCATGAAGACGACAAGAAGGTTTTGAAGTCAGTCCCACCAACCGAGATGATCATTTGGGTGTCCATGGGCAATAGCACAGCTCGCCACCATCGAAAGAACGTCGTCGTCACGGTCAACTGCTCCACCGCCACTCTCACTATTTGGCGGTATGCGCATGCGAAACCAAACCAGGAAGACCAAGCTCCCGCCGCATCCACCTGTGCATCCAGCGCTAACCTCCCCGCCAACGTAGCTAAGAAACGGCAGTCCATGGGGAATCACAATCGCAGAACTTCAGCAGCATTCGAAGGGGATCGACTCGACAGCAAACACCACGCGGCTTCCAAAGAGCCTGTCGACCTCGCTTCATTAGGCGCTGCTGCAAGTATGAACGCGGCCCCGTCCCTGTCGTCGGTTATGTCCTCGCACTCGGGGAAGATGGTGATGGACACCGGCGATCCCACTCCAATGGCCGACGAACGGATGCAGGCCAACTATTGGATGCAAGCTGTCCACTCCGAGCCAATCTCACTGTTGGCACACCAGCATTGGCGGGAGATCCAGGTGGCCATTTGGGACGAGCGATGGGATGGGACGTGCTATAAATCCCATCTTGGAGTCGTGTTCAGGGACCAAGCCAAACTCAAGGTCTATTTGCTTCGATACGACGAGGAAACACAGCTTCATGTTTCGCCACTCTCGGAGCATCCGGCCATGGCTGCCGTGGCCGTCCTCGCCACTAGGCCATACATCTACGATGTCATTACGCTACGTCCTGACGGCGCGCTGTGCATCATCGGACAGGGCAATTCGCCTTTTGGGTTCAGATTGGTGGACCCCAAAAACCCTGGCTGCAGGGAGTACGTAGCAGCGGGCGTCCCACAAACTCACCATGGCATCATCATTGGCATAGACGACGGTCGTGGCAGCTCCGTGCGGCTCACCTACCAGGATGGATGGAGAGAGAGAATCAACTTGGATTTCTACCCGAAGGATCAGCTCGTCACGGAGTGCATGCAGTTGCTGTCGTTCGTCCTGCCCCCACAAGATTGCTTCCACCTCCACACGGCACTGATCAACGAGTGGTCTCGAAATAATCGGATGCTCGACTCCGACGTTCAGTTTCAATGTTTCAAGAATGCGGTGTATCTGATATTGGGTCTTGAAGACGAACCTCCGGCGCAGCCTGCTTCGCCTTGGGAAAAGTTGGGACGTACACAGGAAGCTGAGCGATATCGCGAGGACCCTGCTCTTCGGCGCCTCAGACTTCCTCCTAAGCCCCCAAGGCCGACTCCCAAACCATTGGCCAAGCCACCACATCCTATGCATAGCGCCATCATGTTCACCCTCCACATCCTTGGTGAAGATCTCCGCATCCTCAAGGACCGCCAGGACTCTGTCATCAAGCTCGCGCCACTGATTGCTCGTCTGGCGCTTCCCGTGCGACCTGAATGGACAGATTACTGGAAACGACTTATCCCCGAGTGCTTCACTGGTTGGCCCCATTCCGGGCAATACGGTATGTTCTCCCTCACCCTTTGTTATTTGACTGTACTTATTAGTGCTCCAGATTTGGCCCACATCGACGACCGGCTCCCCATATGGCCCCAAGACATTGTTGCCATGATTCACGGTATGCTCAGTGGAGCCACCGAGTCCAAAACACCTTGGATATCACCCTGGCAAATCGCTCGAATCTACCACACCAAACCGACATACGCACATGACACTCTTGACCCTCTAGCCGACTTGCACGAACTTCTCACCTTGTATGGATTCTTGTCCGATATGAAGACAACTGGAGCGCAGAAGCGAGCCGAGGCTGCGATTCACCGACTTGTGACAGGCATCGGGGTGGATAAGATTGATATGCTACCGTTAGGAATTGCAGCACCGTTACGAGAGGCTCTGAGGACATGCCAGATGGCACCGCCCGCCCATTGGCCTCTACCATCGTACAGTCAGATCGGAAGGAATGACCTTGCTGCGTCTGCGAGTGAAGATCCGGAAGAGACATTCAACGAAGGATACAAACCGGCCAAGGAGTTTATGGTATGACCCATCTCCTCTAGTTCTCATTCGTGCTAATGAAACACTCTTCAGAATCCCAACAAACCGAGGTTCACCATCGACCAGATCGTCAAGGAAGTGAAGACAGCCGCCAACCCAGAAATTGAAACCGTCACAGGAGTAGAGCTTGGTCAACAAGATTTCACTCAGATCAGGTTCGGGCAGGATCGTCGTCTTGACGAGGTGGCGCGCCTCCTGAATTCGGCCACTATCCCTACCATCAAGGTTCAAGACCGCCCGGACTTGAGGTATGTAGTTTACCCTCCTAAAAGGCAGCTCTAAAACTGATGGTCGTGTAGCGAGCACGATCAGACGAAAGAGCACCAATCACATGTGCTGAGGGTTTCTGAGAGAACCCTTGCTCTACCTTTTGGTCGTGCGATGTTTACATTCGGCTCCGTCCCCAAGGTCACTCGAGAAGCCCACACAATTCCCAAGATCGAGTACAGCATCAAGCTCCTACCTCTGAACATCACTGTCCAACCAGAGGTGGGCAGGATCGCACCCGAAGCCGTTCAGTGGGGCGAATTCCACAATGGCGTTGCTGCTGGGCTTCGAATTGGACCCGTAGCGAAGGGGGTGGAAAGTTCTTGGATCACGTTCAATAAGCCTTCAGAGCTTACTCCGGAGCATGCTGGGTTCCTCTTTGCCCTCGGCCTCACTGGCCATCTCAAGGAACTAATGACCTGGCACACCTTCCAATACCTTACGCCGAAGCACGACCAGACATCCATCGCTGTCCTGCTCGGTCTTTCAGCGTCCAACATAGGAAAGGGGACTCAGAAAGTTGTCAAGCTACTCGCCGTCCACACTCCTGCCCTCTTGCCAACGCCCGAAGTCGACCTCAATGTTCATCTCCTCACGCAGGCAGCAGGACTCTCAGGCCTGGGTATCCTTTACTTGGGCACGCGGAACAGACGTATGGCGGAGGTCTGTCTGTCTGAGATCAGTCGCAAGGATCTCGTACAGCCCGACCTGAGCAATGAGCATCGCGAAGCATACACGTTCTCTGCCGCTATTGCTTTCGGAATGATCATGCTCGGGAAAGGGTCCAGTATTCCTGCCGACCTCGACCTGTTACAACGGCTCAACACGCTCATCCATGGTGAGATGAGCTCTAGGATACGAGAGAAGATGCCCAACCCATTCGACATCAATCTCACGTCCCCTGCGGCTTCCATCGCCATGGGCATGTTCTACCTCAAGACGGAGCGGCAGGATGTTGCGGATATGCTTGTTATTCCCGATACTTCCATCTCCCTCAACCGTATTCAACCCAGCTTCCTGATGATTCGGACGATTGCGAGGGGACTAATTATGTGGGAGAAGGTCCAACCTACGCTTGAGTGGATGATGGCGCAGATACCGGACAACATTCGCAATGCTGTTGATCCTTTCAAGGGCAAGACGGGCGAAGATGCCTTTGAGCTGGCCTATTACAATATCCTGGCAGGATGTTGTTTCGTCATCGGGTTGAAATACGCGGGGACGGCGAGACAGGAGGCCTACGCTGTGATTGTGAAGCATTATGACCTCTTTTCAAGGGCTGCATTGATGAACAGTGAGTACATTTGCCTCTGCTGCTGAGCCGCCTTCGCTAATGCTCTGTCAGGTGGACCTGCGTATGACCAGAAGATCAAGCGGGCAGCTGTTCGGGATGGCTTGAATCAGATATCTCTTGCGTTGTGCATGGTCATGGCTGGCACGGGCGAGATCAGCTGCCTTCGTCGCATTCGTTACGCCTACGGTGTCTTCCAGGTCAACATGTATCACCCATCCTTCCGCTTCGGAGTGCATCTGGCCACCATGCAATCTCTCGGCCTCCTTTTCCTTGGGGCCGGCCGATACACTCTCGGAACTTCGGATGCAGCCCTGGCATGCATGATCGCAGCGTTCTTCCCTCGACCTCATGTCAATTCAGCAGACAACAAATGCTATCTTCAAGCCCTGCGTCACCTGTGGGTTCTCGCTGTGGAGCCGAGATGTTTGATTGCGAGGGACGTAGACACCGGAGAGGTGGTGTACCTGCCAGTGAAGATCACCGTCAAGGAAGGAGACGAGACAGGGACATCACAGCTGATCTCGCCAACTCTCATCCCAGACATAAACAAGCTCCAGTCTATCCGCGTCGATACACCCCGTTATTGGCCGTTCTATCTCGACACAGCTGGTCTACCCCGACATCGCGACGCACTTCTTCGAAATCAAACATTGTACGTCAAGCGGCGGACAGCGTTCTTGAGCTACACCGAAGACCCTCGAGGAAGTCGCAGTCTCTTTGTCAGAAGTGGCTCTTCGGCTGGCGATGCTGCTATCCTCGACTTCCCTCAAGTTACGAACGCGTCGACTCACCCGGCTAGCGACCTCTCCGAATTCATCACCTCTTTCTCGAACAATGTCATCTTCCTCGCTTGGGCCGACCACATGTGCCGACCATCGACCTCTTGGCCATCCGATGAACCACTGTCGATCCAGGAACGTATTTTCCACTCCTACACTCACGCCGCCCTCCTCGACTGCATCATGCAAGATAAACCTTCGACACTGCAGACACATCTCTCCCTCCTGAAATATCGTTCGACGTCTCCATCGTCCAAATATTTCCACCTCGTCCTCCAGGACCTCAATTTTGTATCCAGGTTCTACTCTGTCATCTACGAAAGGAAGTTTAGCGGTGGCCTGGAACAGAATGTCAGCCGACCAGGGCTGGTACGAGACACGGCAGTGATGGGTGCCATGCATGATTTGAAAGGGATATTGGAGAGTTTCCGGAACAAGCCTGAATTCAAGGCTGTATTGGCGAGGTATGCGCGGGGAGAAGAGGTTGGGTCGAATGTGGGGTCGGTGGAAATCAAGGCGAACGGGTCCTTCAACAACGACGGAGAGCAAACCACAGAGCAGCTGGATCTGGAGAGGGCACTATCTTGGTATCTGGTTGTCAACGGCGTTCCAGCCTCCACTGTTCTCGAGTTCCTACGCGAGCTTGCCACCAACGTTATGGAGAGGAGTAGGAATGGAGGGTACCTGGTGGAGGGTGCTACTCCTCCTGATCCCGGGGAGCGAGAGCGACATCACCGAGAGCTGGAGACTGGACTGAAGGAGGTTGTGCATATTACAGGATCGAAGATGACCAATAGTCCCGCTGCGGGATGGGCATTGAGGAGTGTCGATGAAGTCATTGAGGGTTGGAATCTCGGTGCTCTGTAAAGCGGAGAAGGGGCGTTATGTAATTCAAATTGTACCTTCGTCGATTAATCTTATTCTGGCGCTATCGAAGTAGAAGTGATGTCTAAGCAATGCTAGATTCTGATATCAGCAAGTGAGATCGTGTAGATCAGTGTCGTATGGAAAACCGTCGACGTCTAAGAAAAATTCCCATAAGCTATTCCAAAAGGTGCGCTTGCCTGCTTCGAAGTCTTTACTTGCAACAGTCGCGCAATGCCCACAAAGCCCCACGCCGTAGCTCTCCTTCCAAGGCCCCAATGCACGCGTGACGCTGACCGTTGTCATCGCCACCTCGAAATGTTTGCCTGCAATTTTGTCGCATGCATCTTCATCTTCGCAGTCGGGTCCGGGAACTATGTCAAAACCTCCGCGGCACCAGTGGAACATATGTCCTGATTCCGACAATGCTGCTCGCACTTTGTCTTTCCCAGCTAAAAACACCAATTGGGCTCGATGAGTGAGTCTTGACACCGTTCCATCTTCGCTTTTGGATCCCTTCATTATCATTTCCTGCGCATTTCAGTCAGCATGTATGTTTCGTCCAGCAAGCGAGCTGACTTTTATCATTGACCAAGGACTTACCCAGAATTTTGGTATCCCCGAGACCAGAGACCTGAGCAATAATAGGGCAAAGCTTTGTGAAGGGCTTCAAATTCGAATGCCAGGTTGACAAAGTCACAAAATGACCTGTCCTTGTCCAGATATATCCACCTTTCAGAGAAAACTGGATCTTTGGGTGTCATGATGCCGAATTCGTCTGGGAATGTATTTAGAAAGCGAGTTTCGGCCTCCGTGCGCTGGTTGTCGAAGGTGTACTTGTCCCCCAAAGTCAAAACGGCCTCAACAAGTTTGAGAGGCCATGACGAGTCCATCTTGAGAAATCTGTTTTGTTCCAGATGGTATGAGTGATGCATGTTACAAGGCATGGTGAAAACGATTTGGAAAACGTACTTTGTTCCACCATCGTAAAGTAATTCTAATAAGGCTTGCCAGTGTGAGGCTGAATCATACGCAAGCGAAACGACATTGCACCCCTCCACTGTTGGTCCCATTGGGTCTCTGGGATAGGGCATAGAAAACATGTTTGAAAAGAATTCGGAGTGCCTGGCCAGGATACTTTGGTGGACTCGGAATTGGGTGTTTTCCGCCTGGAGCACGATGTTGCCGTCTGGGTACCATATCGTTGCTGAGCGATTGAGAACAGCTTCCGTAGGCAGTCCTTCGGTTGTTTTCCCATCCACATCCATGGCGACAGTATTGTGCTGTAAGCTGAAGCTGGAGTATATTCGATTGAAGATCTCGCTGGTGGCCCGGAACGAACGCGACAAAACGCGGTTAATGAGCGAGGATCTGATGGCATCACACAGCCACCGACCAAGATGGTGTGCACGCCAAGCGCGAGTTCACATCACAGCTTTATATCGACCTCAATCGCAGAGGATGGTTTTGCATCGACATTCATTTTCACCGACATGGGGTTCCTTTCGAAACTCAAATCCAAAGTGAAGGAGCATGTTGGAAGCAGCTCATCTGATCAGGGACCCTCGGGATACTATGATCACCACAATCAATACGGGACAGACTCTTCTTTGCCTCCAGCATGGACTCCCGCCCCAGAAGTATCGGTGAGCTCCTCGAGTATCGCAATTCCGACAATCCTATAGCTAATACCGATATATCTCAGCACAAGTGGGGCAAATGGAACGAAGCTCCTGACGATGAATACCAAGCAGGAGAAGACTTTTGCCTCGAATACCCTCCGAACCCACCCCGTCTCTTGCCTTCGGCAGCAGTCGACTACATCTCTTCTGTCGGATGTAAAGCTTGGTCTATCGAACAACCAGAGACAGCCAGATTTTCTGGCACAATCTCCAACCCAGGGGATTTCAAAGGCAGTCTGGGTGTGGTGAAGATCTCCACCAACGAGAACTGCAAGGACACCACCCTGCTGAGTACACTGCCCATCATGGCTGGACTGTACGATGTCCAGGGAAAGTCAGGCGTTTACTACGAGGTGCTGATAAAGCAGATGGATGGAGTGGTCGTTGTGGGCACCAGTTGTAGGCCCTACCCCGCGTGGCGCCTGCCTGGATGGAACCGCCTCAGCGCTGGATTGCACCTTGACGACCTTCGCAAGTTCTTCGAAGATCCTGATGGAGGCAGAGATTACGTGACACCGGACCTCGTTTCTCAAGTTCGTCCTGGAGATACGATCGGCTGTGGCTACGAGTTCAGCACCGGAGGGTTATTCTTCACATACAACGGAATTCGCCTTTCCAATGCCTTCACAGGTATCTACCTCCCAAGGCACGAGCATGATGTGTTTGCAGCAGTTGGTGTGGAAGGCCGTGCAGAACTCGAGGTCAACTTTGGGGGAGATATGTTCAGGTGGAAGGAGGGCAATGAGTGGGCATGGAGAGTTGAGGGGCATGTTGGGAAGATTGTGGGTTCCTCCAGAGAATACGATGCCGAACTCCCCGCCTACAGTCTTTGATTTCAAGTTTACTAATGGACTATTGTACATTCCACCGCACATCGTATACCACCGCACATCGTATATTGACAGACCTGATCTGACCAGCACTCAGTTCCTCCCCGCATTGCTCGTAAACAACCCACCCTGAAGGACATCGTCGTCCTTATCCGGTGTTCTATCCTTGCTAAGCGGCCACCTCGTAATATCCCGACCATCGTTGTACTTGCCCTCCGCCTTGCCCCTGTGCATATCCGAGTAATACTCCTCCTGGACCAAATGCAGTCTCTCCTTAACCATACTCCTCCACATACTCTTATCCTCCCACGTCATACGATCCTTCATCCTCTCTTCCGTAATACGCTCATAATCACGGAAATCTTGGCGGTTAAGGTCACAAGAATCGGTGAAGACATTGAGAGGGAGATGGACTGTCCCTCGAGCGACGACAGGGTGCTTGTGAGATAGCGCAGAGGCGAGTCCAGGACCATGGGCAGTGGGGGCGAAGGGGTCGTCAACGATCGTCACAGGGAAGCTGGCGTTGGGGTAGAAGAACTTTGGATGGTTGTCCCTGTCGAAAGGCTGCATCGAGCGCTCGGGTCGGTGGATATACATCAATAACCCGCTGGCGAGCTTGTCTTCCGGGAGAGGGCGATCGAGATCGGTGAATCGGACTCTCTCGGCTGTGAGCTGGGCGTTTGGCGCCTTGAGGAGCATATGGTCAACGTGTTGCTCCTTTGACGTGCCGTAGAGATAGAAAGGTGTGTAGTGGGCATCGTAGTCCGGGTCTTGCCACCGCGAAAGCAGAGGACGGTTCTTGACGATACGTACATCCCGGATCGTCAACTGCGAGACGAGGTCGCTACTGTTGTCGTCACTCATTACGAGTACTCATTAGCCCAAGCACAACATTAGGGGGAAAGCGCAGACCGACTTTACGTAGACATCGCATTTGCAACCTCCATGCAGTAGTTCATCGATTCTGATTCGAGACGTCTTGAGCGTGAACAGGGCGTTTGGATTCTCCTTCCTGGCCTTGCGGTAGGCAGACCATCCAGACTCCTGTTGGTTGGCGTCACTCGGAACAGGGACTTCAAGGATAAGTTGTTGTCGTCCATTGGCCTTGAAGAAGAAAGGTCGATAAGCGAGGAAGAGACGATCGGTTCCTTGCATAATGAAAGTATGGACGTCGGGGGTGACAGTGTTCCTGGTGATGACGGTCTAGACGATAAATGAGTAAATTCCTTAAAGAGGCACAAACGGTAAACGACTGGTCACCTTCAAAGCCTTGTGCAACACCTCCTTGAATTTGGCCATCAGGACCTCCTGAACATACTTCGCATTGGCCTGGAAAGGGCTCATCACCACATTCCGCAGGACGAACAAATCTGCCTTGCTCTCCGCCTCCAAACCTGCCCGCCTTTTGAAGTTATCCAGACACTCTCCATAATCCGAATGCTTCAGGACCGTGGCGGAAAGGAAGAGGGGGAGACGTTTAGGCGCTACCCCAACATCGGAAGGAGAAAGAGCGTCGAAGATGAGTTCGTTAAGGTAGTTGGCCTCGGAGACATCTTCGTTGATCGGCCCCACTCCCTCTTGTCCAATGCCAGAGTGGGGCAGACGGAAGTTGCAGATGAAAGTGTTGATGTTGAGGTCGCTGCCTAGAGACCTGAGCTCGGCGACGATTTCTGGGTCTGGGTCTTTGACGAGCTCTTCGTTGGACCTTCCGATGATCTTTTCGCGGATGAATGCCTTCTCTGCTTCGATAGCCTCGAGATTGGGTTCTTCAAATGTAGACGAGGATCGGCGGCGAAGCTCGGGGGAAGAGCCTAATCCAGGAGAGGAAGGGTAAGCCGAAGGCTGACGCTCTGAACGAAGTCTATTGAACGGGACTACAATAAACGGGTCTGACGGGGTAGACAGTGTTGCCCAATGCGCTGCGAGCTACCAGGAAGGTCAATTGGATTGTAAACATAGGGCTATAGGAATTCGACTCACCCTTGCACAGGTAAACGATACCTCTCCCAGTAAGCCGCCGTGGCCGCGTTTATGTAACCCTACGACATTGTGGTGCATAAAAACAGCAGCTGCAGCTGCTCCGGGTTTGCTAGGGCCAGGTGTTAGTATACCCTCGCAATAGTGAATGGAGAAAATAAACAACCCACCTGCCTTCGACACCGTGCACTCCAATGTTCTCCCCCCTCTTTCCATGCTCGATATAGGGAGCAGACCAAGTCAAAAGATGTCTCATGCGTCTGTCTTTATAGCACTGCTCACAACCATTAGTCCACGAATTCATTTGCACGTTAGAGAGATACTCACCAATCCCCCAGCGGGATACGGGCAATACCCGCTCTTGTGAGGATCAATCGTAACAGAGTCTGCATACTTCAACGCTTCAAGTTGATGTACAGTATACTGTTTCAAGGCCATATAAGGAACATATTCCTCGTCGAATGGCACTTTGTCTCCTGGGTTGACTGTTGGCCACGAAGAGACCCAAGAAGCCGGTGGCTCGCGGAGGGTGGAAGCAAAGTAGCCACCCCAGGCAGCATCTATCCGTCGCCCATGACATGAGATTGGGGGTTCTCCGGGCGGGGGAGTGACGTACCTGCGTGTACTAGGAACGACAGTCCCTTCTTTCGGTACTCCTCCTTCACTTCAATGATCTTGGCCAATGGGTCCACTGCTCCGTCCTCAGTCGTTCCGATGACTGCTACGATGCCGTAGATCGGGATGTGCTCATTGAGGCAGTGATCCAGAGTGCGTTGAAGAGACGAGAGCGAGATGCGGGCATTGCTGTCTAGGTCGAGCTTGAGAAGGCTTTGAGACCCTACTCCCGTCAATGCTGTCCGCGCAGAGAACTTTCTTAGGTTGCATCATGTGTCGCAAAATAGAAAGGCACGTACCGAGTCCTTTGGGCCACGAATAGTGCTTTGTTCCTGCCATGAGGAACTTTGGACTCTCCTTGAAACCCCATCTCTCCTTCAGCCCTTCCATGCCCGTCGACTGGACGATATACTCCGCCATGACTTCCTCCAGGAACGTTGGGCTTATCTGATACTCCTTCTGAAGTCGATCAGGAATCGCCAGAATGGTCTCTGGCATCAAATTGAGCAACTCCCAGGTCGAGAGCGAGGTGAAAAGGTGGAGTGGTTCTTCGGAGGAGGGGGCAGAGGGCGGGATGACCGGGTCGGTGCATTTGGATATCTTGAAGGTCGAGGAGATGAAGTGCAAGGGTCCAGATGGGGACATTGCTTCACGCAAAGCCAAAGGGTAGAATTTGAGGTTCCGGGCTAGAACACTGTCAACGGGTATACTATTCACGAACTCCAAGAAACTTGCCTGCCCTGTAATATTGCGGTCTGATTAGTTGAACCTGACTTGGAGGATGGAAGCTACGTACCAAATGAACTCGATATTGGCGATGGTTCCGCCACTGGTGAGATGTCCCCAGCTTTGCATATCGCCTTCGTTTTCAAATCCGATCATCTTGCACAAGTCCTGTCCCACCTCGAGCTCAAGCAGCGTGGTGATAGGACCTGCTTCAAACGAAACATTGTTGGGGTTCAATAGCAGCCCAGCAAGCCAACCGGCAATTGAGGGAAGGCTGCTTTCGAACGTCATATGGGCTGCATATCGAGGTGAATAGAACGGGATGGAGAAGTCATTTAACAGCGTGGAGAGCTCAGCGAACTTCTTGCGAAGGTTGTCTGCGGTTTGCTTATAGACTTTGGACTCTTTCACCTCGCTTGTGATGAAATTCTATGAAATAGAATTGAGTTTGATCATTACACAGATGGTTTTGAAATAAACTTACACCGTCCTCTGGGTGGTACGAAGTTCTTGCAGCTACATGGTCCCCAACAGCTCTGGAAAAGAGCTCCTTGAGCAAATCGGCGTTTTCTGCCTGTGGACCTAGAAACCATGCAGAGACGGCTTCATGAACCTGGACAGAGGAGGATTCGTATGTGTCGGACAAGAAAGGCATGTTGCGAGAACAAGGTGGGCTTCAACTGGGGTACAGAGATATTGACAATGTATATGTTTCGTATTCTGATTCAGGGGTCTGACGTAGTTGCTGGTGGGCCGAGAGCGGTGGAGTCCCTGATCGGCCCCTCCTCTTCTCGTCATCCAAGTCTGTGGACCTTCGCGAACCCATTGAGTCGGGGAAATTCAAGGTGGTCTTCGTTCCCCATGACTGTTAGGAGCAAACCTTCGTGATGGCAGAACCACCAGCGCTTGTAGCCTAACCCTAACCCCGACGCGGTCCTATTTTGATCGCCTTGGACGGGTCGACTTTCTCTTCACCTCCACTATGTTGTTTTGCCCAACATGTGCCAATATCCTGGTCATATCCCAGGAAACTGGCGTTAACAAATGGGCGTGTAACACCTGCCCCTACGAGTTCCCTATAACGAAACAGGTGCGCATTGAATAGCCATTACATCTCGATCAATTTCACTCAAAACCTACAGATGACTTCGAGAACGCGAATGCAACTGAAACAGGTCGACGATGTACTTGGAGGAGATGAGATGTGGAAGCATGCAGATCAGACTCAAGGTGCGTTTTTCTGCACCTCACATTTGTATTGGATAGTGAACGCGCACCTTTAGCGAGTTGTCCCAAGTGCAATTTCGACAAAGCATACTTCTACCAGCTCCAGATTCGATCCGCTGATGAACCCATGACCACTTGTGCGTTTTCTATTCCATACCATTTTAGACCTCTTCTGTTAACCACCTCTTGTAGTCTATCGGTTCGTTTCCCTCCTGCAGTCTTCCGGTTTCCTGCCCTGAGCGTTGCGCTTTAGATGCGTCAATTGCGCACACCAATGGCGCGAAAACTAACCTCCGTCACCGCGTACTGAAAACCTGGAAACTGCTCATTTCTAGGGTTTCTATCGAGATAACTTTTGGAAACGGGTCCTTCGATTTCGTTCCCAGAAAGCTTGTCGTCTCAAAGCCCGGCTACTAGCACTTCCTTGACATTGCAAAGAAAGGCTTCGATCTCTCTGCGACATGGCTGTATGGACCGTTGAGACGATCAGGGTGTCCATTAACAGCCGCGAAATGAACGCGGAACCGTGGTCGCGCATGCTTTTGCTGTCACCTCGAGATATCTGCTTATAGAATTCCTTCGCCAAGACACATCTCCTTATCTCAGGGAAGGATACCTGTACTATAACCCCAGTTCTCGAATCCCACAGTTGGTTTCTGTGTCACGGTAAATTCTGTTCGTCCGACCGAATGAACCTTTCCTCTTGACTATGGGAATTTGATACAATCATTCGAATTTGGGTGATAGACGAGAACCAGGTGTGTCTTCACTTCACCTTTCACAATTGGCGATGACAAACTGATTACTCCTGTTTGAAGCTTCGACATCTCCCGTACCATGCATGGCGCCAGTATAACCGCCGTGACGTGCAGTATCCAACTTGACAGGGCTCATTGAGACTATACTGTAACCCCACTTTCGATCACACTTCGGCTCTACATGCGGAGCCACAGCAGTGTGTATGACGTTTGAAGTTGAGGTCCTACCCAAACATCACCCTCCCATTAAAAGCCGTGACAGGTTCAATACAGACCCACTGGCACCCTCTTCACCATGAAAATCCCCGACGATATTCAGATCTCCACGACTCTCCCCCCGGATGAGATTGAGGTCCACAAGAACTTGCTCGCAAACGTACACCGAGTGTTCTACCTATCCATTAAAGGTCGCCAGCATTGACACTTTTATCTAGATTCTGACTGACTACGAGAACAAGAATCCATTGATCGCCCACCAGCATTTCGCAGAAGATGCCACTATAGAAATACCAGAAGTAGGGACACTTGTCGGCCGGCAAGCCATCGACGAGTACTTCCGCTGGACCTACCAGGGTATTGCTGGCTTTGAGTGGTCGTAAGTACCATTCGACGTGACCGCTCTCAGGACCACAGCCTGTCTAACGGACGTACGCTTCGAAACCCAATGTCTAGCATACAATCCGGTAAGCATGGTCCATCAATCAGGGCAAATTCGACCCATCAACTTATTTCATCCTTCCCCAGTGAACATCCTCGTCAACCAAGTCATCTTCACCGCAGACGTAACATGCAGCTTCGCTCAAGAGAACCAAGTTCCCTTACGCATGTCTTGGGCGGTTTCCATGATTCTCGAACCTCAGGTCAGTCCACCCGCAATAGCGAAGCCTCGAAACCGACTGAGATCCTGCTCATATTAGACGAGAAGGATTAAAAACATCAGAGTGGGCGGCGACATTTTGAGCATGATTGAAACAGCCTCCCTCCATGCTGGCCCCGTGCGCGGAATCAGTCGCCCGTGGCCAGTTAGCTTGGATTGACCCTCGGACGAGTATTGCCGGGGAAATGAGAACTTCCAGTCACTCGCCTTTGATTTCCGTATGCTACTTGCACGAGACGAACTTATCGGTCAAACTTGGTTACATTTACTGCCACTGAATACAAGCTGAAGGTTGCCTACTGGTCATGGGACGCCGTTGTTGCTCGCCAATGAATAGTATCAAGTGTATTGGATGCTCCCGCGCGTCGAGGTTATTTGACTTCCTTGAGAGCCTTCTTTGTGCTATTGAATGGCGAGATAATACCTTTCCCTCATGCTGGCTAATCGATGTACATGTTGTGATGACAAGATACAACAGCGCGAATAACCTTCACTATCTCTCGCCGAATACTGCTATCTGATTGGGTTAAAGCCACTAGGCCTGCTACCACAAGTCAGATGGTACACGAACCACTGAAATAAGCTTCAGAATACAATATCGCGTGGGGTGAGGAACTGCTGATCAAGGAACTGGCTTTCCAGAATCCATGTAGCACGGGAATTAGTAGAAGGCGGAGAGCTTCCTTTCAACGTGTATGAAAAGGAACCCTAGTGTCGCGAAGAGCGGACACTAAACCAAACTTAAGACCAGATGTGCGGAGCGGATAAGAGCGGAGGACGAGATGAGAGCGATGAGCGATGGATGCAGATGAATACTGAAGCAGTGTATTGACGAAGAGGTCAAGCTGAGGAAATACAGAGGAATCTACCTAGCTTATATACCTATTCTACAGTCTACATAGCCGCGATGAGTCAAAATGACGAAAGGGTGGTGAAACACAGAAGAACAATAAAGAGGGTCACAAGGCTGCGCGGGGCTGCGCGAAGAACAAGGAGAAAACAATAGAAGGGAGTCACGAGGCAGTGCGAGAAGGAAGAACAATAAGAAATAGGGCAGAGGGTACGTCGAGGCAGTGTTCCATGAGAGAAAGAGTCCGTATCGAGAATAAAAGTAGAAATGAGAATAAAGGAGGGAACGATAAGGGAGATGAAAGTGATAAGATAAGATAATGGAAAAATAGGGGCTCGTACCCGCTGTTCACGACATTACCCCCCTTCTAAGCTTCATCGTCCTCGATGATCCACGGTAGGCGGCGTCCAAGTTCCCATTCGAAGTCGATAGGTGGAGCGTCGGTAGGGATGGTCAAGGGGTTTTAAAACCCCCGGGGTAGAGGCCAGGGGTAGAGCGGGGGTAGGGGTAAGTGTAGGTCTTGGACTACCCTGTACCACACCCCCTACCCCCGGTCGGGGGTAAGGGTTTTGATAAAAATCCAACAAAACCCATTTATTTCAACATCTATGTATAGTTTCTACTAAATAACTGTTGTATGTGCAATAAAACACATAAAAATATCCATATAAACAACTGTAACTGATGGTTAGTGCCAAAATGATCAAAACCCTTGAGTCAAAACCCCCAGGGTTGGGGGGTAAGGGTACTACCCCTACCCCTGACTGGGGGGTAAGGGTTTTGGGGGGTGGGGGTAAGGGTAGGTGTCCGGCTACCCGGGGGTTACCCCTGTCCTTCCCTAAGCGTCGGTGAAGTTCTCGAGTGGGCGCCAGGGGAGAGAGTTGAAGACAGTGGCGGAAATTCGACGTGGTGCAGAGGGGTGTCGTTGATGGAACTCCTTTACTAATCTCCGGCGCGTGCTCCAGGTTCTCTTCCGGTTCCCAAGTGTCGTCCGTCGACCCGTAGCCTTTCCAACTGACCAGGTACTCCAGCTTACGGTTCTTCCCTCGGCCCTTCCAGCGGCTGTCCAAGATGTCGTGGACCTCGTACTCAAGCTCTCCCTCCAGTTCAACAGGGCTCAGGCGGAGGTGGCAGAATGCCGTTGACATCATTGCCCTTCCAGGGGGAGAGCTTGTCGACGTGGAACACTGGGTGAATGCGGGATAGGGAGGGGGGAAGCTCGAGGCGGTAATCGAGGTCGCCGATGCGTTCAGTGATCTTGTAGGGGCCGAGTTGGAGGTCTCCAAGCTTCCGAGTAGGGACTTTGATCTGGATGTCCTTAGTGTTGAGCCAAACGTGGTCACCAACCTTGAACTGATGGGCTGTTCGTTTGCCGGATTCGTACAAGTCCTTCTGTTGTGCTTTCTCGAGACGTAAGGCGGCTTCGGCGTCCTTGCGTACCTCTTGCAGTTGTTGGATGCGCTCGTCGACAGGGCGAAGATCAGTGCGTTTACCGACGGGAATGTTGAAGTGAGGGATGTAACCGTAGAGGACTTCGAAGGGGGATCGGTTGTGCGCGGAGTGGACTCGGGAGTTGATCACAAATTCGGCCATGGGAAGGTGCTTATCCCAGTCGTCTTGTCGGCGGCTGACGTACAGGCGGAGGTACTTCTCGACTTCTTGGTTGGCCCGTTCTGTTTGTCCGTTAGCCTGAGGATGATAGGCGGTGGTCAGGTTGGATTCGATGCCGAGACGCCTGAGAAGGGTGCGCATGACTTTGGAGGGCGAACTGGGGGCCGCGGTCGCTGATGAACCGGAGTGGAAGGCCCGTGGAGACGGGAAGACTCTCTCGGTAGTAGATGTCAGCGACTCCTTCAGTGGTGATATCCGAGGTGCAGGGGAGGGCATGGAGAAGCTTGCTGTAGTGGTCGACAAAGACGATGATGGCATCATGCCCATTGGCATCAGGAAGTTGGGTGATAAGGTCGACTCCAACGGTCTCCCAGGGGCCATCGGGTACCTCCAAGGGCTGAGTCGAGGTGCGGGGGGTTGCTGGGGCGTGTTTTCTTCCGGGGCACAGATGTTCCGCAACCTTCCCACATACTTCTTGACAAAGGCTCGCATGGTCGGCCACCAGTACTGTCGTTCAATTCGTTCGAGGGTTCCATGTACACCGGGATGTCCAGAGGTAGGATCGTCGTGGCACTGTTTGAGAACGTCGCGTCGGAGTTCGTCGTCTGGGGGAACGTAGACTCGACCCTTGTAGTAAACAAGGCCGTTATCCTCCTCCCATTCGGCGAGACCAGAGGTGAGACGACGGGGACCTGTCTTGCGGAGCTGGGCAAGTCCATCCAGGACCTGGGATTCTCGGGCACTGGCCTGTCGGATACGGTCCTCCAAGGGGTTGATGACCATGCTCGAGGCGGCGAGCTTTGGCAAACAGCTCGGGTTTGAGTACCACCTGTTGTTTGTTGTCCTCGGCGTCGGAGACCTGGTGGATGTCGAGACGAGAGAGGGCGTCGGCTTGGGTGTTTGTCTTGCCAGGGCGGTGGGTGAGCGAGAACCGGAAGCGGGAGAGGTAGAGAGCCCAACGAGCCTGTCGACGGCTGAGGTCTTGTGCGGTGCGCCAGTATTCGAGGTTGGAATGGTCAGTGACAATCTCGAAGGGTTCAGGGAGTCCTTCCAGGAAGTGGCGCCAGTCCTTGAGAGCCTCGATAATGGCCAGCATCTCCCGGTCGTAGATTTCGTAGTTCCGTTCGGCGGGCTGCATGGAGGCGGATCGGAATGCAACGGGGTGCCAGAGGCCGTCATCCTGCTTCTGGAGGAGGGCTCCTCCAGTGGCAAAGCCGGAGGCGTCGACTTCAATGCGAGTGGGGCGGTCAGGATCCCAGAGCGTCAGAATGGGGGCGGACGTGAAGGCATTGCGGAGGGTGTCAAAGGCCTGCTGTTGAGGATCGTTCCATTGCCAGGGGATGTTCTTCTTGGTGAGGTCGTTGAGCGGTCGGGCGATGGTGGCGAAGTCCTTGATGAAACGGCGGTAGAAGTTGGCGAACCCGAGGAAACCACGAACGGCGCGGAGGTTGCGGGGGACTGGCCAGTTGCGGACGGCTTCGACCTTGGCGGGGTCCATGCTGACTTCGCCCTCGCGGATGATCAGCCCGAGGTATTCGATCTCCTGACGTTCGAACTCGCACTTCTCTGGCCGGAGATACAGATCATGCTTCTTGAGGCGATGCAGGACTTCGTGTACAACTTGCCGGTGCTCGTCGAGTGTGGCCGTAAAAATGAGGATGTCGTCAAGATACACTGCAACCTTCCCTCCAGCGATGAGGTCGGAGAAGATAGAGTTCATGAGAGCCTGGAATGTTGCCGGAGAGTTGGTGAGGCCGAAGAACATAACGAGTGGTTCGAAGAGACCCTGGTTGGTGGCGAAGCGCGGCCTTCCACTCGTCTCCTTCCTTGATCCGGATATTGTTGTAACCCCAGCGAACGTCGAATTTCGTGAAATACTTGGCACCGCGGAGTCTGTTGACGATGTCGGAGACCAGGGGGAGGGGGTAGCGGTTCTTGACGGTGATCTCGTTGAGCTTGCGGTGATGCGCGGTCAGGGGTGGGAGGCTCTAAAACCACACACACACCAACCGAACCGGCAGGTGAAGGTAAAGAAGTAAAAAGAAATGAAAAGGCTAATCCTCTACACCCAACCAAAGACTACGTCTAAGGCCAAATGAAGTTAGACTTCACCCAAAGGAACGACGGTATGTAGGAAGGCACTAGAACTAAACAAACCCTTAACAATGCAAAGGTTCGAAGGGGGGTGCACGGGAGTGGGCGGACAGTAGGTGAGAAGGTAAAAGGTAAAACAAGAGCTTGTAGGGCTCAAGGCGCGAAGTGATAAGTCGTGCAGAGGCAGACCACTAGCTAGACTAGGGTACCACCACCTCCTCGCTACTGAGTAGTCGAGAAAATACACAAAAGAGGTCAAGGAGACACACGCCGGTGCTCACAGAAAACCAAAGTCGAACACGCCGGGACGACTGTTACCAAATCGATCTACACCGAGTCGAAGTGGCCAAAGAATAACCCAAAAGTCGATCTACGCCGAGTCGACAAACCTTTAACGTGCTGAGTCGCGCCGGACTTCACGGAGTCTTATCCTGGAGAAAAGCTGCCAGCGATAATCTGTAGAATTCGAGCGAGAACTAGCTAGCTTTTATACATGAGGAGAGTGTTTGGTGTACTAAGGCTGTAGACAAACAAAGACGGAAAAACCAGGAAGACTAGGTAAGACAGGCAGACTAAGAGAGACAGAAATAGAACAGAAGAAACAC